ACTTCAGAGACGCAGATAGCGATGTGCAGACATCTCCGGACATAACCGACGAAGCCGTTGTTGCCACGGTTGTCGAAGTGTCGTCAAATAATAGTGATGAGGATGACATGGAAAGCGACAACACAGGTGATCCAGGTCCGACAGCAGCCGAAGCTGCGCATTGCGTCAGAGTTATGTGGGTACTTGCCGAAAAGAGGGGGCTGGCAGAAAAGCTGGCTCGCAGCATAAGTGAGTTAAGGGGGGACGCGGCTTTGGGATCGCGAAAAATGGCAAAAAAATCGATTTTTTGAAACTCAAGTTTTCAAATTCTGGAACCCTTTTTTTTAACTTGTTACAAAATATCTACACTGAAAACCGCGCAGAAGTGCTTCGGAAAACTCGTTTCACCCACCTAGGTAGCAAAACTTTTTCTGAAAATAGCGAGAAAACGGCGATTTTCAAAAAATTATAGCTTCGAGATGCTTGGGCCGGGAGCCGGCTTGTTGGGCTCATCGGAAAGAGCATTTCACCGTGTTTAACTTTCCCGCCTTAGCTGGCTCTTCCCTTTAACAACAAGCGAGCAAAAGGCAAATGTTTGAAGGTCGTTTTGAGGCCCTTGATTGGCCGTGGCCGCCATGTTGCCTCAGCTCGCCTTGCCACTGGCCCTATGTTCGCTCCGGGAGATCGTCGTCTGCTGCTTGTGCGTCACGAGGACATGGCTCTCGAAAATCGCCACTTCATGACGTGTTCACGGCTTGATAATCACTTAAGATATAACTACGCTTTAGTTACGAGCAGTAAGCGGATGCGCGATCAGGTTACTACGAGCAGGAGCGCAGTCTACGAGCGCCGCGCGTCATCGAAGTTGTCTTTAGCCCTAACTCCGCTGACAGCGAGACTGCTGGCAGGAACGACGCGCTAGCGCATTCGCGGCGACGTGCTTCTTCGCAAGCAACGAAGCTGAAAGCGGCGGCACGATTACTATGAGTGGCCGCACCAAATGCACAATCAGATTACTATGAGCGGGCGCGCGGCGGTCTACGAGTGCGGCGCGTCATCGGAGTCGGCTTTAGGCCTAGCACCGCTGACAGCGAGACTGCGGGCAGAAAAGACGCGCAAGCGCACTCTTGGCGACGTGCTTCTTCGCAAGGAATGTACCACATCGCTCGCTAGCTCCTCTGAATCACGTACGGGCATTTTAGGCATCGGCAGCGGACAACACAGTCAAGCTCGTCACCCCCCCCCCCCCCCCCCCCCCACTGCCAAGGATCGCTCGGAACAGCGGCTAGCAGTTTCGCGCGTGCCGATTTTTTGTCTTCGTAGTTACACATTTCGCGCATCGTCATCGAACGCCGCCGGCAAGTGCATCACGTGCCGGCTGCACTGTCCACGCGGCCGCGCACCCGACGGTCATATGAAGTGCTGTCAATAAGCTTTTGTGATGCGATTCAGACGTGCTTGGAGGCGTGCTTGATATCGCCATGAATGTCTATGAATGTCCCGAGGTTAATGAATTGCTGTAGATTAGAGTTTCCGCGACCGGCTGTATGATGATGCGTTTCACAGCTAGAGCGGCGAAATAGCATGTATGAATCAGGGGCACGAATTTTTATATGCCCGTTTCGTGTCATTAATTATAGTGCTAGAAATTCCCGTGCCACCAGTCTTCTGCCCATAACTTTGTTATTTAGAAAGAAGGCATAGGCCGTCATGGTGTGATCCATTTTTTTGATGCAATAAACCTCTCTCCAAATAAAGAAAAGTTCAGTGAATATTTGTAATCAAGCACCTTATTACGCTAATTACAACTTCAGCACAAAAAAGTATGTGTAATAATTTCAGTATATGGTTTTATTCAATTACAATCTTTTCTGTAATACCTATCACACCACTCTTTCATACAAAGAACTTGGTTTGAAATCCATACTTGTTCTTTGTAAATAATGAAAAGGAGTAAATCGTGAAAAGAAGTCAAATATCACAAGACAAACCTGAGATCACAATTTTTAGGTGTCGTAGAGACGTAAAGAAAAGTTGAAACTTTAAACGCAGCTTTGTCAATACTGTTTTTTTTTTTTGACATTATGCTCAGCCCCTCCACATAGTTCAATGAAGAAATAATTTGTTTCTCGTAAAGTATTTGTGGTATCGCTTCAAAATTTTTATGGAAGCACTGGGAGGTCATTCTTAGTGTTGGTGCCAATTTTCATCAATATCCAAGAAGAAACAAAGAAGTTCATTGAAAAAAGCCTTTCGAAAACTTCGACAGGCTTTTTCTCACAAGTGTGTTTTGGACATTGTGCATTGCTCGTGGAAAGAGTAGCACGGGAACGACTGGACCGATTTTGATTCTGTTTTTTTTTTTCCTGAATCCCTGAACACTGCTTGTGGGTACAGCAATCTTCAATTTCTGTTTTATGGCCCTGTTATTTTTCTAGACGATGATTTGTCTGTGCCACTGTTTCTGACAATGTGTGTCGGCAGCCATGATGATCTCTAAAAAAAAAAGAGAGAACTTATTAAAAAATTCTGAGAGTGTCATACCCTGTAGCTTTCTTTTGAGTAAAGATAAACACTATTCGCAGCTTCCTGGCATGTTTTGTTGCAGCGCTAGGCTTTCCACGAGCAGACCATGTAATTGGATCATGCAGCATTATGTAACTTTGAGAACTACTGAAGCTATCATGATGAAACTGCATATTTCCCTATTCGAGACACTTATGAGTATGCATGCCAAATTTCATTGCTATAGGTCAACAAATAAAACAGTTTTTTTTCAATGCCACGTCCCCCCTTGAAGGCCGCTGTCGTTGCTGCTAGGCCGCCACGTCGTCAAATGAAGATGACAAACTTTGTCACGCGAGTTAATAAATTACTGCACGTTTTTTGTCTTTCAACGCACTCCCTGAAGGTTTCCTTTTTTTTGTTTTTGACAGATAAGTGGGCGACCTGACGCTATTTCGGTTAAGCATGACTACGTTTAGTACGCACTTTTACAGAGCTCCAACCAACTACGGTTTAACAGTTTCACTGTAGGCAAGAAACAAGGCAGGCTTCTCACAATTGGCGAGCACAGCCACGTACAGGGACGAGCTGGGAGTCGAGGCAGTGCTCCCGGCCAGGCACGAGTCGCTGTAGGTCAGGCGGGTACGGGTTGCCATCGATGTCCACCAAAAAGGGCGGTGGCATCAGGTGGGGAGCACACTGTGTCTGTTCGTCCAGCACGTGCTGCTGCGCGTCGCGGATCAGCGGCCGATAGTCCGTGTGGAAGAACTGCTCGTCCGGAACCTGGAGGTCGAGAATGGCATAACCATATCTACCACTTCCTCCAACATCCGCATAAGAGCAGCCTGACTAGACCACCAGCTGTTACATCGTTCTTTACATCAACGATAAAAAGGGTGCCGATAAATTCACCCTAGGTTCTTTGAGGAGTCAACGCAGGCTTTCATAAGTTTTGACTACGGCAGGCTCGATAATTTAAACCATGATGACAAACTTTCAATTTTTGCTCGGCCCGCCATGTTTTTAATTGGCCTTTAAGCCCCCTAATTGAAACTACCTCACGGCACTAATTTGGTTGATTCAACCTTTTTGTTAATCCACGCCTAGAAATATTCGCTGCCTTGTTTTCTTCTAGATGAACATTCACATTGTTATGTCATTCACAGTCACAAATAAAGAAGATCACCCGCCTAAAAAATGACCTTTTAGCCAAAAGAAGAAGGCGGCCTGGCTTTGATCCATCGCACATTGAACGCTTCTTTAGGGTCACGTGGTAATATGTACATCAGTGTCACATGGTAAAGCGTCCGAAAAATGCAAATGGGCTACAAGCTGTCATAGCACACAACCCATTAGTACATTATTTACAGTCACCTGCATGTGTTCTATAATACCTGAAGACCAGAGTAATTGCTAAATTTTAAAAATTTTACTGGCAATCATTCAGAGCTGCCTCAAACGTTGCTACGGCACTGGGAAACATGCATGACAACAATACTTGGCATGCAGCCCTGACTAATGTTTATGATAACTTTTTATAATTGAAATGAAATCATGAGGTGCCCCTCTAGTTTGGATTATCAGGAATATACTGTAGTAGACTGAGGATTGCTGGGGAAAAAAAAAGAACTTGGCTTTATACACGAATGACCACCTAATACCCGAGACGAGAAAGTGATCATGCACCTTTCTTGTCTCCACACATGAAATCAGTACTGCACTTTGACAGAAATAGTCACCTTCTTGTATGGGTCCCCGGAGCCGTAGCCAAAAATGCTGATATGACCATGCGAGTCGGTTGAAGAAAACAAGAGGCCATCTGGAGAAAACTTGCAGTCAAACACCGCTCCGTGCCCTTGTCCTTCAATCTGGGGAGATGGTTGTTGCAATCACTACCACAGTTAAGAATATGTGTACGGGAAAGCACGGCATTTTTTTAACACATCGCTTGCTCAAGGTGATTAAGTTAGAAAGAGCAGTACAGGTTGTATGTAAAAGATGCTGCATCCAGGTGCGGCTTTAAAGCAATGAATGCAGTGTCGTGAAGTTTTGTTGCAGCGCTAGGCTTTCCACGAGCAGACCATGTAATTGGATCATGCAGCATTATGTAACTTTGAGAACTACTGAAGCTATCATGATGAAACTGCATATTTCCCTATTCGAGACACTTATGAGTATGCATGCCAAATTTCATTGCTATAGGTCAACAAATAAAACAGTTTTTTTTCAATGCCACGTCCCCCCTTGAAGGCCGCTGTCGTTGCTGCTAGGCCGCCACGTCGTCAAATGAAGATGACAAACTTTGTCACGCGAGTTAATAAATTACTGCACGTTTTTTGTTCTTTCAACGCACTCCCTGAAGGTTTCTTTTTTTTTTTTTTGACAGATAAGTGGGCGACCTGACGCTATTTCGGTTAAGCATGACTACCGTTTAGTACGCACTTTTACAGAGCTCCAACCAACTACGGTTTAACAAGGTTTCACTGTAATGCAAGAAACAAGGCAAGGCTTCTCACCATTGGCGAGCACAGCCACGTAAGGGACGAGCTGGGAGTCGAGGCAGTGCTCCCGGCCAGGCACGAGTCGCTGTAGGTCAGGTGGGTATGGGTTGCCATCGATGTCCACCAAAAAGGGCGGTGGCATCAGGTGGGGAGCACACTGTGTCTGCTCGTCCAGCACGTGCTGCTGCGCGTCGCGGATCAGCGGCCGATAGTCTGTGTGGAAGAACTGCTCGTCCGGAACCTGGAGGTCCGGAATAGCATAACCATATCTCCCACTTCCTCCAACATCCGCATAAGAGCAGCCTGACTAGACCACCAGCTGTTACATCGTTCTTTACATCAACGATAAAAAGGGTGCCTATAAGCCCACCCCATCTTCTTTGAGGAGTCAACACAGGCTTTCATAAGTTTTGACTATGGCAGGCTCGATAATTCAAACACTGATGATTTAAACAAACTTTAAATTTTTGCTTGGCCCGCCATGTTTTCAATTGGCTTTTAAGTCGCCTAGTTGAAACTACCTCACGGCACTAATTTGGTTAATTCAACCTTTTTGTTGGTCCACGCCTAGAAATATCCGCTGCCTTGTTTACTTCTAGATGAACATTCACATTGTTATATCATTCACAATCACAAATAAAGCAGATTGCCCGCCTAAAAAACAACCTCTTAGCCAAACCGCAGGCACCATCACATAACTTAGAGAGAAAAAGGAAGAAGGTGGCCTGCATTTGGTCTATCGCACATTTAACGCTTCTTTAGGGTCACTTTTGTGGTAATATGTACATCAGTGTCACATGGGAAGGCGTCCGAACAATGCAAAAGAGCTACAAGCTGTCACAGCACACAACTTATAAGTACCTTATTTACAGTCACTTGCATGCGTTCTATAATACCGAAAACCAGTGTAATTGCTAAAGTTTTAAAAATTAACCGGCAATCATTCAGAGCTGCCTCAAACGTTGCTACGGCACTGGGAAACAAACATCACAACAATAAATGGCATGCCCTAACTAATGTTTATAATAACTTCTGATAATTCAAACGAAATCATGAGGTCCCCCTCTAGTTTGAGTTTGAGTCCTGAGTTGACTCAGGATTGCTGAAAAAAAAAAAGGAACTTGGCTTTATACTCGAATGACCACCTAATACTTGAGGCGAGAAAGAGATCATGCACCTTTCTTGTCTCCACACATGAAATCAGTACTCCACATTCACAGAGATAGTCACCTTCTTGTATGGGTCCCCGGAGCCGTAGCCAAAAATGCTGATATGACCATGCGAGTCGGTTGAAGAAAACAAGAGGCCGTCTGGAGAAAACTTGCAGTCAAACACCGCTCCGTGCCCTTGTCCTTCAATCTGGGGAGATGGTTGTTGCAATCAGTACCACAGTCAGCAATATGTGTACATGAAAACACAGCGTTTTTGGACACATTGCTTGCTCAAGGCGATTAAGTTAGAAAGAGCAGTACAGGTTGTATGTAAAAGATGCTGCAACCTGGTGCGGCTTTAAAGTAATGAATGGAGTGTCGTGAAGTTGCACCCCAAAACGTACAGCAACCTCTCTAAAACCTGAAGGGATCAAGAAAGTATGTTTTATAACAGAAGTTCCGTATACTGAGAGTTGAGCTGGGCTGCAATGTTCAGGTAAGAGATCAATCACTTTTGAGGCAGTTCCATTCAAGCAGCAATTTCATTTAAGAAATTTCTGTTTACTGAGAGTTGACTAATTTGGAGACAGAAGCACTCAAGCATTGCCATGAACGAGCTACATGCACAATCAGCAGCAAGGAAAACAACTGATGATAGGTCGTAAAATTATATTGAGCTTTGCTTTGTGCACACTGCTTCGCTTTGAGCCCGATTCCCACAATAAGAATTTCAGTGTGATTGCGTGCACACACCGATGTTGGCTATATGCATGATTTGTTCCCTTCATCTAGATATGTAACTTCATCAGATATGCAACTGCAGCTATTTATAGGAACAACTGTGAGCTGTGCACATCAGAATATGCTGTAACATTTGCAAAAGTTTTTACTCAAATTTTTCGGTGAAACACCGACAAGGCACCACTGGTACACAAGTTCAGGCTATAAAGTGTCGACAGAGCAGTGCAAAGCAGCAAGATCAAGCAAGCCAAGAAGAAACTGAGTTAAAGAAGCTTACCATGTTAAAGAAGCTCCGCACTGAGCATCCCGCAACGAGATCCCAGATGATGATGCGACCATCGTGTCCCCCACTGAGGAGTATTCTGCTGTCCTCGGGATGGGACTCAAGAACAAATGCCTCGTCTTCGTGCCCCTAATGAACATATACATAAAAAAATTAAAAACAATGCCACCTTAAGAAACGCAAAAGCACCCACAACTCAATAGCTTCAAGCTCTCAGCACTGTGTCTTTAGTTCACACTGATAACCTGGCACAAAAAAAAAAAAAAAAAAAAAAACCCCTAGGATAACAGCGGGCAACGTGAAATTGCATTAGATGCGAGTTTCGTGTCAGCAGAATTTCAGCAGATTGCCTAGTGCCTTACCGCTATACGCCTGCCACCCCTGAATCATCCTGCAAGCAACAATTGGCAAAATATTAATACTGCAGTGACCATTGCTAGAGCGAATGAGAAATTTAAAGCATTACTTCGGCACGGCACAAGCGGCGCTGTACTCGAGCGGTCTTCTATTTGGCGAGCGGCTGTGTGAAATGTCGGCGACTCTCGCATCGCTTTTGGGTGCCTTCAGGGTTATCGTGCCTCCACAACAAGAGAGAGTGACGCTTATGAATAAGTGGCCCGAGTGTAGTCTTAATTTACCTGTCTAGTACCATTTAAAGAGGCAATAGAAAGCAGTGGTTGCATTAGGGACTCAGAAGGCTTTTAGAGGCTCACCAAGAGAATGTGCTTTAGCTTGCCCGTGTGGGAGTCCCACACTTTGATGGAATGGTCGTTCACAGCAGTCACAACTAAATGGTCGTCCTGGTTCCACCCGACCATGGTCACTTTCAACCTCTGCTTGGGGTCCTCCTCCACATGTTCCTCAGATCTGCAACAAAGCCCAGACGACACCATGCTTGACGGTTCCCCACTCAGCACTCTTGCACAATGACCGCCTTGCAGGGTGTTCCAAATGGTTCCTCCACATATCATGAAAATCGGGAGATTGCAGCCGCATAACAGCTCTGACATGCCGAGACGTGCATTGCTGATAGCGTGCGAACAATGATGCACTGCTTGAAAGCTACAATGTTGCCAAAAGCTGGGTGCAGTGACAAGCCTTACGCACTTTATAACACATTCAACAGGACGTTCCAGTGGACAAAATTCTAAACAAATGACATTTTTGTTTAACAGCGCACTCGCTATTAGCTGCTTCAGGCCAACTACCTAAAGGCTTCCCATTTGGCTTCATAGTACAATACGAGTGAACGTTCATTTGGTAACCCTGTATGGCAAGTCAAGGTTCGTATAAATTTCCTGGTGTGTTCCAATGAATGTTCTATTTCTGATACCGTTAAACTCCTCAATAAGAGGCATGCTCTGGGCAGCGATTCGTATGCATTTTCTTATGAACCCGTATTTACTGTAGGCACACTGGCGTCTTTTATACCCATTTGTGTCCCTTATAGAGAGGTTTGACTGTACAAGTTACCACTCTCTCATTTCACAAAAAGAGCAATACATACATTACTTGCATGTTTACAGTGCAGTGTTTTAACGTTACCAAAACATTGTTTCAAATCCTACACATTTTAAATGCAATGCAGAATATTTTATTTTGAGGCAGCCAACATGACAAGTTCATACTTGCAATGCACTGATCGAACACAAATAAAGATGCACATAAGCATATATAAAGAAAACTAACAAGCCTTGTATGCATGCATGAGTTCTTTTAGTGTGCCTTTGTGCTCAAACAGGGCGTTGCAAGTATCGGCTCTGCACAATTAACAACGCACCAACGCCCGCTCTTCTAGTCCTTAATGAAATGCTGTAATGTTACCAGTCATCACTCCTCACCTATAGGTTTAAATGATTGATAGGCAGCACTGAGACAGCTCGAGAAACTAACCCCACCAACTTGGTAGCCATACGAAGCCTAGTCGACCTCCACTGCTGTCGCTCGTAGGTCCAAACGTTGGCCGTGCCATCCTTGGAACCACTCACAAACCGGCAGCTATGATTGGCAAACTGCAAGCTGTCCACTTGGTCCTGCAAAGAGAAAAGATGTAAGAACGCCCTTTTGTTTTCATCCAAAAGGGAGAAAAACCACCAGATGAAGGTGGCTTCCCCATCAACACAATAAACAATCAGACAGACACAATGCATGGAAACACTGCAACGTGCCCCTAATTGACAGTGCACTTCCAAGTAGTGTAAAAAATTTTTGTTGTATTGCTCATGATTATTAAGCCTTTATCCCATGACAGCACTTCGTTGTGTCAAAACTCAATCTCAAACTGAAGCATGAGCAACCCAATAAAAAAGCCCGTGAAATAAAAAATTCTTTTGAATTCTTCTATCCCAAGTAAAAAAAAAAAAAGAAGAAAAAGCTTTTGTGACCTTAAAACGTTGGCACAACAAAATCAACATGGGAGTTTTCACATAATTTACACAAGTGCATGCCCAATTTTGAACTACAACTAGCCTTGCATATGAAGGTTCAATTTCAGCACTACTGTGGAGGTGTTCTAGAGCAAGTAAGCCCAACAAAATGATCCAAATTGCAAGCCGAGCGTCTTACAGCATGTGCCTCGAGTTCAGCGATCCGCTCCGGACCGGATGGGGCCAGCATGTGGTAAACTCGAACAAAATGGTCTGTGCTGCCTGTAGCCAAGAAGGCTCCACCTGTTGGGTTTTCGTAAGCAACGGTCAAGAGTTTTTCAGGCTCCCATCGATGGACCTTAGTGAACAGGTGCACTTCTGGCACCTGCTCTTGAATCCACGAACTGTGTCGTGTCTCTGGACCCTTACCTGGACTGAACGAGGAGCAGATCATCTGAGAGCCTGCACGAATCCTCTCGGTAAACTTGAGCGGCTTAGGGCTGTGAATGAAAGGTTACCGCATGAGACATAGAATAGCAGTATAGGGCAAAGCAAATAGAAACTGGACAATGAGAATGTAAACCGTCGATGTCAACAAGGCGCAGCAGCCTGCATGCGGTCTATCATGTGTATTCTACAGTGAAATCTCGAGAATAAATCTCAAGAACTCCTCAAAGTCATTCCTTCTTTTGCAAAACCGTAACGCAAGCGTGTAAGTCGCCCACCTGTGCTGTGTATACAAAGGGGACTGCATTATGCTTTACAATTACGAAAAACCAAACAAATACGAAATATTACAGAACCAGGACACATTTATTTGAGGAAAAGCACGATATATCCTGATGTGGACAGCTCGACTACTAAAAGAAAAACCCTTAAATTATAACGGGAGTTATAACAGCAAAAACTTGAGACAAATGTTTTGGTCCGCGAAATGCGCGACGAATCTTTTTTGTAGTCCAGAGCCCTTCCTGTTTTCTCCCGTAACGAATGCGCACGGGTCGCGCATGCAGCCATGTAACTAGTGTACCAACCGAACGTGCCCTGCACAGCAGGTGTCCAACTAAATTTACTACGACAATTGCACCCGACAACAAAAACGCAGCATCGGATGGCGGCGCACAAACGTTGCAGGTGCACGACGTGCCGTTGGTACAGTTGTGCTTTGCATGGCCTCCGAGATGGCGGGTGTGCAGCTTAAAAACACGCTGCGCACCCGTTATCTTGGAGGCTATGCGCTTTGTTTTTTTAGTTTGTTTTCGTGTCGCTATGCTTGCATGCCGCTATAAGCGAAAAGGTTCCTCCTGCATTCGCAGATGGAGCTCTACTGCAAAAGACGCTACGTTTCAATTTTGATTGATGTCATCTGCGCTCGCACTGCTCGCAACTGTTTAGCATGGTTGCCTAACTATGCTTTGACTTTTATTGCGTCGTTATTTTGTGATCCAACGGCTTGATTTACCGTTGTTTCTATCATCAACGGCACTGGCTTTTCTCAAGGACCAACATGGGGAGTGGGTTCATTATGCGAGTTATTACGGTATGTTATTCTGAAAGATTCGGTATTCTAAATATCGTAGTAGTGAAAGATTTTTACATTAAACCAATGGGCTTTTGGAGGAGAAATTTTGAAAAAGTCATTATGTTTCAGAAGGACCAGAGAGACCGCAGAACCGATACGTTTTCGGTTTATTGTTGACAGAACAGGAAAAAAAATATGCAGAGCGTGACTCTGGCTACTTCTTCTTCTACTAGCCTCCGAGCTCCATCTTCAATCTGTTTTCTACATCTTCCCGCGGGCCAGATTCAACCGAAGCAACCTTCGAGCGAATACAACAGTTGAATCGGCCTCTTGACTAATTTTCCTTCAGGTGTACGAAGCAAGCATGTTCTCACTAGTCCATCCTTGCCTGGGAAAATCGTTTTAACCTTTCAGAGTTTCCACCGTGTTCTTTTTCGTGCTTCTTCAAGCAGAAGTACATCTCCTTCTCGAATATTTGTGTGACCCTCTATTTTTCTGCTGGTACACTTCAGCTTCCTCAGGTACTCCTTTTTCCACCTGGTCCACCATGTTATCATTGCCTGTTTTCTCGCACTCCAGTAATTCAACAAGCTGTATTCACCGAGTCTGTTTTCTTCCTGCTTGTTCATTGCTTGCCTGCCTCCTATAACGTCCGCCGGGGTGATGGGTTGTGGCTCGTTAGAATCGTCATACACATAAGTAAGAGGCCAGTTGTTAATTACTCCTTCTACTTCAACAACCACAGTCCGTAGTTCTTCTTCATCCAAAAGTTTTTTTAGTTCGGTGTCATTTGAAATCCATTTTCTTAAATTCATTCCCGCATTGCGAAAAATATCTCGTGCTTCTTTGCATATCTTTGTCGATGGGGAGTATTCGTCGGCTCCTAGTAAAACGTCATCGACGTAGATTCCTTTCCGGAGTTGCGCCACAACTGCAGGATATTTTTTTCGAATTTATCCAAATGTCGATGAATCGTGGCCGCTAGAAGGAAGCTACTTGGTGTAGTTCCGAAAGTAACCCTCGTCATCCTCCATGTTTTTATCTTCGGGGTTGGCATATCTTCGCTGGGTATTCTTTCCCACCACATGAATCGCAGTGCGTCTCGGTCATTTTCATGTATCCTTATCTGCAAGAATGCTTTTTCCACGTCGGCTGACATAGCGATCTTGTGATGTCGAAAGTTCATCAGCAAGCTTGTGAGGTCGGGGTTTAGGTTCGGCCCCTTTTCCAAGTTGTCATTCAAGGATTCACCTGGATTCTGGCTTGACGATGCGTCAAAGACGATCCGTATTTTTGTCGTTGTTCGGTCCTTCTTAATTACTGCTTGATGCGGCATGTAGTACACAAATTTGTTCTGTATATCTGACCCAGCATCTTCTTCGACGTTTTCTGCTATTTCTTGCTCGAAGTACTCTCGAATAGCTTTTTCATAGGCTAGGAGTTCATCTTTATCCTTGCATAATTTTTTGGTCACCTGGATAAGCCTCTTCTCGGCAATGGTGTTGTTGTCGTCCGATGTCACGTTTTCCTTCCATGGTAGCCGCACTTGGTATCTTCCTGCCTTGAACTCCATTGTTTGTCGGACGTAGTCTAGCACATGTTCATCGTTCATCTTTGTTGCTGGTTTCTCCTTGATGCCCATGTTTTCCAAGTCCCAGAATCTCTGCTGTTCGTCCACAGTCGTGTCCGACTTGGCACTGACCTTGAGTACCATAACCGTCGATTTCATCGGCACACAATGAAGTCCTACAGGACCTTGGACCATCCATCCCAATATTGTTTCTATTGCCATTACCTTTGGATGAATCTCGCAAATGCGACCAGTGACTACAGTCCAGTAATAATCTGCTCCAATTAATATAGAGGTTTCCATATTTTTTCTTTCTTTGTCCGTCTTCTCGTTGTCATCAGCCAAACAAATTCCCATCGATCTTGCTCTTTCGTGTATTGTCAACGGTGGCGATGGTAGCACGTCACAGGATATAACTTCTATCTCCAGTGCATCAATCGTGACTGGCTCTGATGTGGAATCCTTCCTCACGCTGACCTCGACGACTTTCATGTCTAATTCCATCTCTTCTCCTCCAAATGGTCCTTCAGTAATCCTTTCGAATCTTTTTACCTTGCACGCTAGTTTTCTTGACAATCTTTTGAGGATGAATGTCCTCTGACTCCCGTTGTCGAGCAAAACCCGTGCGTAGCATCTGTTGTCTTCTCCCTCCGTCCACGAGAAGGCTGTCTGCAGTAGTATGCACTTGTGTTCATCAGACTGCTGTGCGTGCATGTTGCAGGACTTGCTGGTGTCTAACCGGTCAGGTTGCACGCTTTTACGCACTTGCTCAACATTACCGCTTTGCTGCTGTGCTGACTTTCCTGCAGGCGTACGTGGTCGACACATGGATGTCGCGTGCCTTCCCTTGCATGTTTTGCAGCGTACCTTAGCACGGCATATCTTCGCCGTGTGGTGAGGTCTGGTGCATCTGAGGCACCTTCGTTCCCGTTCTAAGGCTTCTTTCTTCTATTGCATACTAATGCTTCTACTGCAATCTTCCGTGTAGTGTCCAGTCATCTCACAGAAGATTCATTTCTTAATCGATATGCTTTGAAGCGTAGATGTTCTAGTCCGCCTCATACTGTGCGGTGACTGGGTCACGTATTTTTCCTCTCGAGTTTCTTCTCTGCTGCGTATATATATGTTTAAAAACTCCATAATTTCTTTCAAACTGCTCGTGCTGTCTCTTGACGCTGAGCCCGATTCCGTAGTTGCTGGTCTGTTGTCACCTTTCTTTAACTCCTTCACCTTCATCTCAATCCTCATATCCACCGGTAGCGCAGATTTTACAACAGGAGTCATCACTGTGGCGTAACTACCCATTTCCACTCCTAATGACTGCAATGCCCGTGTGTTCACTTGCAACTTTTGGAAGAGTTTCTTCAACCCATCTACATCTTTAGGACTCTTCACTGCTTCCAAGTTTACAAGCTCTTTTATGTAGGTCTCTCTTAAATTATCTCCTCGTCCGAAGGTTTCTTTCAGAAGAGCGACTGCATGCTCGTAATTCTGATCAGAAAACTGCAAACCTTCTATGACGGACGCAGCCTCCGCGCTCAGAGACGCCAGAAGGTAATTAAATTTTTGATTCTTCGGCATGTTCGCTCTGTTATGCACCGATGTCTCGAACTGATGCCAAAACCTTGGCCATGCTGTTTTTTTCCCATCAAACTTGATCATCTCAAGACGTGGCAACTTAACAAGCTCTTGCATCTCCGAGATTTGGTCAGTACCTTGCACTGAACTCGCCTGTTCTGTGACTATTCTCGTAGTCAGTTGCGTCGCTTGTTCTAACTCGCGTAATCGCTCCTCTATTTTTGTCGTTGCAGCGACGATCTTCATCTCATAATGCAAAACTCTTTCAAATTCTGCATCCGCGTCGTCTTCTTCAATGAACGGTTCTATCTGAACGGTTCGTTAACTTGTCTTAGCGTCTGTGACACGCTGTTCATCTGGTTCAGAAGCATCATAAGTTGCGCTCGATCGGCGTCTTCTTCTATCTTCTTATCGATTTCGCTCGTAAGCGTCGTCACATTTGCTCGAAGCGTCTTCCGCTTCTTCGATAGGACCTCTTTATTCATGCCTAAAACGTGTTGAAAGAGCTCTTGCTTTTTTATGTGCGTCTCCAACAGTCCTCGGTCGTGGTCCTTCTCTCGACGGTGCGTCCTTGAGCCAGACGCCGCTCCTTCGTTCTTCAACCCGTTGTTGCGAATGAGGTTGAAGTCTGTGCGTCTGTCTTCAGATCCTCCTGGTCACGGCACCATGTTTCAGAAGGACCAGAGAGACCGCAGAACCGATACGTCTTCGGTTTATTGTTGACAGAACAGGAAAAAAAATATGCAGAGCGTGACTCTGGCTACTTCTTCTTCTTCGCCTCCGAGCTCCATCTTCAATCTGTTTTCTACACATTAATCTGAAAAATTCATTAATCTGTGGTTCGCTATAACAATATTTGACTGTACAACACACAAGAACAAAAAGAAATAACAGTGGTGATGGCTTCTAGCATTTTGGAGCAGTCATTGGAGAAGGCAAAATCTGCTTTTGGAGCAGCCACCTCTGTGTTTGGAGAACGCACGGGCTTTCCATGACACACACAGAGAAAGAAAAATTACCTTTAATTTAGTTTAATGTAGCTGAGTGGTAGAGCGTCGGAAGCGTTATTCGAAAATAGCAGATTTGGTTCCTACCAGTGGCAAGTTATCTTTCCATCCAAATTTGCATCACAATTACTTCTAATAATAACCTGTATGTTTTCCCGGAATTATTGTCTGTTGGTTCTCTGCTGAACTTTTGCAACTGGAGCAAAACTAGGAATATGAAAAGTGAGGGGAGAAAAGAAACCGATGGGAGCCAAACGTGATGACATGTGTGGCAAGTTTTCCCCGCCACTGCGCAAGTGTGTAAGTTTACCTGTTTTCCAGCCTGCACCGGCAATAAACAGTTGTTAGTTTGGCGCCAGTCTGTCTCTTTCTTTCCCTCATTTTCATGTTCCTAGTTTTGCGCCAGTTACGAAATATTCAGCAAACTAAGGCACCGACTCGCCCCAAAACAAGTTCTTCTACTATAAGTTCTCATTAACTGTGTCTAATAAAGAAAGCGAGGCTTTAAAGTTACACTTTTCTTCACTCAGCTTACATAATCACTTATACAAAAGAAGCAGCAAGCCCACAAAATAAGCAAAAGAATAAAATAAATAAGAGCAGGATTTGTACAAAAGCGGTGACATAAGATAGTGAGAGATATTGCATCAACACGCTAGCTGCAGCATGTAGTTCATAGCAGTGCACAACACACTCCCATGCATGAACACACATGCACATTCAAAGCTGGTTACAGTACCTATGACAAAGTACAAATCTGAGTTTTTTTAGGTGTGCCATCACCGCTTAAGAAGGAAAAAATATAGTGCCAAAGAAAATATTGCCTTATGCGCCCACCGCAAAGCCGTTTTTTTTTAAATTTTTGCAAATGTTAAGAAAATATTGGCATTCCCGCATCACCGTCCGATAGCACGCGATGGCACCAAACAGAATTTCGAAAATACTGCGGGGTACAGGATACACAGCCAACGCAGCAGCTGGCATAGCGACGAAACGCACATAATCGGCTGTCCGTGATAAACGTGTACCACGATCTGCCACTTGGCAAAAAGTGACACAGTGTTTTTGAGACACGGTACGGTCATGGGGAGCAGATTTTCCACTGACTAGTTGCATGCAGCACTTCGCGTACCTGGCATACACACCGCGTTGAGCCGCTTGCTCCCACTCGACTTCATACTTAGCACAGATGCAACAAGAAGCCTGTTGCGTTAACGCAATGATACGAGCTTTCTGCAAACGATGCTTTAGCAGTCCTGTTAGCAGACGTAGCAGCATTTGGGCTGTCGCCTCATGAGAGTGTGTCTTGCTGTCTAGGAGCCCGCAATCCGCAACACTCAACTCCGCAACAACGGACTGCTTTCTTTCTGCAAAACATTCGCTTTCTTTCTGCAAAACAACGATTGAGGCGGCAGCCGGCGACTACGTGAGAGTAGTCGCCGGCTATTAAAAGCGTGCAGTTGGCTTAAAGCAGCGCTACACCCCACATGTGGGCTCTTTGTTGGCGATAAGCCATACTGACACACCTTTCAGCAGTTGCCACATTGCCTTCGTTCTTTGCCAATGATTATTAAAAAAGACGGTCGCAATCCCGCGTAAGTCGGAATAACTGAGTTCGATTCCCTGCTTTTGAAGCAGCGCAACTGAACGCAAATTCAGCAGTGTGCGTGTACAAGACGGCAACCATCACGTAATATCTGCTCACGGTGCGTGCTGTGAGCTTTACTTTCGGTTCGAACACCACCTTGTGGAGCGGCAATGACGCAAAGTACACAAGAAAAATTTTTTTTGGAGCAGTATGGCATGGTGATTTCCAGTTGGTGCAGGTTTCCCATCACTGAAAGAAGCTGAATTTTTAGTACTGCCACAACAAAGCAACTAGTTTACTCAGTGATGACATTTAAACAACTCTCAATGCCTATTAAAAAAAAACGTACAAGATAACTCACTTGAAACTCTTAGTGCTGCTCGAGTAGTCCCAAAAACATGCACAGCCGTCGTTGCCTGTCGATACCAAAAACTGCCTGTTTCCCTTTGGGTACGGACAAAACTGCACAAACAAAAGATAGCACGTTGTACGTTGTGCACGAACTACACAAAAGTTATTTCAAGCTTGCATGCAGTGTCGGTGCTCACCCTAAGTGAGGTAACCATGGCTGTGTGACCCAAAAGCACGGCAACAGGTGCCAGGGTGAGCAGGCACCAGACGCGGATGACCTTGTCACAGCTGCCAGCCGCCAGCAACTGGTTGTCTGGACTCACAGCCAGATCGGTAATTTCGGCCGAGTGGCCTCGCAGTGTAGCCAGTAGCCTCCCATCCTGGGCGCTCCACATCTTCACCAACAGGTCATCTGCACCCTGTGACGCAAACACACCATGCTCAGTGTGATAGTCCTCTCCCAATCACTAGCTGTGCCAGGTAGGAGGGGAGGAGGCAAAGAGGAGGGGGGAGGCATCTGGTTCCAACAAAGAAAAGAAGAATTCCTCGTAAAAGCAGTACTGCAAATAAGTTCTGCGCAATCCCGCAAAGCGGCAGCAGAGTTAAAAAAAAAAAAAGAAACTGACAACCACCTGTCAACAACAGGGAGCCACAAGGCAATCCATACAGACTTGTTATGAAGAAGGCCTTTCAAGTTGCCAAGAAATGATCGCTGAAAAAAAAAAAATTCTCCGGCAATTAAGAAGCTCTTCTTCTAAGAGATCCTTGATTTTCCTAGTGGCTTCGTGCTATGAGCACATGGTTGTTAATTTCTCATCCTTCCTTCTGAATAAATAAAATGAAAATATTTACCGTAAAAATGTAGTTGCCACTGCGGTCAAAGAGGACACAGTAAACGGACGACAGATGCCCCAGGAGGCGCCTGAAAAGTTGCGCCTTCACGTAGAACTGAGTAGACAGCTGCTGTCTGCAACTGCCACCCGCCAGGGCACCCAACTGTCGCCCCTGCAATACCATCGCTGCGCACAAATGCAGAACTGTGAATTATGCAGCATGCGCAAGGCTGCGCAATGCTTGGAGTTAACAAGTATGCTAACAAGATGAAATGACAAAGTGCACAGTGTGTGGGAAAGCACAGTTTCGGTTTTGCCTCCTGGATGGTCCCAGTTATACGTCAAGATGCACGAATAAAATAAACATGTTAAGACCAAGTCACATAAAGATGAAGAGAACAAAGCGTTTCTTAGAATAGATGTGCTCACAAGAAATCTGCCACACATTGATACACATCTCCAATATTAGTTAAACAGTTAGGTCTGGCTAAATGGAGTTTTCCTGCAAGCATATGGGTCTTAAGATGCAAAGTATACTTATAGTGAATGGGGTAAACCCTAACGGCAGAAATTAGAGTAAGAAAAGCGTAAAATTTTGGGTTAGCCAATTACCTTGAATGGCTTCCCACATTTGTTCATGTGGTGAACTGTAATTCCAAAGTGTATTATGATCATGAACAACATTTATAGCATGCAATCTGCCAAGAAGTTGCCAACAAATACTTTAAACTAAGACGAATACACTCGAAACTCATTATAACAAAGTTGCACCATACACGAAAATGAGTTTGTTATATTCAAAAACTCGTTATAAAGGATTATTCCTAATACCATATCTATTGCAAGAACATTTTTCATTTACTTAGATATAACCGATATTTCATTATATACGGTTTCGTTATATCGAGGTTGGAGTGTACAGTCGAACTCAGCTACAACGAGCGCCGCTTCAACGAAAAATTCACGATTCCCCGTCATAGATAGCGTCGCCACAACGAACACTTTTTCTTCTGTCATCCCGCTTCAACAAAATTTCACGATGCAATTCCAGGCTCAGATACTTATTGCTACGCACTAAACCCAATCTTTAAAATTTGATGCGTTTTCAGAGCCTGAAAATGCATCAACGAAAGTCTAAAACGCGCGTTGGCACCACCAGAAACCGCTGCTGTTCAGCAAGCATGGGCGCCACCATTGCTCGATAGCGATGGCAATGAGACTGCCCATGATTTTGCCACTGGCTTGCAGTAAAAGCAAGCCACTGGCTTGCTTTTTGAGCCGCAGATGATCTGAAGCTGAAGCTCAGTCGCTCAGTTCATGGTTTCCTTCACGCAGCTGCTGGGTGCAACCGTGGAAATGATGCCTATTTCCGATGCTTATCATTATGTTTGCGCTTGAGTCGGTGTGCGTAACTAATCATAGCGGCTGTTCATCCACATTATCAACAAAATCAGCTAGCCGCGAGTGATAGATGATAAGAACGGCACTAGAAGTTGCCACTCTACGATACCCTGCCTCCATCTCAAAGTCAGATACACGTTGTCGGATACTCATTGACGGCAGGACAGCTGCTGGTAGTTAACGTGTAAATGCAACTGTTTGGTTCGTTCACGAAGGCAGTTTTAGGCGTTGTTTCAGCGTGATTTTCACTATGGCCTCGCTATGCATGGGTGAGAATAACGTCGTGACGCTGCTGGGAAAGAATAGAAGGCAGTGGACACTGCTATTGGCGTTGCTGCAGGACAAAGCCTAGATGAAAAGGTAATGTGGCTCCCATGTGTTATGCCTAAAAAGTACAGATGAGCAAAGAGATCACATTGAATACAGCCTAATGAAAGAAAGGAAACGAGATTGTGACTAGGAGGACATAAAGTAGTACTTGGAATGTCCTAGGAGTCAGGACAAATGGTATCAAATGAAACTGTCTTGCTTTTAACCCAAACTCCAGGAATCTGAAAGTTCAGAAAGTTTCCCTTTGTAGTAGTGTACACCAAAAAAACTCCGCTGTGTGTGCAATTTTGGAAGCAGCAGGACACTGTCCCATTTGTGCACCTTCCCACGACTATTTAGTGACACTGCCCTTCTAGACCACACATCAATGTGCTCGATTAAAAAAAAAAAACTAAATAAGAAAACAGAAAGGAGAAGGAGATGCAGACAACAGAAGTATATCAATTAGGCAGCACTCACCAATATTGCAAGGCACTGTGCCAGGGGAGAGGCAGGCAGGGGCGCCATGGAGCCGGACGGCCACGTCTGCTGTGGCACGAAGTCGTCGCACCACTGCCGAGGCAATAGACCATGACAACTGAGTTCATGCTGTTCCGTTCTACTTCTCTATCACACGAAGAACTAGCTCTATCTATGGGCAAACAGCTGGGCTAGTGTACACTAGCAACACGCTGTTTGAGTACGAAGAAAGGCACGAAAAGCACAGGTAGAACACAACACGAACTAACAACTGCTCATTTCATGGAAACATGACAAATGCATACAGGGTGGAAGAAAGAAAGTGTGGGCTTGCGCAATGCACACAACGTTTGTTTGAACAGCATGTTCGTGATCAAAGAGTGTTGCAAGTGGCAACTATGTACAACCAACTACAGCCCCCCCCCCCCCCCCCTCCCTCCCCGGCCCTTCTAGCTGGACTAGCTGGTTTCAGTCATAAGCTACATAACACGATATGGCAAACAAGGACACACATTAATCGAAAGTACAGGACAAGTGCCGTGTAGCACAAACCTATGGCAGGTAAACATTCTCTACAAGTGATAAAACATAAACAGCACCATTTTGTGCTGGCTCAATATTAAAACCCCAACCATCCCTGCTGAGGTTAAACAAGCCTAAAAATGATGCGAGGCGCATACTTCAGAATCATTTGCTGGCTGGTGTGTTTGCCAGGTAAAGTTATACACGGCTCTTTGCAAGAAAATTTATGGCGTATTTGGTTAGGCGTTTTCGAGCGCTCTGAAGACTGGCTGCGCCTTCGGTTGGTAGAATTTGAGCGCTTAAACTACCTTCAGCTCGTTCCTTCAGAGTGTCAACCTGACTCAGAGCGCTCTCGTCTGCTCCGACTTCGAAGTGAGAGCGTGGCGCGATCTGACCGAGAGGACGAATCACGTGACACAACCCAGCCAGGCTGCCGGCAGGTAAATGAGGTGAGGAGCGCGAGCGTGCATTTAGGAAGGATGTATCGCCTGGGCGCGTAATACTTTGTGTTTGTGTGTTGTTAATGGCGGTTCTGCGCGTGTGGGGCGAATTCACATCTGCGAAGCCATAAATGTACCATGTCGATAATGAGGCCGCTAGCGAAGGTGGAGAAAACTTCATTGCTGTCATGACAGCAGCTCGCAGACAGTCTCGTGGTTTGCCTAGACGATAGCAGCTCAGACGAGGACGATCGCCAGATTTATGTGCTGAGCTCAGAAGACTTTCACTACGCCCAGACATGCCAGAGATGTCCACTGAACTGATCGGCATCATTTGTAGACATGGCGCAGCAATGTTTACCAGGCCGCTTCCCGCGCTGGCTGCACGGTGGTGCTAATGGCGCGCTGCTCTAAGCGCTCTGAGATGGCCGATGTACTCAGTTGGTATGCTGCCTCTCGTGCTCTGATTGCAAGCTGCCTTTGCATCTAGCGACTGAGCCAGGGGACCAGAGCGGCCAGACGAATACGCCATTAACGACAGTGCTGACACTGCTCTTAATACAAACCATTACTGCAACATAAAGCCTTTGAATAAAATGAGCTCTTTAACCCTCTCGCTTAATAGATCAGCTCTTGCAATTTCACACGCTTGTAACGTGTGAGAATGGCTAATGAAGTACTCACCGATAGTACAAACTTACGAGGCTTCAGTAAAACACTGTGGTAATTTCATCCAGTAAATAAAAGATATAAGTAACCGTAGTTGCATATGCAAGCTAAGCCACAAGTCTAAACAAGCCAATGCTAGCACTTCCCATCGTTAGCAGATGAACGCATGAACTGTTGACAACAACAATAAAAAATTAATATTAATCTCTAGGGTGTTACATCCCAAAACTACGATATGACTATGAGAGGACGCTATAATGTAGGGCTTCGATAACGTTGACCAACAGGTATGCTTTAATGTGCACTGACATTGCCTTAAGCATTTCACCTCTATCGAGGCATTTAAGCATTTCACCTCTATGTCCAGAGATGCAAGAATGATTAAAAGCACCAAAGAAGAACTTTTGCGCGGGCACTGGTACCACCTTGAATGCGCAAGTAACTTGGCGTCTCTCATAATCATATCGCGGTTTTGGGACGTTAAACCCCACATATCAATATGCAAGTAACTTTACTCACTCGAGTGCTGCCGAAGCAGAGAGTAGCTCCCAGAGCCCAGAAGTGAGAGGGAGCCGGCCACTCCACACGGTATGACCTGGTCCAGGAGAGGACCAATCCGAGAACATATTTGCAGCAGGTAGTCGTCAGGAATGTGCACGTTGGAATTTGCCTGTAGCACATTTACAAATGAAGGAGAAACCATGCAGTCTTGTTTCTTCAGAAGGATTAGAACTAGGCCAGAAGAATTAGAACTAGACACATTTATTCCTACAGAAAGACAAGGACAGCAATACCACCTGTGTCAACGTTTCTTTTCCTATAGTTCAATTCTGATTAGAGATAAATTATTCTCACAGCCAAAACGCAGCCAATTCGAGTGCAACAAGTGCTAGATTACCTATAGCCATAGGTCGCAGCAAAACCTGTAGAGCTCACTCAGACTCGCTCATGAAATAAATTTTGCGCTTTGGACTCGCTTGAACTCAGATTCACCAAAATTTTCCCAAGCCACACTCCCCCGGACTCACAATCACGAAAATTTTCTTCAACCCAACCCACTCAAACTCACCAAAATATTACTCACCCCGACTTATGGCTCGAGCTAAGTCTGAGTGACTCCGAGTGAGTCGACTCACAAGTCCGTTGGCCTAGTATTGGATTTCTGGGCCGAATTGTCGATGCTCTTTAACACCAATATCTCACATAATCGGTGCGCTTCTTGGCGCCGCTTGATATAGTACCTTCTAGTAATAATGAGTGTCGCAAACCAGTCAGCTCATTTTCTTGGAAGCGATGATCACATAAGACATATTTATCAAGAACTTCCTTGGATGGCTGCGCGGCGGGGGACGTCAAGACAGCTTCCTATGCAATTCCCACCTCTGATCAATAAATATTGAAATGATGTATGAACGACACTGCTTTATAATACGTGTGAATGAGTACAAACGTTAATCCAGGTAAGCCTGATAGTAATGCTTAAAATGAGTAGATAGGACCATAGGTCGGCAAAAGAAAGCAGAACTCAGACTAACTCAAGAAATATACATATTCCACTCTGGACTCACCAAAATTTAGAAGGTTTTGCTGAGCTAGTTCGTACATAATAATGAGGTAAAATGAGTGATGCTATTTCCTTCTGCTTCTATGTTGTTCTTGTGGTGTTTTAGGAGTCTGAAATTTTCTCTTACCGAAATTTTCCTGGGCTGAATTCACTCAGACTCGCGAAAGTTATCTTCAATGAATTTCTCGCCAAAATATTACTTATCCGGACTCACTCAGACTAACGGCTTGAATCTCAGTCTGAGTGAGTTGGCCGATCTATGCGAAAAGTGCGGCGAGTCTCAAATCTTCTACTCAATAACCCAGAAATGATTACTTTGCTGCACAGTTTTCTTTTAGCAATACTGATGCCCCAAAACATTTTTTCGCCTAAAAGCATGGCAATGTTAACACTTAAAGTAACAGTTTAGCGTGAGCAAACTATATGAAATATGATTATAAAATAAAAATGGCTATTTTGCAAAACTACAGGTGTTCAATCTAAATTCTAATATTCTTACAGATTTGTCATTCAAGACACAGTGCAGTTGATAGAAGCTATAGCTCTGGACTGATTCTTTAATTATTAGGGTTACCACCACAATTTTTGCACATGCCCACCCCTAAAATATTTTGACCGAGTCTTCTTACTCAATAAGAAAATATTAGCCTGAAACATCACTTAAAATTTTTGGTTCTTTACTGTGCATCATCTAGTTAAAGAAACTAAGCCACTAAACCATTTCTATGTTCTTGACAAGTGTGCACGGTGTCAGTGTTGTCCTAACTCAGTTGACATAGAAAAGTGGTCCTATCCTAAAGGATAAGGACATTGTGACAGTAAACAATATCATCAACTGAAAACCCAAGCACTACAGATGAAAAACATTGTGTCAATACAGCTACATGCTGAAGTTTTAAACGCTTGTATGATGCTTCATTTAATGACAGCTTTAAGCTTCATGAAAACGTGAGTATGGACAGAAGTCACAAGTACTTAGTAAGGGGCTTTATTTGATACAAATTCAACTAATGAATACAAAGTGCAATGTCAGCCTCATTCATAGAACAAGAACAAAATTTGCAACTTGTACCAGCCATTAGAAGCTGCGATTCATGTTCATAAAGGACGCGGCACTTTGAAATTCCTTTAAATGAAAATGCACACACCACCGCGGAATATGATGCGATCAATCACAATCACAACAACGTCAACGCAGCGGGCGGCCACATTCGCAACAAGCCCGCAGCCACAAAACACCGCAGAAAATTGAAAAAGTACTACTTTCCCGCCACTTTTACAGAAAAAACACGTCCGCATTCGCGCGCAAAAAAAAAAAAAAAAACTGAACATAACACTGCTTCCTGCCCGCTCCAGCAAAACTCACTACGTGGAAAATTACAAAAAACACAACAAACAAAAACGCCACCTCATCCGTGACGTGTACCGTCGCCGGGGCGACGAATTGCCAAGAATGCCTCAGCCAATCGCCGACTCGCATTGCATGAGCTCGTTCGTAAGAGCTCACACGATTGGCTGCCGACTGAGTTCACGCCCCCGTCTGGTCACTGAGTCAACTCGGCAAATAAAAAGCAACAAATGCCACTCCTCCGTGAATCGGAATTCATCAGCTAAGGGGCAGCGTCTTTTTTTTTTTTTTGTTCTTCATCGTCCGCGAATAATGCGAGGAACTGTTCTAGGTCGAATTTCTGGCGCTCTCGAAATAAACGTGAGCCCGAAAACGCAGAAAATCACGCCATGTGGCCGCACAGGCAACACGGTGACAAAAATGTAAACTTTCGAAAATTGTCCAAAATGCAGCCGGGTCACTTACCAATTCTGCAAAACTCCTGTCATGCTCATTCCCATGCCAATCGAGCCTTTTCGGCAAAAGCTAGAAAAGATATTAAAAATTAGGCTTAGCGAAAACCAAGCACCCGTCGCACTAACAGAATGCGCGGCTCGGAACTAACTAGCGCAATGTTTTGATCGCCACAACCCACGTGCTTCGCACGAGGTTCTTTCGGAACGCAAGCGGCAACTTACATGATGCTCTTCAATCTCCCTCCGAAGAACCTGAAAAAACCCACGCATGTATCGGTTTTCCGCTTGCAAGCGATAGCATACGCTCAAAAAAGCAACCAACTATTACCTCCGCAGCCTCCTTGCAAGGTCCCCTGCCCAGGAACTTTGAAATTATGAAATACAACTCTGCAAGCAAATCAATGAGAAATCAGCCTCCACTGATCAGGTACAAACGCTCGTTCAAGATCGGACTTTTGTTCCCAAAAAATCTGAAGCTTACGGTACCTTTTTCGAGAAGTTCCTGCGTCCTCCTGTTAGGATTTGCTGTTGACATCCTTATTAAACGTTTACATCTACAGTATGACTACATAATGCGTCACGGTGTGCTTGTTAATCGTTACAAACTACTCGCGGCAATCCAAAATAAAGGAGGTAACTTTACAACGACATTGAACCGAAGCCCTGCAAGAAGCGGATACATTTCCGACACAGAAAATAGTTACAAGTCGAGTTAGCTAAAAATTGTTAAAACTTACACTTAACGTGCTTGCAGTTAGAAAATTAAAGCTAAAAATATTCCGCAGTATGTGCGTTGCTCGATATCTTAACTAATAATAAAATATGTTCTCTTGGCGGCAGGGCGGAGTAATACAACAAGGGCAACGGCGACATCCAGTGGCATATGCCGATGTGCATGAGTTCCGTCAGCTAGCACGTCGGCGACGTTGCTGTTGACGGAAAATTTCCGCTGTTTTGTCAATCAACTGTGCGACGTTGCCGTCAGTAAAATTTTGTTTAACTTGGCCCAACTTTATATGACGTGAACCTGGTCCGGTGGAAAAGGTATAGGCTCTGTATTACGCACAATCCCGTAATGTGGGTTGAAGAAAATGGGGCCAGAGCCGGACGTGTTTGAGCGGTAACTTTCGGAACTTTCTTTCTGCGATCGAACTCTGCACAGGTTCACAGGATGTCGTGGATCAAACAAACGAAGCTTACATGGTTGCAATCGGTCGCCGTCCGTGTTCTAAAAGCTGGAAAGGTGCCGACGCATTTGGCTGTCATCATGGACGGGAACCGGCGCTTCGCAAGGAAGCAAAACATGCGCTCTGTGGAGGGTCACGTCCAAGGATTCGACAAATTGGCCGAGGTGAGGTAGATTTTGCTTGGCTTCGCGATAAACAAGCGAACGAATTATGCATTGCGAACGTCAACTGTACCGAGACCGGCTGCCTGTTTGCAGGTCCTTTATTGGTGCTCCGAATTGGGTGTCACCGAGGTTACCGTCTATGCGTTTAGCATCGAAAATTTCAAGAGATCCAAGGACGAAGTGGATGGCCTCCTAGACCTGGCTCTTCAGAAACTGAGGAACATGTTGAACGAAATGTGCGCAAGAGCGTTTGCTTACGCACTTTGTCCTTGCCCCTCGACGACGTAAGTGCATTGACACGTGTGCACTCGCGCTTCGCAGGGACAAGATCCACGAGCATGGAGTCTGCATTCGCGTGCTTGGAAACTTGTCCTATTTACCGGTGGAATTGCAGCAAGTCGTGGCCGAAGTTGTACACGAAACGCAAGGGAACTCGAGGTACTAAGTGCGACTGTTATATTTCTCTCGCATAGTACATATTATGTCATGTTCATCTTAGTTTGGCGATTCAGAACTCGGTTCTTTCGCGTAATACAATCCCGCAGAGACAAAACATGGTAGTATAGATTACAGCGGTAAAGTTCTCGGGTGATAATTAAGAAAATATTTGTGGGGCAGCTGAGAACAGAAAAGAAAAACAAACGATAAACGCCCAGTGTTACACTCTGTTAAAGTATGTTACCTTCATTCCTTAAAGCGCTTAAAAAAAATAACATACCTTCTGACTTTGGACACCCACTTCGAATGACGAATTCGCATATGTGATAACAAAAAGCTCTGCATATACTGAACCATTTGGTTGGTAGAGCTTTGTCCATTCGTGTTATTTTGCCCCAGTTTTTACTATCCAAAATTCTTATTTTGCATAGCACCTGTATCAACAACCTCTGTGTTAAACAAACCTTAAAAAGCAGCATTTTTCCTACTAAAAGGTTTCAACTAGTTACATTGTACAAGTAGCTTTCGTGCATGACCAAAGAGCATATGTATGTAATACTTGAAGAATTGATGGCGAGGAGAACTTGTTGGAATTTTATACATGTTACTGCATGAGGACAACGAAAATTGTGGCTGATTACAATTTCTCATCTCTTTTCTGAGATGGTGTTATTTTAATAACTGTTCCTATACTGAATCAAGCAAAAATAATGTCTCAGCAAGTCATTTAAAGATGGGAGCATTAACCTGTCCTGTGTATACTTCAGGTGCTTTCTCAATATATGTCTGTCGTACACTTCTCGGGACGAAATATGCAAGGCAATGCAAGAATTGGCCACTGGAGTTGAGAAGGGCATCCTGTCACCAAAGTAAGACCTGTCTTTATGAAATTACATCATATTTGATATAATATATGAAAGGAGAGAGCTCATAGTCATCTATCGTGGAGAAGTAAAAAGCTACAAAGTTGGCTGCATTGTACTTTTGCAGTGTGATGTAACATGCAGCAATTAAACTTCTTTATGATGCACATTTCTTGACATCCTCATTGCCGGAACATTTCAAGCACTACAATGAAAAATCATCTAGGCAAGATTTGGGGTGGGGGAAGGGGGGGGGCTGCTTTCTTGTTCATAGACCAATATTTAAGATGGCAGAGGAAGAGCCTTTGAAAAGAATGCATGCATGTGCTTCTGATGAAAATGCTTAACTGCATACGCATGCGTTTGTTATTACTGTACCAGAAGTAATCATTGTGTGAAATTTTATGTGTTGTGACAAGAAGGGAATGTGTTCTTCATATGTTCCAATTTGCAAGAACTTAGAATGCAACCTCGAGACATCACACTGTAAAAGTACTAATAGTTAATGCACATATCTAAAGACACACAGAATTTGGGTTCCTAGGAACGGCTGCTTTAAGACTGTGTAGTGGGGAGCATGAAAAAAAAAGGGGGGTATTGCTTGCTTATTATGTTTCAAATCTCCCAAACAGGGAAAGTGATTGTTGGCTCAGGATTTTATGGTAGTGGTATCATCACATTAAGGCATAGAAGCCGGACAGTTTTCTGTAAATATATACTTTGCACAATTAATCTTTTTCATTTTGTGTTTATGTTCCCACTGGTATAAGCTACAAATAGAGTAGCCTTTGCTCACTCCCCATTTCCATCTGCTTGTTCGGGCGCAATAAAGAAAATGGCTGCAATGTTGACTTGTAAAGTAGGTAACAACAATCAACATGTTCAATACTGCTTACGGAATGTTTGTAATGTCATATTTCTTTGGTTGATTTGCTTAGTGAAAGATAGCAATGATACTTGAGCTAATTAACAGGCCAAACTTCTCACATGATATTGTAAATAGTATGTCAATAATTAAGGCATCTAATAGGAAAGCTGTTAACCTTGAACAGGCCTTATTTTGAATGAAAAGTTCTCTTATACACCGTATGCATTTTATCTGTATGTTCTCGTGGATTGATTTTCTGAAATACAGGTATGCTATGAAAGATTTTGAAAAGGTACACTGTGCCTGGTGCTATGTTTCAGAGAGTCATATGGCATTTCTGTGAGCAGTGTCCTAGCACACCTGAGATAATTAGGCATGCGCACCCGGAACTGACGTTTGTGATCGCTGCACAAGCAAGAAGGGTTTGTAACTACCCCGCCATTCTTTTGCAGTGATGTCAGCGAAGCTGCCCTGAGCCAAGCGATGTATAGTCGCAAGAGTCGGGACCCCGAGCTGCTCATTCGAACGTCAGGGGAAGTTCGCCTGAGTGATTTCATGCTGTGGCAGAGCAGTCGATCTGTTATCGAATTCACGACTGTGCTCTGGCCCGAATTCACCATATGGCATCTGCTTGCCGCCATTCTCTGCTACCAGAGACAGTGTGGCCTTGTGGAGGTAATACTTTTCTTTGCACGGGTTTATTCGACTACTTAACCTGTAACTGACCTAAGGCTCTGCACATTCCTTAAATAGACTTCACTGGAAGCTACCACACAGTACATCTGGCATGAAGCTAGAGTTTATCAACACCTTTGCATTCGGTCATTAGTTCTTTGTGCTCTGGTTGCAGCTTCAAGACGTGGTGTGCTTGTCTTCGCAAACAAATTTGTGCTGCTTTCACAAAGTCATGCAAAACTGCGTCGCGGAAGAGTTGATGGGCATGTCTCAGGTTTTCTTGTTAACATGTTCACTGCGGTATGCTTTTTGTTGGTCTGGTTTTAGGTGTGTTGCGATGCACCGGTGGGACACGCGGCTCTATTTTTTGCTCCTATTGAATGACACTGCCACCTTTGCAGTGGACGTTTGGCACGTTGTTTGGAAGGATGCAAAGCTGTTTTTTATCTTCTTTGCTTGAATTTATGTCTAAATACAAAGTGCTACCCTGAAAACACACGTGAAGTCAATTTTTGCGATAAGTTGGTTTCTTTCCTTGGTGCCGCGCTTCCTTTTGCGCCTGTAAAGGCACGAGCCTCTATTCGACGCACTGTAACCTTTTGGAGCAGCCCTTACACTTAGTTCAATGGTACCTATTTCTAATTTGTGGGAAAAGATTGCAAGCAACATAATAAAGGAACGTGCCGCCACTCAGTTCCTTGGAAACAATTGCATTTGATGCAATAGACGTTACATATTAGTTGCAATTTTCAACTTCAGACAGCAGCACAAGATGGAGAGCTCTCGCGCATGGTTCACCAGTGGGCCATAGCCTTTAACGTCAGACAAGTATTCTCCTGGACGTGTGCATCCTCCTATAACAAAATTCAGACCTCTGTGTTCGAGTGTCAAGTTATCGCAATGACTAGCAGATAGATGCCCGTAAATTCGCAGCCGCATATGGGGAGCACGATCCGTGATCCACGGGTGACCCACGACGTAGTGAATGTGTTAACAATATACAGAATGCATAGAGTGCGTGCCACTCGACAATTTTCTATTAACAACACAGCAAACCTCGACCACAACAGTTCTGCTGCAACAGTATATCTGCTGTATTTTTGTGTGCAAAATTTAAACAAATTTGTGTTTTGCCAGGATTCCCAGTGTCTAAGTCCAACCACTGTTCTGATCATTTTCACAAGCGTGGTTCGTTGGGCTAGTTGGTCCCACATTTGTAATAATTAAAGCTCATACCCTTTAAGCGTTAGTGCAACTGACCACCAAACAAATGCTGTAAAGCGAATTTCTCTACACCCAAATGTACCAACATGGCCAACTTGTACGTAAATCAAGAGAATTTTTCTTACATTCTTGAACTTTCTTCTCCAGGCATTCAAGAGTGCCAGACCGAGGGAGCGACATAGTGCAGATGACCTTAGCTTGCAGAGGTTCATAGACGACGTTGAGACAAGGTGGCAAGAAAGGCTGCAGCTCATGAGGCTCGGCCAGACGGCACAGGAAGTAGTTGTCACATGAGACCAATTCTGTGTATATATGCGACAAATATATTCTTTCTTGTTTTCGTTTTCTTACATAGTGGTGTTCCTTGGCTGTTCTTGAACAAGGGCTCTTCAGCACTAGAGACCATCGTAGAAAACCTGGAAATTTCTTACCTCGCATTCAATCAACTTAGCTGCTCTGCATGGTGATGGGAGTGCACATTCAATCAACTTAGCTGCTCTACATGGTGGTGGGAGTGCACATGCTGTCAAATATTAAATTAGTACCAGGCATTCACCATAGTGCTATGGATGTCGTATTCCATGAAGCCACACACACGGACCGACAAATGGCTAGAATGCGTGATTGAACCCAAGTCAATTGTGAAAACTGCTTCATCGCGAGGCCTAGTGCACAAGGAATCATTTAAATTGGATATTACACTCAAACCTCATTATAAGAAAGTTGCAAGTTACACGAAAATAAGTTCGTTATATCCAAAGGTATTTCTAACATTGTGTCTATTGCTAGACTATCTTTCGTTTACTTCATTGTAACCAATATTTGTTATATTGAGATTTGAGTGTATAAAGCTCTGATGCTGTAGCGGGTGTGTCCTATGTACGGCTGACGCAGAAGCCTAGCTAATGTTTCAGCCGCACACAGTTGTACCGTGCACGATTAACGTCCCCTATCCGTAGCTAGTCTCATTGCAGCTACACAGGTTCGGGCGAATAAGGCAACAGGCTAGGTCAACAAAAACTACAGTTTATTGCTAGGCGTTAACAATAGCGCGCAAATTTTGCAAGGAGATAGTACAGAAACAAGAGTGGACGCTTACTCCTTGGTCGTTGACGTCCTCGGCTCGCAGGGGGTTGCGGGTTCGACCTTTTTCGTTTCTAGTCTGTGTCAGAGAGAGCGTGCGGTCGTCCGCACGTTAGTTTTGTTCACTGACCCGGTTTCCCTCTCCCCGACGAGAATAATACTTTTTCTCGCTGAGGGAGGGAGACCCATTCCGCACCCCGGGAAAGGGGGATTGCGAGCACTGGCCGTGGGGGGGTTCCCGCAACTAGGCTTTCGCGCTGCCGTAAAAGAAAGAGGGTGGCTGGGTGCGTGTGCTCCCCCACAATGCTTACACATGAACTTAAGAAACAAGGGGTCAGTGAAGACAATGTTTTCTTATAGGTAGGACCTCGTGGTTGGTCTGCATATAATTGCCGTCGTGCTAATCTCCCACTGCTTGCAACACATACATTGCGTGCATGACTATTGGTGCTGCAGATCATAAAATATAGATGAAGTTTTCTCAGTATTTTCCGTGTTACCATTTTATAATGAGACATTCCAACCCACAAACGTTACATAGCACTAAAGATACACTCAAACCTTCATATAGCGAACACGGATACAACGAAATATCGGCTATAACAAAGTAAATGAAAAATAGTTTTGCAATAGATATATTGCTACAAATAAACCATTATAACGAATTTCTGGATATAACCAACTATTTTCATGCGAGATGCAACTTTGTTATAACCAGGTTCGAGTGTAGATAAATTCTTTTATTAAGAAAAAGGAGGAGCGAAAGTCATGGGGTGACTGGAGGAGGGGAGGGACGATAGGCACACACTAGATCACGTGCGCCAAGCCACTGCTAATTTCGAAATGGGCTAATGTGACAAGCTGATGAGGGTTCCCGAGATGTGCTTTTGTATCGCTTCCAAATCGGGATGCAGAAAAATTGCGTTCTTTTGATAATGATGTAGGGCAGGACAGAATGAGGTGCTCCATGTCGGCCATGCTTGAAGAATGGCAGAGGGTAAATATGCAGTTGCTAAACTGCAAGTCCCATTAAAGAGTGCAGAGATCTGCAACATTGTGTCAGTTACAGTGCTCGGCTGCTGACACGAAGGTCGAGTGTTTAATCCTAGCCGCGGCGGTTGCATTTTTGTGAAAGCGAAATACTTGACGCCCGTGTACTACGCTATGTCAGAGCCCTTTAAAGAACACAATGTCGAAATTTCTGGAGCCCTCCACTACAGCGTTCCTCATAATCATTTAGTGGTATTGGCACATAAAACCCCAACAATTATAATTAAAGCGTGCCAAGAACGACGTGGATTTTAGATTCCACATGCTACAGTTAGCCCCCGCTGTAGCTACATCCAACACACTGCACGGGCCAGCACTTGCAAAGCCAGGTAGAAATTGTACACTCACCCGAGGGAAGAACTTGCATACTACAGCGCACAATAGCCAAGGGCAATGATGTGCCCCACTAGAGAAACAATTTCAATAAACACAAGGCTTCCTGGTTAATGTGGGTGGAGCCCCTGGTCCAGGGCCCCACTGGCAATTGCAGCTCGCCTAGTCGTATCCTTCATTGAGGGATAAACTGTGGGATCGCATGCGCTCCCAGTTCCTTCTTTAAAAGGGCTCTTAAAACAATTCCGATCATTTTCTAACGTTTCAACCAAATACAAATATCTAGTTCGGAACGCTTTCGAAATAAGAAATGCCAAACGTGGCAGTGCTTCAAGCCACAGGCGCCCCACAAATTCCAAGAAACAATGCCTTCTTCTCTCGGGGCCTTTCCGCTATAGAGTGTTCTGTAAATACGCTAGAGGGAATTCCGGCACTAGTGACTATAGGAGCTGCAACGCATGGCGCTCCACCCGGCATCGGAAAGATTAGTACACGGATATGTCTAACTTCTTTCTTTCGGTGCCGTTTGGCTCCGCGCGACCTGGAGTTGCTTTGTCGCAAGAGGAATTACCACAAACAATGCAGCAGTTGCACTTAGCCACCTACGTTTTGTGCTCTCCAATTCAAATCGGCACCTGAAGTTCACAATGATCCATTCTTTTATCCAAAACAAATCCAAAAGCACTGCAATAAACACAGCCACAACTGCATTCGAAGCTGCAAGCATGATTAGGCAAATCTGTGTACTACCCATCAATTCCATGGTGGCTGCACGATAGCGGCACCAGAGTTACCCCCTAGTGAACATATTATGAGAAGCGCTATGCTTTCAGCAATCCTCCTCCCCTCAGCATTTGCCGTGATGCCAACATGTCTACTTGTTCTCCACAATACCATTTATTAGCAGGCAGGCACATGCACTAGCTGCTTTTCTTCCTCTCATAGTGAAAAGGAGGAAGCCATTTATCAGAGCATAGTGAAGGAAAATGCGCGAAGGAGTCTTTCGCACCACCGGATGCGTGCGAGTTCACTATTACTGCACAGTTTCTCAAAATTCTTACGGCTGCGTGTTCGTGGTAGACACAAAACTAAGGTCACCCTCCGAGTTGTTTCGGGCCCTTTAACGCTGGTGCAATTAATTGTGGACCACTAGCGGGAACAAACTACTCAGGGAGGCAGTCTCGCGTCCCTTACCCAACTGTTCTGCCATGCTAATCGTACGTTAATCCTGATTTTCCTGCTCATGGTTATTGCTCGAGCAGCAATAAAGCTGCTGTTTGTTGACTTGGACCGTTGTTTTATTCACCTGAACCTGTCATAGCGGCAAACAATTGCATTACATGAAGGCAACATTGACACATCACAAAACGAACGTGTGCAGCTGGTAAAGACGGTAATGTTTGCACCAGCTGGACATAGAGTGAACCCCTTCAAGAAACAGAAACGAGGCGGCAGCACGGTTGAGGAAGCCACATTTTATTCCTCCTTGAAAGTTTTTTTTTTTTTACTCTAGGGCGCATCACATAAACCACAGACAGATGTCGTCGTCGGCTGGAAACCCACTGCTTGCTCTCCGTAAGTAGATGCAAGGGATGGGCAGGAAGGGAAGGGGGGAAGTTCGAAACACACATCTTCGACAACACAGGCTGCAGTGCACACTGCAGCCTGAGCAGAGAACAAAAAAAAAAAAAAACGATAAAGCTCAGCCCTCAATGGATGTTTTACATTTTCCACAAGCTTGTCCTTTAAAAAACGAGTCCACTTCACGTCGCGACGGCTACTGTGACCGCATTTTTTTTACGTTTATACGTGCCACATTCTCTCCTGGCAGTACTTCATAAACCCTGTATTTAGCACAGTGCACGCTGGAATGTTCAGGGAACCTGTTACGTCCCTGTTCAAAACAGCAGCACTGCAAAAAAAAAAAAAAAAACAATGTATGTACATACACATACAATGCAAAATAAAAATCTTGCAGAATCCACACATCTGAAGTAGGCATTTCCTTAATGCACTAAAACAAAACTGCATCATATTCCAACACATTACCAGATTCTTGGTTTTTCTCCACTCTGGCCTGACATACCATTGAGGCTGAGCTGCTTAAACTCTTCAACTCTTTTTGAAGCACAAGAAAAAAAAAAGTAAATGTGACCTCTCAAAATGGCAGAGGGCAAGACTAGACAAAAGGGGGGGGGGGGGGGGTTTGGTGAATGGCGGGGGAGTGGGGGGTGCTTGGGTAGGGAGCCAAAGGGCAGGGAAAAGGTGCGTGTGAACCAGGCGCATATTGTACAATGAATGTGATGGTATGCATGTGAAATGACAATGAGATCATGACCTGATCGTAAACTTAAAATAGCAATGAAATGTGAAAGAGCAAAATCGAACTCCAAAAAGACAAGCTAAAAAAATAAACGGAAAAAAAGAAGTCACTGGGATGCTTTTTCTAGTGCTTTGTCAAATAACAAGCAATAGTACCGCAAAAAAAAAAAAGGAAGTGGCCCTATGATTGGGCCAAGAAAGTTCGGCATAGAAAGAAACTAGGAGCTAAGAACAGGAAATTAACTAAGTGCGCAACAGGCTTCGTCTTGGCACAATTCTTTTTTTGTTTTAACCCTCACCTTGCACGAAGGAACTCTGTTCTTGCCCTGCGCACACTTCCTGTCCTGTCGGCAACACATTTATCGACTGGCTGGTCGTCCTTATCAAGTGCTCTTTTTTTCCTCAATGGCACTCATGGATGATGAAAACATAAAAATAAGTTACCCCTTTTGTACAACCATCAGGCAGATGTGTGAACAAGCTAAAATGTGTGCACAGAAAACAACAAAAAGAAAGACCGCATTTCTTTTTTTAGTAGAGGTTGGAAGGAAAGGAGGGGAGAAAGAAGATGCTGGGTGAGAACTGTTCCAAAGGTACAAGAAAGAAAAAAGAGGTCTGTCCATTACAATAAAGACATGAACGTTACGCAAATCACACGAAGAAATGGTAGTGCTTGCAAAGCTGGAGGGGAAGGAGACACACGCAGTGGAAAGCTTTTTTTACATTGACGCATGAGAAAGACACCGGAAAGCATTCCGCTGCACTTGAATGAGCGAAATAAGCAAGCACTTCCCAGCATCAAAGAAAGGACAGCGTGAATGATAGGCTTGGTGACGTTTGCAATAGCGGCAGCACACAGAAGACCGGAACAAGAGAATCTGAACATTCGAGCGGCTGGCCAAGGGGTTGGTAAATGAGAAAATCAACCCCGAGAGCGAACACAATAACGACGACGATAAACGACGGTCGTCTATTCTAAAACCCGCGGTGAGGCACGAAATTCGTGCTTGCCGAGCGGGCTTAAAATATACATTACTCGCACACAATGCAGGCGTGATAGGGGAGTGTCGAAGGGGAAGAATAGGGGTGTGCACAGCGAAATGAATGCAGCGATAGTTTGCGACAAACATCCTCTGCATCCACGTGCAAAGGAAAAAAAAAACTAAAACTGCACGTGTGTTTTGCTCACCTTGGCTCCCGCAACTACAGGAGGCCACAGCTATGAAAAAGACACAGTTATGATTATTAACTACCCGAGAAAGCAGAGGCAGCAGGCACCAGCGGCTCTTCTTTAGACGATCTTTTTTTTTTCCTTCTTCGCTCTCTTTTCCAACTGCAATGCCTCGTTAGTTATCAGCACTAATGGTGCCAGATTGGACTGCCTCATTAGACGGTCTTCACTCCCGGGCCATTAATAATGATAAATGTCACAATCCTGTACGTCAACAAATGTCTTTTTTTTTTTTTTTAACGACTTCCTGCCACCTTAGGGGGGAAAGTACAACAAACCATTCAAGTTGGGAAGAAGAAGAAAGCGGTGTTGTGTGTGTGTATGTCGTTTGAGTGAGGCCAAAAGTGCTCAATGGTCAGAAGGGACCATCTTGGGCGTGTAGACGGAGGCGTTTGGGTCCAGGTTGGACTTCGGGATTTTCTTCTCTTCAGTGGCGGGGCCGGGCGACGTGATGAACTTGGGGCTGTACAGGAGGGATGACACCAGCTCCGAGTCGAGCGACACCGGTGCGGGTGCTGCCGGGTAGGTGCTAGTGGCGGGCATCACCGCCATCACCTCGGCTATCTTGGTCTTCAGGTCCTCCACCTCCTTCTCCTTGTGGTTCAGCATTGCTGCACACACACACATCATAGAAGGCTAAGCTGCTGTTGCCTCGCACACACGCCTTAATCAAATGCATCGTGTGTTGAGAATTACACCAGAACTGCCACCAGAATACAACAGCACAATGAGTCACTTGAGGCAAGGCCCACCTCTGGCCTTGTTGGTACGTTAAGGGTCAAGCACAGATTTATCGAGATGAGACAATGATTTGTTGAAAGTTTGCACTTGTGTCTGTTTCCTTCGTCTTGTCTTGATAAATCTGTGCTCAACACTTGATTTATGAGATAGATATAGCATCTTTTCAGCAAAAACTGCAAGACGGTGTTATTAGGCAAGTAGCAGCATGACAACATGACAAACCACTGCCAGCTTCCATGATTATTGTTTTCCATAGAAGTTGAGGCAGAAAAGCACACTCTACAAGGGAGGATCGTTACTCTGGGGTAATGGCATGCAATCTGGTTATAAAGCACCGGGGGATCTCGTAATAACTTTGACCACTCGGTGTTCTTTACTGCGCACTTAACTAAACATAAGTGTTCTCAAATTTTGCTTCCGACAAAATGTTTCGATTGTAGCTTGAACCAAACGTTTAGCTCACCAGCACAGCGTCGTAGCCAGTGGGCTACCACGACGTCTCACAGCAAAGAAATTCATCATCTCTATAATGTGAGCTTGTAAAGTTTTACAAAAGGGAAATGTTCTAAGAAAGCATTTACGAATACGAAGAAACACATACACATGGCCAACATTCTCCATTAAAGCTTCGTAAATACATGCTATTTTCTTTCATCAGTGCCAGACCAATTCAGCTATACTATTGTGCTGCCCCATACCTACATGTGCATTCAAGTGCAATGTTGCCAAAACAATTGCAACCTTTCCAACAATAACCCAAGTGTTGTTAAAAACTGAAGTTAATGTATTGGTCACTGCTGTTGTGACGGTGCGATTGTTGCAACCTAATGTCTACTAGCTGCGGTTATTGACTTTGTAATACGCATTAAGAAATACAGATGGGCTGATTTAGAATAACTTTTCTCCCTTCATAACCTTGCACACCACACACGACGAAAACATACATTATTTAAGAAATCATTTTCACTATATCTTCAAATCCCTTGGCTCCAAAGCTAGAGCGGTTGCGCCTGAAAGCACACACGCACAGGGGCTTGCAAAAGATAAAGCTGCACAAGCACCAATGCACATGAAGAAGCGAACTCCATTGCGGTTATGTCACGGTATCACCTCACGGGGGCTATTCGACAAAGAGTAATCTCTACACCCAAAGAAGAAGACTAACAAAGGCAAGTACCTTGGCAAATCTCCTGCTGCCGTTTTGCCTCGCCAAGTGCTGAGAAGAGATCCATCTTTAACCTCGTCTCTGCACTGAGTGAGTTCTCCAAGTGTGCGTTCTTGTCTTGCATGGCTGACAGTGCAGACATGAGGATCTCTGTGTCCCCAATGGAGTCTTTGTACTGCCGCAGAGACTGCACATACAGAAGAAACGAATGCACTTTCATTACTGCATTTGCTCTGCTCACATATCTGAATGCACCCAACTTCAAGGTAACGAAGTTCACAAATTCTCCAGCTCACGGTATAAAGCCAAACATAGGTGACTTGGTGCTTTATGCTTACTTGTGTGCAGCTAAGAGACAGATAAAGTAATACATTTCAACTGTGAGGGGCCTAGCGTTATGAGTGAGCATGAAAACGAGAGAGGCAAACACAGTGTGACCAATGAAACATGTGCAAGGACTTGCTATGAAATTCGCAAACAAGGGAATTTGGTATAGTGGCTGCATTTTTTGTTTTTAATTTGAATTACCAGTAAGCCCATGCTTTATGACCCAGAAAGTGGGCACAGAAAACGGGCAGTACTGAAACTCGCTTGTTGGTCAACTATACCAACGCAACCCAATTTATACCGGCATACCATATAAGCAAGCAGGCCGAAGCAAGGGCCACGACATCACCATGTTCTACGTGACTGACAACCTTAATTCACACCACAAACTGAGTCTAGTACCACAGTGAAGTATCGAGCTTGCTTTGGATCTTTCCAGTATTCCTCCTAGTGCTTCAAAAGGCTTCACAATTTTCGTTTGACACACACAAAAAAAAAAAAAAAATGAAATTTCGGAGCTACCCTAATAGCTTTTGTAGGCACTGCAACGAATTTGCTAGCCTAGACCACATGCTCTGGCATTGCCCTTCGTCGCGGGGCATGGGTTAATTTAATGAAGAAAAGTGTTTATCCGCTATCAAGAGCCCCGATGCCGGGTATCAACTGTGGGCTGTCCAGAGGGCCCACGATGTGGCGGTCGGGCTTGGCCTGACTGTCCCAACGTGGGAGCAGCCCGCTGCGCGTTGAGTCGTGCACCTCAGCAAATAAAGTTTCGCATCTATCCATCAATCCATTCGTAACTACGATGCCAGGGTTCCCGTTAAAACTCCTAAAGAAAGAAAAAGGTACCATGATTGTCCAAGCTGCACAAGTACACAGTATGCCTACATATTCAAGCTCCTTGTGATGCATCCATTTGAATTTGTTGCTTGCAGCTAAATGGAATGCATTCTGGAACCTTCCACGTGTGAGCTGCAAATGTGCATCAATAACCATGAAAGCGCAAAAGTGGCAGTATCTTTAGCTTTGCTATTTCACGCATCCTACATGCATTCTCCATATATTCTCCATTCTCTGCATCTATAAATCAATTCAATTTATGCGGTCGCCACAGTGAGGTCACACGGAAAGACCAAAGCCGAGTAGGGTAGTCGAAGCAATGCTCTCAGATTTAAAACCATTGTACGGAAAACGATATCCCTGATGTACACCGATTTGAACAGAAGGAGATCATCGTACTTGTGCCTCCCGTTCCATGGCACGCAGCTGATCTTCTCGGACCTTGAGGTCCCTCCTGAGTTGCCGCACATCGTTCTCGAGGTCTCGCCGCCGCGCTTTGCAGCTCTCTGTGCACTCGCTCCTGCACAATCCACACACAACATTATTACCTAAGTTTGGGCGAGTTGGATGTAGCATTTCAACAAAGAATGCAGCAGAAAGCATGACAGAAGAAACACAGGTACTGCGTTTTTATGAATGACTAAAGATATAGTTTAGGTAGCTGTCATGACAACATCTCGTCACAGTCCATCATGTGTAAACACTGTTAAAGACCAATGGCAACGCGACTCCACTCCGGCTGAACGTACAAATATAAAGACTTTAGGGCCACATTTAACAACATCCTCTCGAAAATTCAAAGAAAAAGTATACCATTGACCCATGAGCATATTAATCTCGCATTCACCTCCACATGTGGCATACTAAATGCTGCATCATGCTACACGGCTGCTAATGCATCTGTTTTATCTGGCTCGAAATTGCGTTTCAATCTATTCACGCCAAAGATGCTGTCGAACAGGGCATTTAGTATGAAGAGCAGCAGAAGCCATGGAAATAGTTGATCATGGTGCATTCTCAAAATGTGGATGGATCATGCAGCAGGTTTGTTTGCAGTCATTAAATTTGCTTTCATTAACTTCAAGGCAAGCACAGCAGTGTAAATAAACTGACCACCGTGCAATAAGCCGTTCCACCTACAGACATTCATGGTTACTATGTTGAGTCAAATTTATAGGTTACTTGTTTTAGAAGTTTATAACCATTTTCAATGTGCTAAAACATCATTCAGAAATGCCTGTAATTGCCACAGGAGAGCTCGCTAGTGCTTGTCAATTGGAATCACCAGCACCAAAATGGAGTTGACTTAATTCCATGGAATATTCCTCTTCGCCCCTTGTGAATCAGTGAGTCCAATGTTGCACGCAATAGGCACGTTAATTCATAATAGGCAGCACCAAGCAATTTTCCACTTTTCTCATTTTCTTGCCTATATAACCTCCATTCTTGCAACAGATGACAAATGTTTATTACAAAAGCCTGATCTTGCAGTCTAGCTCGACTTAACATTTTCTTTCAGTGTCCCTCAAAGAACTGCATATAAGCATCCTCTTGCAGACACATCAGCCGTGACAAGTGTGACAAAAAAAGACTTGCCTCGCTGTGGCCATGGCGACCGCTGCCCGTGCAGCTGCGGCCTCCTCGGCCTTCTTGGCCTTGCGCTCTTGGCTGAGTTGCGTCTCCAAGACGCCACGAAGCTTCCTCTCCTCCTGCAACCGCTTCTCCAGCAGATTAACGTTGGACTTGTCCTGCTGCCGCGCTGTCACCAGATTATGCAACCTGCACATGTTCGTAGTTGTGGGAGCTGATCACATGATAAGGCCGTAGCCTGGCTACGGCCCGTGTCCCACTTCTTCCCCGAAAATTTTTTTGCTATGACATAGAGAGCAAAATTACCATTTCAAAGGGATGCCCTCCCTTAAAATCAAAGAGATGCTCCCCCCCCCCCCCCCCCAAAAAAAAATTCTGGCTATGCGCCTCTCACATGGTGCCACAAACATTGATTTCTCAACATTTTGCTAATCACAACTCGCGGTGCACACTTATGCATTTCATGTCTGATTGTAAGTTGGGAGTCGCTGTTAATGTGCTCCGCGGACGCTGGCAGTCTCCTGACCATCGCATGGGAGCCGGCAAGCCGCCGCAGCGGCTCCCTCTGACCTAAGCTTACCTTGCACAAGGGCTAAACGTTGGGCCCACAATGTCCAATATACAGTTTATTCTAAGTCAGCACTGCACAGTAGTTAATTAGTGCTCTATAAAGGGCCAAAGCAGTCGCCAACATGCAGCTTGTACAGCAATGGCCTCACTTTTTGTGTAGCTTGGAGAGCACTGGCTAAACTGACGTTTCATCGATTCCCACTGAGACTACTGTCAGAGACTGTGATAACTCAAAACACACTCTGATGCATTCAACAATGGTGATACACAATAACCAACAAAATTTGCTGTCCTGCAAGATTGCTGGTTTGGCATTCACTGTAGCTTAATCATTTTTTTACACTTTCTACCATGCCTTAATCTATGCTATGTGTTCGCTAAATATGAAGCTTGTGCCGGCCTACTAAATAGGTTCCATCAGACAGTTCGGCGAAGTTTATTCAAGAGCAGCTAGCAAAAATAAAAGAAAAGCTGAAGTACGGTTGCCCATAACTGGCTACTTACATACTTCCAAGTCCAGCATGGCCTTGAACAAAAGCTTTATGATCACAAAGATAGATGGTGGGGAGAATGCAATGAAGTGGCTATATTGGCAAGAGGTGCTGCTGAGTTCTTATGAAAATGCAACCATGAAAGTCATGTGAGAAATGAAGGGAGAGGAAACCCACTTGTTCTGCAGGCTCTCATTATCCTGCTGCAGTTGGAGCAGTTCGTTTTTGACAGACCGCTCGCCTGCACTTAGGCTGTGCAGCTGTGACCGCAGTTCCTGCTCAGTCTGTCGACTTGCTTGCAGGTCGGTCTTGAGCCGCTTGACGTCTGCCTCCAGCCTGCCAGAGCAGGAGAGAAACATCAGCACAGCCTCAAACCAATAGGAGCTCGGAAGCAAGCAGCAAGGATGACACTAATGCAGCCAGAGGCAAGTAACACAGCGAGTAACACCAGACTAGGACAAATGCGAACTCTGACAACCACTATGACCACAGTCAGATTTCATGCAATCTGTTACAGCTGGCATGATCTTGCTTGATCACAGTCTTGATGTTTCTACTCAGGGTCTGACCCTGGGACCAAAATTTGCAAGAACCTGTTTGGACATTCACTACGGCGGCTTAGCATCTACGCGGCTGTGCTTAACAAGCACAAGTGTTTGGTTAGACTCCTGGTCACAGCATCCGCACTACGATGAGGGTCGAAATGGAACACAGAGCGAACTCCTTTTCAGAAGCGGTCTTTTTCGTAAACGGCGTTCGTCGATCTCTTTTACGGCTCCGAATGAGTAGCCTAGAAACCAGTGGGCGCCAGCAATTTTCGAGTGGTGGGAAAAAAAGAGCGAGTGCTTATTTTTCTGTCACCAAAACTGTTTGTAAAAACAAATTTCATATCCTGCAGAAGGTGTAATAAACTCTTTTAATGGTTATTTCCTTTTCTACTCTCGTAAGGAGCTACAACGCGTCGGCAATATCACGTGGTGACGCTCGGTCTTGCGCTGCTTTATCCTCTCCTTGGCGGCTTTTGCAGCGTCTGCCTCGCTTTCCAGAGCGAGAAGGCAGGCCGTGAGGCTTGCGATCCTCGCTTTTTCTCCCGTACGGTCGCCCATAACGTGTCGAGAGCAGTCGAGAGCAGTGAAAAACAAATACGGTAAATAAAAGCACAGTGGTGCCAGGCGGACTTGTGCACGTCGCTAGTTATCGAAATGCTTCCTCCCCGCATTATAGATTATCTCAGTTTAAATTGATACAAATCACAGTAGTAATGTGCCATTATTTTAACTCTTTTAAGAGCAAGAAGCACTTTAAAAAGTCCTACAACTTTAGAAATATGCATCGAAGCTCTTTTAGCTAGTTATTGGCGATATAAAAAACTTTTTTTTTTCTACACTTCCTTAGAGTTGCGAATCTTAACTTATTCTGGTAACCTCTACAACCTAGTTTATCTTCGAAAAATTCTCAAACTTGCAGGGAATACAGAATTATAGCAATGGCTGAACACACAGCAGAAATGATGCAGAATACACCATTCGAGTTTACTGTTAATTTCAACTTTGGAAGCACACGAGCCATTAAGCACATGCTTTTTCTGCGGAAGAAATAACCACCTAGGTTCAAGCCTTATTACAAGTTTTCAAAGTGAGACATTTGAGATGTAAGGAGGATAAAGTTTCCTTTTTTTTTAAATCCGCTTTTTGTATTTTGCCCGCGCAACGCAATCACGAACGAATTTTCAGGGAGCTCTCGCAACCACACCAAGAAATACAATGTCAATAAAGAGGCAGTCAGAGAGGTTGGCATTAAGCAAACCATAGCAGAAAGCTAGAAACAAATATAAAAAAATAAAAAAAAAATCATGCTGGTTGAATGAAAAAAGCGGTTCCATGTTGGTCTGACAATCGCACCTAGTGCCTGTTCACAACTTCAATAGCAAAAATCAATTACTCCAACACATGAGGAGTCCTATTGACCCACCGTGGTGGTCTGATGGTTATGGCACTCGACTGCTGAATTGAAGGTCGTGAAATCAAGACCCGACCGCTGCGAAGTACTAAAGGCGTGTGTGCTTAGATTCAAGCTTTGTTTCACACGTCGGGTGCAACGCTGTAGATGTTTTTGCATTAAAAATTATCTACATGTTTTTTCCAACCTGATGAGAATTTTTCAATTTGCACTTGGGCTAAGTATTAAATAGAGATGTTTTGTGTCTCACAAATATACAAACCCTGTTACATGGATGTTATCGCATGTCGGGATTGCTTAGCATTTTCTTTTTGTTTTCTGGTGTTTCATTCGCGCAAATAAAATGCCAGAAAGTATATGTAATCATATGCAAGGCTTGTGCAAGTGTTTACGACAAAAACTGACTGTAAGATGCGTGGAGTTATACATTTTTGCTAACCAAATTTTTGGCATAGCTTCCAGTGTATTTCACACATTCCAGAAAGACTATGAAATCATATGTAAGACTTAAGCAAGTATTTACGGCAAAAACTGACTGTAAGAAGCGTGGAGTTATGCATTTTTGCTAACTAAATTTCTTGCATAGCCAGAGTATTTTACACATTATACCTGATGTACGGAATGGAGTATGGGTACACGTTCAAAAACCTCAGTTGGTTGAAATTCCTGGGACATATCACTGTAGCGTCTCCTAGTCATATTGTGGTTTTGAGGCGTCAAACCCTGATAATTATTGTGAGTACTTGCAAGAGGTGCAGACGTGAAACGATAATCTTCATACATATAACAGTTTCACTGAGTGGCTTCAAATCAACTGGCTGAAGCGATAAAACCCTTGTGCAGGGGAAGTAGAAAATGATAAGCAGACTAATCTAACAAATGAATTCAGGTTTTCAACAGCATTCTGTCGGTTAACCATTGATACAAATGGCTAGCAAGAATGTTTCTATATCTGATCTTTAGCAAAACTTTAGCAAAAATGTGCAAGTTGACTTCTTAAGAGGCACATCAATAGGCATGAAGATATACAGGGAAAAACAAGTAGCAGCTCGTTCAGGTTCATGCCGCAGTGCAAAATCTGGTTAACCTTTTGGCCTTTCCTTCAATTTCCCTCCCTTTTCCCCGAGTGCGAGTTCAGTTGTGTTACATGAACGGTATACTCAAATAATTATACATAAACACATTCACAGCAACACATAAACACTCCAGATAATACAAAGACAATCCAGGATGGTACTCTCCACATAAAATTCGTTACTGGGAACAAATTTAATTGATTCATCGTGTCCCTTTATGCTCCTAGAATTTTGAATTGGCAAAGCACCACATTGATACTTAAGGGGAGACGCTCCTCGAAAAAGTTTTTTCTTTATTTCTAGTAATAGAGACTTGAAAAGTTTGTTATTAGTATAGTTTTTCATGCAGATTTCAAATATGCAATCATTTTTTGTGTAGCTGCTATAATTATTGAGTTATGCCATAAACAATAGCAAAAAGTTACATTTTTTGCCGGCACTCTTTTATGTACTAAACTTTCAGTAAAAGCACTGTGTCTGATCTTATTTGACTCTTGGTAGATTGAAAAGTGCAAATATCTATATAGATATGTCACAGAAATATTGGAACCAAGAAAAAAAAATTGTATTGAATGACTTATTATTTTCAATCTCCCTTGAAACAATAAGCTAATATTTTCACAACTAATGCTGCTAGGCATTGCAATTTAGAGTAGATATTTGCATTATGCATGTGTTGAAGAATATGTGTGCCAAGTTTCGTTACTATACAATGAATATAAGTTTCTAAAAGGCTGCCCGGAAAACGTGAAACTATCAGAAAAAATGAAAAAAACAAGTTTGAAAGTTCGCAAAGTTGGCATTTATTAGGAAATCATTCTTTTTGCATCAAATTGGGGCACAATGAAAAGTACCTTGCCTTGAATGCACTGCAAGTGTCTAGAAGTCCCCTGCACCATAGCTTGGTCCTTCACGGCTCTTGCGGTCAGTGTCCTCAACACGAGCTCTCTTCGCTGTGTTGCGACGGTGTGCCCTCGCTTCTGCAGTTTGCTTCAGGTTCATCTTCCTGATGCGCATGACGTCACAGTGCTCACCATGTGTGGCCAGATCTTGTGAGGGGAGAATTCCAATGCCTTCGAGCACTTCTTCAAAGCCCCTGTGGCCTTTGTTGTACCAGAGTACAGCAAGAGCGGTGGCTGTCTCCACAGTTGTTCTGGAGGCGAACTTTGTTTTTGGACATAGCAGCCATATGTCCAAAATGGCGATCTTGCTGTTCAGCGATTCGGCTGCATTCTGTGTCTTGCCATGAAGGCACCGAATAAGAAGTTTCTCCTCTGTAAGGCGCTTGTAGATAGGCATAATTGCCAATCCTTGAGCCTTCGTCAACAGTAGGGTGTGGCGTGGTGCAGGCTCCCCCAGTGCTTCCGCACGCTTGTGCTTGCACCACGAATTTGGTCCCGCGGGGCAAAAGTTGTGGCTACTGGCACCATCACTGGAGCAGCAATGAAAATACGAAGCCCATATGGCAGTGTGCATATTTCGGACACTGTCCTTGTTGCTCGTGATGGCGATCTTGTAATATGTTTGTAGTTTTATTATTGTCGCATATTTCAGTTTTTCGCCTCGTGGCAGTGGCGTTGCCAATTTCCGTAGGGCAGTTCCCAAGCGCTTTGCAACGTGGTTCGTGCACTCTTCTTTGTCAATGGGGGTGTCACAGTATACATTTGCCTCGCAGACTGCAGTGCAGGCCTTGCTGTCACCATCACTTAGGAAGCTGGTGAATCGCAGTAGAGTTTCATAAGACAAGGTCCTCTGCCATATATTGACAGCTGCCGCAGGTTCCATTGCATGGGATGAGCAGTCAGTGTTTTTTTGGCAAACTGGAAGATGAAAAGCTCGCCATATCTCTTCATCCTCCCCAAGGTCTCTGTGTATACTGCAAGCATGGCAGTAGTTCGAAAGAACTTCAAGATCGAGGCAGAGCCCCGTGTCCAGGGACACGACTGTGCCCACTCCATTGTGGCTTTTATGACCTTTTTTCTGCCAGGTGCCATCAAACATGACTGGCACATCTCTGGCGCCGACTGCGTCCTTCGTGATGTTTCGTGCCTGGTGTAAGTTTTTGCTCACTGCCGTCATCGCCGCACCATGAAGCTTCTTGCAAATGCCGTTGAATGTCTTGTGATGCATCGAACTCGGAAGACCGAGAATCCAAAAATCGTGAAAGTTGGTCGTGGCCTGCGCCTATAGCGCGTGCTGCCAGAACTGCCTTCACGTTTACAGCAAAGCTGTCACGCGAGCTGCCGCTGTCAAAACGAGCGCTCGTTTCTTGGTCCCCGGCCGAAGCAGTACGTCTCGACGTCTGCGTGAACGAAAGTGCAGATTCAGGGCAATCAGAATTTTGACAGCACAGTTCGAGGAATGCCAAAAGTCCTTTGCGCTTTCCAGCTGCCTCTCGCACGCCGAGCTTCCGTTCGCGGCAGGTTGGGCATTGCGCACCCGCCGCAAGTGCCGTCAGCGCATCGATTTCGCAAAGCAGCATGTTCGCAGTAGCAGCATCTACCGGTCTACGTTCACTCTCGAAGAATCCAATCTTCCTTTGGGATGCACTGACGAATTCCACGGCAGCGGCTATTTCACAACCACTGTCGCAGGGTTCGGTGACGGTGTTGGGCCTATCCGAAGTCGGAGCGTTGGTCGGGAGCGACATCGTCGTTCGCTGTCGCTTTGCGAAGCGTCCGACGCCGTTTCCCTCGATACTTGTGGCGAGTTCTGAACTTTCGATTATCTGAACTGCACTTCTTCGGGCTTGCCATGACGCAAAAATGCAGAGAAACGCAGAAAAACTCGATCGCGACGTCCGAGGCTTCGCTCTTTTGCCGGAGAGATAGGAGGGGGAGGAGCGTGGAGCGCACCGCCGTCCAATGGCGGCCTCGCGCTGTGTGCCGCGATATTCAAAACGCGTGACGTACGCGTTGTTTTTCTCGTTTTTTGTTTATTCTGCGTGAAGGCACGAGACTGGCTACTAGTGGATTATGAAGGATACGGCCTTCGCAGTATGCATGCACGATTGCAAATGGCGGCCAACGCGTCGTTTTCGCGACAGGACGACGCGAACTTCGCCGTTTTTCGCTTTGTTGTCTTTCCCTTCATAATGTTAAACGAAAGTACGGAGTACATAAGATCCTGTTATTTTTGTAGCCTAATACAGCAAGAAAGCATGAGAAATGTGTTCATCCCGTACAGCAAAATTTTATCAGATTACACAGTTCAGCTAAAAAAATTCATTGAAAATTCTATAGAGATGACTTATTTTAATTCTAAATACAATATATAACAAGCAAACAAACAAACAAACAAAACAAATGACAGTAAAAAAATTCCTAATAAAGCAACGCCAAGAAAAAACACAGTACCAGTACTGAGCCTGTTTGGTCGATCCAATCGTTTTAATGCACTGTTTTAATATTTGGTACCGTGATCATGTATGAACAAGCTCAATTTCGTATGCTTTTAAAACAGACCAGACTATGAAACAGCCGCGAAAGAAAACAGAAAGCATAATTTTAGGGATGAACTACAGCAGCAGCATCGTCATTGTTCAACAGCGCTTCCAACGGCTGTGATTCAGTGATCAGGTAATGTAGAATTAGCATAAAATGAAAGTGAAGAGACCTTGGCTTCAACAAATTCAATGCGTGGCTCATAACTGCAAAACCAACTCCGAACTATACTTTCAGTAAGGGATTTAGTAAACTAGGTGCAGACAAAACCCATAAGCTTAAAGCGGCCCTGCTACACTTTTACAAGTAGCCATGGAAGAAATTCAGTAAAAAAGCATACTGCCTCACGAATTGCCCACCACAATAAGTTTAAGGATCCGCTCAGTACGAGCAGAGTTACAGATATTTCTAGCATGCTGCAATTGCTTTCTCTCTTTTCCCGTCCTGAAAAGAGTACATAACGCGTGCCTCTTGACCTTGAGCACTTTTTCTCTCTTTCTTTTTTCATTGCTCAAATGCATGACTTTTCAGTTCGATCACACGCGCACGCAGGTTGCGGCCTCCCGCGGTGACGGCGATAACTCTCAAGTGCGCAATGCTCAAATTAGCCAATTGCTAGATAATGGCCTGTGACACACTGATTTTTGTGTTCATAGCATCTTTTCTCAAGAGAAGAGAAAACAATTCTTGGCAGACTCTGAGAATTTCTCGTAAACTCAAGTTGGCTTGCTGCGCCATAATGTTTGGCTCGCGTCTTCTCGGAAGCTTTGGCTACTTGACTACTGATCAGCAGTGCTTCCCGACTGTGCTCAAAAAGTGTTGCAGGGCCACTTTAAAGGTTCTACAGAGCGCAAGTGCCCCGCAAACTAAGAAGACTTTTAGTGCCAACAAACAATGAAAATTCTAATGGTGTGCCATGACAGGCACAAATACTAATACCATAGATAAATTTTAACAGACCTCGACTTAACTACATTACCAATGACTCTTAGTTTTAGCTTTTACTTATGCTGTGCAAGCAGATTTCATGCCAGGACAGCTAAATGTCTCTTTACTAGGGCCGACACAACACTGCCAGTAAATGCGTGTTTCTATATGTCAGTTTTCTCTGGTTCAAGTGCGGTGTCATGATGACCCACAAGGTTTCTGATTTGACAAACAAATGAAGCAACCACACTCACCTTTGATAGTGCTCGTCTCTAGGATGGTGGCCCACAACAGCAAGCGGCATCGCCGTGAGCGACGAATTGCTGAGATTGTTGTTTGTTGTCGTGCAATTGTTCTTGGTCGCTCGCCGGCTTGTGCTGCCACCGGAGGCCGTTGACACCGCCTCCTTGGTGCAGTTGGCCTGCTGCTGATGCTGGTTCCACTTCGATGACCGCGTTGTGACGCTGGTAGACAACACGTTGCTGCCACCGTTGCTGCAAACGCCATTCACTTTGAAAGCAGTCTTGTCGCGCACTTCATCGGTGCTGGCATCAAAGTCGTTCACACTGGATGTGCGACGCGGCGGTGGTGCTGTGCTGCCCTCTGTGTCGGCTGCCTGCTGGCACTCAAATTCGTGCTTGTCCGTTGGTGCAGACGAGTGGCTCTTGACGTCAGCCTCCGCATACCGTGCCTTGCGACTCCCCAGGAACCCGTTGCTGGCCGGGGGGCTTTCCTCTCCCATTTTGCACAGTGCTGCGTCAAAACCAAATCAAGTTGAGTGACTGCAAAGTGGGTGCAAACTGCAGGCACAAGTGCAACTCAATATACTTATTTGTTTGAAGAGGGCTTTGGTTTGGGAAAATACTAGGTGTAACATCTGCAAATTTAAGCAGCATAGAAGACGAAGAATCAAGAAAACATGCACACACAAGAGCAGTTCAGCACTGGTCCGGTGTGCGCGTTTTCTCGTATTGTCTTTCATGCTGTGTCTCCTTACAGTACACTTACAATATGGTACCACATACCTCCTGCTGATCGTCACCAAAAAGCCCATTGCAAATTGGATTTCTATTTATACAAACTGCTCATAAATTATTAGCAAATATTATCGAAACAACCATAAATATACTGTTGGGCTAATGTTGAAGGCTCACACTGACAAATAATGTCAATTTCCAATCTTGCAATCAGCAAAAGCGTGCTCCGAGAGCATGCAGCATAGCCATGGCGAACCACTCCTTTGTTTGCAATGTGTCTTTAGTTTTTCTTTTTTTCCTCACAGCAAAATGCTTTATCTACTTATACCAATGCGGCGGGCCTTTCCTTTCCATGAGACCTAGGGCTGGAAATTCTTCCAGTCCTGCCAAGTTATAGCTAATTTAGCTAGACCAGACTATCGTATTGTAGTGCCAACTTCTCATACATCTGGTTAAGAAGGCATGCTGTTGAGCATGCTATAATGCATTCCCAAGACGAGCACTTTCGGACAATGTTATTAAAATCGCCTAGTCGCCCAACCAAGGGCTGGGAATTCACACAGTGTTAGGTGCCAAAAGATGAGTGCAAACAGACCTGTCCTTCATTAACTTAGGCCTTGTAGTACTTCATCATGCTAGAGTATAACCCTGATTTATAATATTTCTGGTGTCCAGTTTCAGCAAAAGGTCTACAGACACATGTACTAAAATGCCTTTTCATACATCATTTTCACAACGTTCCTAAAACACCTTCATCGTTACAACATATATAATGCTAAAACAGGAATCGTTATAAATGGGTTCGGCAGTAAACATTTTCCAGCTAGAGCGATCTTTCTTCCATAAGACCATGAAAAAAATAGTACAGCAGCTTGACAATGCGGTATTCCCGACACGACTATTGTGTCACAGAGCAGCATGTCACCATTTGTGTAGCAGCAGGCGATGCTGCTTTACATTTTACTAAGCCCAAACCTCAGTTGCAGGCCATTCCTGTCAGTAATGTGAAGTCCCCAGAACAGGCATGTATGCATGCAGAGCAACAATGTATTTGAAAGTTGGGCACTCACATTTGTCAGAGCTGCTCGATGTTATACTGGGAGGTTCGGGAGGTAACGCCTGCTGCAATAGCTGAAGGTAGAAGTCGTTTTCCTTGGCCACTTCTTTCTGCTTTCTCTGCAAAGGAAAGTCTTGATGAGCCATTTATTTCGCCCTGTTGTTCATTAGCATCTCGTTAAAAGCAACAGCTCTCTCTCTGGCCACAAGTCATGTCTCTGACAATTCCATCAAGCACAGTCTAGCCTGGTAATAGCAATTTTGGCTAGACCAGGTTGCCACGTTGCAGTGTCCCCTTTTCGCTACACTCGAGCCCGCTATCGGCACATCCGACTAAGGGCATGCTGACAGTGAGCGTGCTATAGAAAATCATGCTAAAAGGTGCACACTTTTCGATAACATTCTCAAGATCGCCCAATTTCACCGTTACTGTTGCTTTGAAGCTTTCAAGACAAGTAATTCACATGTCACAGACGTGAACTTTGAAAACAACTTATGCATGGGCTAAAAGCTCAAAGCGAGCGCGATGTTTGTCACAACGAGGATACGAGACTGTTTTCTCAGAAGTAATGGCAACCTTGATGCACTAATAGCCGCCAGAAGCGAAATAACTATTGCCAGCCTGCCTATCGCCATGGCCACTGACGTTGGGGGGGCCCTATCACTAGCAGAACTGGAGGCCACGGCAGACAGCGGGCCTCTCACTTAGGTCCCTTAATGTTGCTCCATGGACAAACTTATAACTACATGACCATAATCAACTTCCAAAGTGACTTTATTTATTTTCTTAAATGATGCAACTAAGCAGCTGATATTAAAGTTACTCGGCAAGGGTGCAGATTTGTTATAGGTTTCATGTGATTAGTTGCTCTATTACCCATACCAAAAATCTTAAAATGTGCAAAAACACACACCGATTTACCCCATGTATCTCGCAGTTTTTTTTTCTTTGATTGATTATGTGGGGTTTAATGACCCAAAACCACTATATTATTATGAGAGATGCAGTAGTGGAGGGCTTTGGAAATTTCGACCACCTGGGGTTCTTTAACGTGCACCCAAATCTGAGCACACGGGCCTACAACATTTCCGCCTCCATCGGAAATGCAGCCGCCGCAGCCGAGATTCGATCCCGCGACCTACGGGTCAGCAGAAGAGTACCTTAGCCACTAGACCACCGCGACGAGGCAGTTTTTTTTTTTTGGGGGGGGGGGGGGGGGGGGCATATATGGTAAACTTACATCACATCCACCATAACACAACAGGGTTCAACGTGTACTGAAAATAGATGAAGAATTGAAAGCAGGACCCTTAACTCGTTACCTTGCGAAACACTGATGAGTTACAAGCAGATTAGAAAGCGAAAATAGAAAGCTACGGCTGTAGTTTCCAGCTCCAACTGAAATTTTGGTGAGAATTTTTTTTTTTTTTTGCATATGCATGGAAATCGCGGCACAAAAGTGTTCGCCTCGCATTATTTCCTCCCTCAAGAGACAAAAATCCCTATGCCGAAGAGAGCTAGAGCTTTATCATGCAATTTTCTTAGGGACCAAATTATCTTTCATTACTGAACAAAAATATGACAATTTGAAAAAGCAATCTATTAAGTCTGCCTAGTACCGGGCTCCTATATTTATGTAATTGAACAAAAAACGTACTGATGTTACCTGCGTGGGAAAACGAATAGAAAAGAAAAAAAAAATCAGCCAGAACCTTTGCACTTACCATCGGGATAAGCATGTGGCGTTAAAATGTTCGGCACTCGTTTGTACTGCATTGCCAAAGATGCCCTCCTCCCTCTTTTTTTACAGCGTTGAATTTTTTTAATTCATGAAATGTTGGTGTAATAACTAAGCTCCACAAATGGTATATGTGAAAAAAAAAAAAAAAAACTTCCAATAGTTCTAACACTTCTCAAGCACTTGTGGGGGGCGCTAACACCCCCGTGTATGTAAAGTTGTTTGCGCCTTGTGGCGCATGTGTCTCGCACAGAGGCTGAATTGAGGGGTAGTTAGCCTTGCGCTTGCGAGCGTGCATTACCACCATCATCATCATGGTTAGAACAGTAGCGCCGGCTGCGGCGAACCTGCATAGCAGCACATTAGCGAAGCGGCCCTCTTTGGCCGGTAGCGGTTGGAGCGGCGAGCCCGTGGGGACGGTACCGCGGGTCGTTGCTCGCGGACCCTCGCGAGTGGAGCGTTGGCGACGCCATCTTGTTCTGTGTTGCAAAATACTGTGTAAGGTTGTCTTAGCGTGTTGATCACAACTGACATTATATTAATCCGGCTGGCGATATCGTCGTTCTAAATGTATAGTTAAATAAATTTGTGTTGTTTGGTTCGTTTCGACTGTGTCCATTCACTCCAAGAGCTGGGCACTCTTCACATCGAGACCCCACACACTATAGCTGAATTGTGTGCCACAATCAAAAGAGATACACTTTAAAGTGCTACTTACAAGTCGCATCCTGTAGCCAATGTAGCTTTTGACACAGAAGCTCATTGTGACCATAGGATAACCTATGCTGCAATGCAAAAGCAGACGAGCATCAGCAATGCACATTTGGCACAATGTCATTTTAAAAGGGCATGCACAAACATTTTCAAGTTATTTTTTTATCAAATCATCAAAACCTTTCAAAAAATTCGCTATAATAATTATTTCTACAACACAGTTTTCAATAGGTTCTAAATGATTCATGACGTTATATTTAGGCTTGTGCAAACATTCAAATGCTTTGAATATTCGTATAATGTAGCATTTAAATTCACTTCAAGTCGACTTTAGGCTATTGAAAATTACAAATTATTCGAGAGAGAGAGAGAATAAACTTTATTGAAGAATTAAAATTACGTGACTAATCCCGGGTGGAGCCCTCTTGTAGAGCCCCACTGGCCACAGCGGCTCGCCGGGCCTGGTCTAGGGTCACCAGTTGGCTCCCCAGTGCCAGCTCGGAAAGCCGTGCCTCCCAAGACCACGTTGTGAGTGTTTGTAGTGAGCGCACCAACCTAGATACTGCATTGGCTGGCCGCTCGGTACATTGGTAGGTTATGTGTGTAAGTGTGGCTGTGTGGTTACTACACCATGGGCATACCCCTGTTGTGTATATCTGTGGAAAAATTGCGTGTAGTTTTGATATGTGGGGGTATGTGTTCGTTTGGAGGCGGCGCCAATCCCGGGCTTGTTGGCTGCTTAAGTTCGGATGTGGAGGGGCGTACGTGCGTCTTGTAAGGCGTTGGTTTTCCAATATCTGCCTGCTTGTTACACTTTGCTCTTCATGATGCCCTGTGAGGGGTCCTGAGGAGAGTCCTGCGTCTCGGCCAGTAAGTCCGCGAGCTACGCAGTTTGCCTCCTCGTTTCCCCCCAGGCCGTCATGCCCTGGGCACCAAGTGACGCCATGTGCCTCCATCAACATGGACCCCAAAATATCAGTGACGCACCTTGGAAGTGTGCCTCTAAGGTATAAGCGACATGCAGCTTGTGAGTCTGTCAAAATATACGCTGAGCGCCCCCTTCTTTCGGCTTCTCTGATTGCCAAGGCTATGGCTGCTGCCTCTGCGGTGGCACTTGATCTGGTGCGTAGGGACGCGCAGGCCACGACTTTGCTTTGGTTAGTCACTGCCAATGCATATGCTTGTTTTCTGGAGCCTTGTGGTGGCGCGGGATAAAGACTGACGTCGGTAAAGTAAGCGTCTGGATCGCTACTTCTCTGCAGGAGTTTTCGTGCTCGCGCTTGACGGCGCTTTTTGTTGTAGAGCGGGTGCATGTTTTTTTGGAACTGGTTCCACGATTATTTGATCACGTATTTGCTTGGGTGCAATGACTGTCTCATCGCCACAATATTGAGGGGTGAGAGGGTATCCCAGCCTCTGTAGCAGTGTTCTTCCCTGGAGCGTAGTGGTGAGTCGTTCTCGCTGTGCGATTAGCGTGGCGGCGGCCAATTCTTCATACGTATTATGCATGCCGAGTCCCATGAGTTTTTGGTGCTTGTGCTGTTCGGAAGTCGCAATGCTGCTTTGTACGCAATTCTGATGAGTCTGTCAATCTGCTCTATTTCGGGCTTGCGTGTTGATTGAAAGGGAAGAGCGAACGTGACTCGGCTGAGAACGAAGGCCTGTACAAGGCGTACCGTGTCGGCCTCTGTCATCCCATCATTACTTCGCGCAATTCTAGCTATAAGGGATGCAATACTCTTTACGGTGTGTTTGAGTTTGCCTATTGCAGTCTTTACGCTGTTGTTTTCTTGCACGTGCATGCCTAATATTCGAGCTACTGGGGTCCTGTTGATGATCTGTCCGGCAATTTCTAGCTGCAGCGCTGGTGCACGGTTGGACCGAGTGCGTGGGGGTCTTATTTGCAAATATTCCGATTTGCTAGGTGCGCACGACATGCCTGCAGCAGTGAGGTAGCCTTGAATCATGTCTATAGCGGTTTGCAGTACATCTTGTCGTTCTCCATAGGAGCCCTTTGTTGCCCATAGCGTAATATCGTCCGCGTAAAAGGCACAGCCCAGGTTTGGTACAGTCTCCAGCTGGAGGACTAGTTTCCGGAGGCCGATATTGAATAAAAATGGAGACAAGATGGAGCCCTGAGGTGTGCCTTTCAGTGGGAGGTTGTATGGTAATGATTTGGTACCAGCTATGCCAATCTGCGCCTTGCGATTTCCAAGAAAATCAGAGGCATAGTTGAATATGCGTTGTCCGCATCCAATGGCTGCAAGACCGTCTAGTATGGTAGAGTGCGCAATATTATCAAATGCTTTTTCGATGTCGAGTGCAACGAGTAGATTGTTGAGACTACCTGGCGCTGGGTTAAGCACTTCCTCTTTGAGCAGTAAGAAGATATCCTGGGTAGACACTCCTCGCCTAAATCCGTACATAGATGTTGGTAGAAGCCCCCGTTCTTCTGTGTATTGCTCAAGGCGAGTGAGTATAACTTTTTCGAAGAGCTTGCCAATGCATGACGTTAAAGAAATTGGTCGTAGCTGATCAAGGCTTCGCCGTTTGCCTGGTTTAGGTATGAGTACAACCTGTGCCAGTGTCCATTCTGCAGGTATCTTTCCACTCGGTGTCCAGACTTCCTGATTAAAGTGGTCTGTGATGGCTTGTAATGCTTCATCGCTGAGGTTCCGTACCATGGCATTTGTAATGCCATCCAATCCGGGCGCTGCATTTCTTTTGAAGCTTTGAGCCGCTGCATAAACCTCAGCAAAGGTTATGGGGGCGTCGAGCTCAGTGTTGGGTTCTCCATTGTATTCTTGACTGGGTGTTGGGCTAACGTTTCGCTTGCGTTCTCCTGTGTAGCGTTGTTTCAGCTCTTCTATTAACTGATCCGGATCACCTTGAAATTCCCCAGCTAGCCGTTGAAGGGTAGCGTTTGTTTCGGTTCTTGTTGCAGAGGGATCCAAAAGACTCCGTAGGATGTTCCACGTCTTTTTCGTGCTTAATGTGCCTTTTAAGGAATCGCAGAAGGTGCGCCAGTTGTTGTTGTAAAGTTCCTTTGAGTATGCGTTTACTTCCTCCGTGATTTTCGCTATACGGAGTCTGAGTTTCTTATTTAGCTTTTGTCGGCGCCACCGTTTCGTGAGGCCTCGACGAGCTTCCCAAAGATGTGTCAAGTGGGTGTCAATGGCAGGTGCGTCGGTAGTTGTTTGATATATCTTGGTGTTCTTGTCATAGAGACCCTTAATGTACGGTGTCCATTGGGCTATAGTTGTTGGCTTGGGCCCGTCTATTTCCTGTTGCTCTCTATATTTAGTCCAGTTAGTCAGTCTGGCTTTTCCGAGCGGGCGTCGCAGTCGAGCTGTTTCATATGTTATTTGCACAATATTGTGATCGCTGCCCAGATTGTCGTCCAGCACACTCCAGCGCATGGTCGCGGCATTGTTGGTTACGGTAAGGTCGGGAGTGGTGTCCCTGTTGACACTGTTTCCTATACGAGTCGGTATGCCCGGTGTCGTGAGGAGTGTGTAGTCGTAGCGCTGTATCGCTTCTAAAAGTCGCGTACCTTTGGGTCTGTCTGCGCTATAACCCCATGTGGTGTGCCAAGCGTTGAAGTCCCCAGTGATGATCAAGCGGTCGCGTGGTTGAAGCTTGTTGTTCAAATAGTGGAAGATATTGCTGAATTCTGCTTTTCTGTCTTGTGGGGGACTGTATATGTTACATATAACCTGCCTCGGGCGTCCTTTCTTCGCTGGCCAGAGCGTTACGATAAGGTGTTGCGTCTCTTCGTTCGGTGCCGTTATGCATGTAGCTGCCAATTCTTTCCAGACGAGTGTCGCAATCTTAGGTGTATTTGGATCCATGTATAGTTTGTAGCCAGAAACTGTTTTAGGCCTAGTTCCCACCTCTTGCAAGCAGATTACGTCAGGAGGAACCAGCGCCGCCTTTATGTATAGAGTGAATGTAGCGTGCTTGTTGTGCAGGGAACGACAGTTCCAGGACCATATAGTGAGATTCTCGTTTGCTATGCGTCGGTTAATTGCCATGATGCGAGGAGGTGGGTGTGCTTTCAGCGTCCGAGGTAAGCATGCTTTTGGTGTCGGACTCCTGGGACCGCGTTTGGCTCTGCTTACGTCGACGCTTCGTTTCTTTGTCGAGGCTTTCATGAACGTATCGCTTCAGGTCTTGAAATTCGACAAAGAACTGTTTCATTTGGGCTTCTGTTTGCTGCAGTATGTGCTGTTGCATTAGCTGCAGTTGTTGTTGTAAAGTGGGGTTTGTCGCTGTTTGTTCTGTTCCTATATTGGCTACAGGATCTCGTGGTGGTGTCGACACGAACAAATAGAGGCATACTATTTCGCACGTTACACCTTGAAAGGTGGTTTCACTGCAGTGGAGGGATGCTAAGCCGTGAAAATACTTTTAGAGCAATATAATAATTTGCATGTAACTTCTTGTAAAAGTGGTTTCATTGCAGTGTGGTTATGCTGAGCCGCGAAAACACGTATCCAGGAGAATTCCGCACTGCCACAAAGCTTCACTTCAAGGTTAAATGAAGATATTACCCTCCCATTAATACATTTTTAATTTTTTTTTTTTTTCAGTTTAAAAGATCGTTATACAGACTTATATGCTCCAAGTATAGCATATTATAAAACTTGACATTATACAGGCTGTCACTAGCGTTTTACCGAGTCATATCCTGATGCTATTCAAAGTTGTTTCCACTTCCTTTGATGCAAGAAAATGATGTGTATACAGGTCTTGTTTCTAATTAATAAAAGATAATGAGCAGGTTAGTTAAGTCATAACAAACACAGCCATCTTTCTTTTAATATGCGATACATATATTATTTGAATTCGATTCTAAATTATTCGATCAAAATCATTATTCGCTTTGTACAAAAAATTGACTATTTGCACAAACCCAGTCATAACATATGAACTTTATCTGCTCCTTTTAATTTTAATGTGTGTCATGATGGGACAATAAAAGCATTTCCAGACTAGATGTATTACCAAACTCACTTCCAATGCGGTATTCTGAAATACATGCTGCCCCGATCAATGTCTTTCATAAGCATTTCCTCCACCTTTAAAAATGTAAAGTTTGTAAAAAGTAAAAGAAAGGCATTCGTACTCCTTTAAATGCACCTAAAATAGCGAGACTACATAAACTATGGTGGAATTGTTCTCTACTGAGGCGTCATGTTCATCAAATTAGCAGAATGAAGCTGAAAGGTCAGTTTTATCGTATCCAACAAAACAATTTTCTCAATTAGCCTCAGCGCACTCATTCTATAGTACTCTTTTGTACATTAACTCAATAAAGAAGGACATGAATATTACTAATAATGTTTCATCACAGGAATGACAATCGAAGCTCACAAGTACGGTAGGCTCTTGCTGAACGGAACCCGAAGGGACGAGGAAAATGTGTTCTGTTTACTCAGAGGTGAACAAGGGCGGAGAGAATACAAGTATGAAACCAATCATGCCGGAGGAAGTTGTTCCATTTAAGCAGCTTCCGTTTAACAAATTTCCGTTTACTGGGAGTCTATCGCACAGCAAACAGTGGTAGAGCAAGAAAACACATACAGGAGTTCACTAAACACACCGAAGCATTACCTCTTTCTCTCACTATGTTTCTGCCTAAAGAAGCGGTAAGCTTGAATATTCATTGTACTAAAGTGTAGGAGTTAGCCAATAAAAAACAATGAAATACAAAGCTTTGTGACTTGCATGCACGCACGCAGATAATCACACAATTAAAGGAAAGCAGCTTGCACTTACCAATGCGCTGCAAACGGCCTGCACAGGTCTAAGTGAAAGGCCGTGTTTTTTATGTCTTTGAGCCGCACTGTAGCCTCTATGTACATGAAAAACAGCCACAGCGACAGGGTCGGAAGACATATGCCCCGTTCTGCAATGAAAGCAAGCGTGCTTCTCGTGTAACACACCCATGCTGGTGAGTGACAACACACTTAAAAAGGGGGCCCTGCAGCACTTTTCTAACTAATCATCAAACAACTTCACTACAGGTGTTTATTGCCTCACAAATCGACCACTGGAAAAAAACCTTTAGAATCCGTCAAGTATGAGAGGAGGAGGAAGAAACTTGGGTAAATGCAGGCAGTTGTGGTTGGGTCCTTTGTCCAGGGCTCGCTGGAACAAGCAACTCACTAGGCCCTAGCCAAGCAAAGCTGTTTGGCTCTGCTCAGCCCCATCTGCAAGCCATGTTTTCCAGTGCCTGTGTATCATGTGCGGACGGTTAGTAATGTGTGGGCTGTTGATGTGTGCGGGCCTCTTGGTGCATTCTGGCTCAGCTGTTACATGGATTTGTGACATGCTTCAGTGGTTTTCTCTCCTTTTGTACCAGCGAGCTTGCTGGAAGTTACACAAGGAGGGATGACAAGGGGGCATGAAACTGCGTCCGCTTGTCAGTGCGCGTCATGACCTGGGGCACTCTCCTCGCTCTTTGAACGTGCGGCTTACTTTAAAGGGACACTAAAGGCAACTATCAAGTCGACTTTGATTGTTCAAATGGCGGTCCAGAAACCTCGTAGCGTTACTTTTGTGCAGAAGGGCTTATTTTGAAATAAAATCGTGTTTGAGTGGTCCGCATCGAACTAGCGCACTTCAAATGACACGTCTCAACGGAACGCTTGGCGTCACTGTTGCAGTGAACAACGTTGCCCAGCTTTACTGCGTGGCCGCCGACATTAGCAGAGAGAACGAAAGAAGCGCGGGCCACATCAGCAACAACAGCCATTGATCAATTTCCTAGCACTGGTTCAGAGATGGCAGATGTGTTTTGGTTCAACTGGGCCCCGCTAGATGGCACGACCTGTCCAGTTTAACCACGCGAAAATTGAATTTGGAACCACTCGCGCCATTCCCCACAGTGATGTTAGTGGTTCTTTTTTACATGAATCAAACAGAAACAAACAAGCAGCATTTTATTGCGTCTCTTGATGCACAGAAGGTTCTTCATTTAGTGCAGCTAGATCAATAACTAGTGATTAATTGTAGGCGGTTTGTCCGACATCACCGGGATCATTTTGAGAATGTCCTACTGTGGCGCATGTATTCTCGTGCATTTACCCTAATTCCTTGGTAAGTAGGGCATTGCTGTTGATAATATTGACGTTTTAGACGTTGCCACACATTAGGCTTTCCCTCTGATCTAAATTGTTATTTGGCTGTAGTCTCCCTTTAAGTGTGATTGCGAGTAAGAGCGTGCGCACTTCGCAGGATGCCATGGTGGCCACGGCAACTACGCAGCCCATGATGCCGAAATCTGCCAATAGCCACGAACTCTGTGTTTATAACACAGTTATGTTTGGTATAGGTCATCATTTGTTGAGAAAAGAGCCGGCAACTTCGGGCCGACTTCGAAAATTAATTTTAAATTTCAGGCCGCATGCTGCGCTATAGTGTTCGGCTAACGTATTCTTGGGAGCCTCAACTACTGATTAGCAGCACATTCTGAATGTGCTTCAAGTGTTCAAAGGCCCTTTTTAAGGTTTCCCTCGTTTGCATTTGACTTTCTTACGCCCACTTCTACAAGCCCTGATTCACCGTGGTCTAAGGTTGCACTTAGAGCTCGTTGGTGCACCATACTGAATGGCACTGACATTGCACTTTACTTTACACACAGCGCTTGCTTGGTTGTTCAAAGTGAGCACCATGAGTTTGTTTTCATGTCCCCATTTTGTGTCATCTTAAATGCAGCTAAACCTCAAAGGCCTGAGCTTTTGAGGTACAACTACCTTGTAATCTTATCACATCAGGCTGGCCTTACTACGGATAGTCCTAGGTTATGTCAAACTGGAGTGAATGTCAAGTTTTCCTACAGCCAGATCACCGGACGACATACACCACAAGTGAACATATGGATCAACACACCTCTCAGAGGTAAAGTATGCTAGACGTCAAGACCAGCAAACACCACATTTATAGACTAATTAGATCATTTGCAGGTATCAAAAAGATCAAGGTCTGCCATTACACAAAACTAATTGTTCGCTGGCATACTGTGTGTGGATATCATGTGAATGTTACATTTTGTTACCATAGAGATCAATTAGCCTAACTTTGAGTTCTACTGAATAATTAGCCAGCACAAGCAGGCTTGTACTTTAAAATGTAAGCTAAACAAGACCATGTAGTTCTATGTAAAAAAAAAAAGAAAATGCTTTAAGATTACAAAAGTAGAATGCAAGAACGACGTAGTTGGACATCAATCATGGAAAAAAAAAAAAAGTGAAATATGAGACAGCTAAATGGGCACTATGCCCATGATACCCTCACTTGTCTCATTTTTCTTAGCTTTTTTTTTCTTTTTTCACAATAGAGTTTTGCACTTCGGACACTAGTTTGCAAAAAGGGCTGTGGATGGCTAAACACATAACTAATGATTCTAGCGATGTCTTTTAAAAAAGCAGCAAAATCAAATTCAGAAAAAAAAAGACAATACAAAAGTTTTCAAACTCCAAATTATCGCAGAGTGTTGGGAAATTAAGGAGGTGTATCAATAAGAAAAGGCCACAGGCAAGAGAGTAAAAGAAACGGACGCAACACATGGCACATGCAATCAAAGGAATAAACGGTGGTTTACCTCGTGTGCCAAACCAAGGAAGTAAGGCATAAAAACATAAAAAAAAAGAGGGTCTCACTGAAAAGAGGAAGGAGGTAAACACTAACCAGCCATACCTGTGTGCCAGACGTACTGCCCCCACACATACGTGCTGGCCACAAAGAAAAGGACGTGGACGGGCAGGAACAGGAAGCAGATCATGTCTGACGTGAGGGCGATGAACACAAAGAACAGCGAGAAGGCCTGCGTCAGGGGGTGGGAGCAACACACAGCGCGTCAAAAGCATTCCTCGTGGTTTGGAAAAAGTTTCCTTCTGCAATGTTTAAATGATTGTCATCAAAGAACGGCATCTGAATTCTGTTCTGAATTCTGTTAAGTTTATTAAGAGCAAATAGTCATCATTGTCATCCTCCCGACTATGCTTATCGCAGGCCAAAAGCCTCTCCGATGTTGTTCCAATTAACACAGTCTTGTGCTTGCTGCATCCACGTTATCCCTGCAAAATTCTTAAAGGGGCCCTGCAACACTTTTTGAGCATGGTCAGAAAATGCTGCCGATCGGTAGTAGAGGCTCCCGACAACACGCGAGCTAAACATTATAGCGCAGCACACGGCCTGAAATTCACAATAAATTACCAAAGTCAGCTAAAAATTTATTTTTTTTTCCCTCGACAAATCACGGAATAAGCCCAGAAATCACTCGTAGTATCTATCAGCCATTGGCTGATTTGAACATGACGCGCTCGCTCGTTACAAAGATCGCCGTGGGAGGCCGCTACTTGCCCACGCATGCGCGCGATTGCACTAAAAAAGTTGCGCATTCGAAGAAAAAAGAAAGAAAAATGTAATCAAGCCCACGTCTCTAGGGGACAATCAGTCCACACAGCAATTACGTTGGTAACCACAACCCCACACTAGATGCAGAATTTAGCAAATCCGAAATACATGCTGCCCTCTGTAAGCTAAAACAGTCGCCCTGCTCCAGGTCCGGACGGGGTCGCAAACAAAACCCTTCGAAATCTAGATGACGAATCCGTGTCCCATCTGACTGACTACATCAACGATTGCTGGCACAATGGCACCCTTCCACCTGCCTCGAAATCTGCGAAAGTCATCTTAATTCCAAAGCCCGGCAAACCATCTAGCCTCAACAACCTAAGACTCATTTCCCTCACTTCATGCGTGGGCAAGGTTATGGAACATGCCTTGCTGGCACAGTGTCAACACTTACCTCGAAGACAACTATATCTATTCCAACACCATTATTGGATTTAGACCTTACCTGTCAGCACAAGATGCTAAGCTGTAACTTAAGTACCAAGTTCTAAACAAGCGTTCCCGTAACGCCAAAGCTATTCTTCGACTCAACCTTAGTCAAGCTTTTGACAACATTTCCCATGCTGCTATTCTTGAACAAGCTTGCCTCCTCCACCTGGGAGAGCGAGCCTACATTTACATCCGCAACTTCCTCTCCAACCGCACGGCCACCCTTTCCGTCGGAGATTTACGATCAGCCCTGATTCCTCTTGGCAGTATAGGCAATTGCCTACACCTCTCCCATGCTCTTTAACTTAGTCATGCTTGGCCTTGCACAGCAATTACAATAGGTCGACAACATCCACTATACTATCTACGCCGATGACATCACCATCTGGGTGTGCCAAGGTAGTGATGGTCAAGTGGAGACAGCCCTGCACACTGCGATTAACACGGTTAAGGACTATCTCCAAACAACTGGACTGCGCTGTTCACCTGCTAAATCGGAGCTTCTTCTTTACAAGCCCATTCAGCGGAGACGCCCCCCTAAACACCTACATGAGCAAAGACCCTTTGACACCATCACCCTTCACCTTCAAGATAGCAGCCCTATCCCGCACATCCCTAGTATTCGGGTCCTCGGTCTCACTATATCAGCCAATGGCTCTAATGGCTTGGCTCTCAGCAAGATCTCCGCTCAATATCACAACACCTTATGTCTTCTCAAACGTATATCCAACCGAAGAAGTGGTCTCAAAAAAGAGAGCCTTCTCCGCCTCGTGCAGTTTTTTGCACTGTCATATACCTACATTGCTGCTTATCTGAACTGGTATCGTGCAGAACAAAACAAACTCGATGCCCACATACGAAAGGACTACAAGCAAGCACTTGGCCTCCCCGCACTACACCAGCACTGAACTTTTAATCAACTGGGAGTTCACAACACCCTCGCAGAACTCATTGAAGCCCAACAACGCAGTCAGCTTGAACGGCTCACACTCACTGAAACGGGACGTTCTATTCTCTCTATGCTTGGCTTCACGTATCATCAGCAACTGGGCCCAAAACAATCAATTCCGCATAACATCCGCAGCTGGATCCACGCGAATCCTATCCCTAGAAACATGCATCTTGAGTACAACAGAGCCCGGCGCCAAGCTCGCGCTGGAGCTCACAAAAGCCCTTGCCCATGCACCTGGTGCCACATTTGTTGACGCAGCTCAGTATCCTCAAGGCACACGTTTTGTAGCTGTCACCACATGCAATGGAGTCCTGCACCATGCAACCAGCGTCACTACTCCCTCTGCCGAGACGGCTGAAGAGGTGGCCATCGCCCTGGCCACTCTAGATCTCACCTGCAACACCATCGTATGCGACTCTCGCTCAGCCGTCACTAACTACAGCAAAGGCCGCATTTCTCTTCAAGCGCTTCACATCCTCTGCCAGGCACCACAATCTAAAGAAAACATGATCACCCTGACATGGATCCCCACCCACACAAGGCCCAGTCCACCCATGCCTCCCCAACCTCAACGAGGTCAACCACTCCCTTGCGCGAGGCCTTGTCAACCGCGCTGGAGCTAATGGAGACGAGATGGATGCCAGGGACAACCTGACTACCTACAATGACCTTATTAAGAACTTTTACCTCATACGCCGAGCCTTTCCCCCACCTCACCCCAAGCTGAAAAGGGCACAGGCCACCCTTTGCGTCTACTTCAAACAAACTCGTATCCCTCACCTGCCCGCCTTCACCTCATATTCCCGGACGTATACAAAACCTCCCACTGCCGGTGCTGCGGCACTCACTCGGCTATGCTTCCACATATGCTGTGGGAGTGCCCGGCACAGTACAGACACACTATGCCACGACTACTTCGTCGAAGCTCCACGAGGCTCTACGGAGCCCGCTCTTGACGACCTAACCTGGGCAACCAAGCACGCCCGTGAGGTGGCGTCGAGGCAAGCCCTTGACGTCCCCTCGTGGGAAACCTAGGCCCGGCCACTTAAACCTGCTGGTTTCTTATAATAAAGTTTATTCCTCCTCCTACTCAAGGCCACGAGGCGCGCGTGACGTTTTTATGTGGCCCTGCCATCCCTACCTGCTTAGCTTCCAGCGCTGTCGTCAAAGCGAGAGAAGAGAGAATGCAATTGCAGCATGCGACAAATTTTTGTAACTCCACTCGCACTGGACAGATTCTTAAAATTCTTGCGGTGTTGAATTCGTGAGGCAGCAAGCTCTTCCAGTGAATTGATTCCATGGTTACTTGAAAAAGTTTTTCAGGGCCCCTTTGATCTCATCTGCCAACCAGACTTTTTGCCTCCCCTGGCACGCTTGCCTTTTTTCGGAAATGGTAGTACCTTATTTACTCGCGTAATCCTTGCACTCGCATAATTCTCGCACCCCCCACATCGCCCAACAAAAATACGTCTTTTTTTTTTCCTCGAGTAATTATCACACCCTCGAAAGCTGCCGCAATTATGTCTGCTCGTTCCGGCCACTGATGATGATACCGCGTGCTATATGGCGCCATCTCTTAAGCATCAGGCATACTATTATTGCACGATGTATCAATCTAATCCAAGCTAAGCCAAAGTGGCAAGTGCGCGTTGCGGTGTGTTTTGTATGTTGTGTCGGTAATCTTGTCATGTTATGGGGCGATACTGAAGCTACACGACTGCTTTCAAGTTGAAAACGATAGATCATGCATTAAACAACGGCAACAGGGCCACCGGTAGGCCCTTCGAAGTCTACGAGTTTTGTGTTCGCTACTGGTGACGGCAGCTGAAAGCCACCAAGACGCGTTGGGCCTGCCATGTGCCTAAAACTGGGATTGATGGTAAACTTTATTTCCTCGGAAGGAAACTACGGACGATTCTGTTAAATAGCCATTAGGCCAGTACTGACGTTCTACGCTTACCTTTCGAGGGCTCCTGTTGAGTGACGAACGCTACCGCTACGCCCGCAACGCCTACAAGCTTTGCGTACGGTATTCTAATTCTCGACTATTCGCTTACACTTTTGTGTCTCAAATAAATCTTGCCTTGTGTTGAACCTGTGTCTTTATTGTTGAGATAAGTTTTAATTAGTACTTCTCAAAGCTTGCTGTTAGTTGCTGGAGCGAGAATCCCGATTTGCGGCCACTTCGTTTCCTTTTTCGCTCTCTACGTTTTCGTGAAAAGTTTCCCCGCGTAATTCTCGCATCCCCCAACTTTGCAGCGGTTTTCCGGCTAAAAAAAGTGCAAGGATTATACGATTGTCGTATTATACGATTGTCTATGTAGATTGTCGGCAGTATATAAGACCGAAATAGTTTCGGCAAAACTCGGCAAGTGAGAAAGTTGTCTTCGCAGCAAGCTTCAAACAGTACCTAAAGCAAACTACGCATTCACCTGGTTGTTGTATGACATAGGGAAGCAGCATGTCACCTCCATAACGTTAGGGAGTCTCCTCATCTCAGAACACATGGTTGAGGAGGCACTCACTTTAGGTTATGTCCTCGAAAGACAACACGAACAAGCTGTACTAACGGTTTCCTTGTCAGTAGAGGTACCAAAAGAGGCCAGTCTTGGAACTTACTCCCGACACTTACACTCAAATTCAGAACACGAAAATTTCACATCAAGGCTCCTCTACACCTATGCTATCTTGGTTGACGCAGTTTATGCAGTATAAAAAAATTTACTGCTCTTGGTCTTTAATGCATGCCATTTCTACACAGCTCCACTATCTAACAAGATATTACAATGGTCGATCTTACAGCGTGAAAAGAGAAATTACATCATCGAGCATCCAAATACACAGACAGAAAAGCCACCTCATTATCTTGCAATGCCAAAGATGGGCAGCTGACACACTTATCTCCTGCTTTCCTGATTAGATACACCTCAGCTATTTCGTGTTTGTTTTTGTTGTTCCTTTTTTTTTTCTCAAATAAGTCGTGTTTACATTTGACAGACTAGTCAGTGGTTTGACGATAGGGCTAGACAGCACAATAATGATGCCAATAAGGGATTCGGCAGCCACTTAGCAGAGCATTCCAAGCAATGTGGGCTGTATGCCTTTATTTCAAAACACCACTTTTCTGAAGAAAAAAAAAAGAACAACAAAAACAGAACGCGAAATAGTCGAGGCATATTTGATCAGGAAAGCAGGAAGTAAGTGTGTCGGCTATCCACCTTTCGCGTTGCAAGATAATGAGGAGGCTTTTCTTTATACGTATTCGTATGCTCGATGATTTGATTTTTTTCTTTTCATGTTGTAAGATTGACGTATGTTATAACTTGTTAGATGATGTGTACATATATAAGAGACTGATGCACGGGTACATTAGGTTCTTTCGTTTCAAATAAATGTCAGTTGCAAGTTGACGCTCTTTCCTTTCGCTTATTCTTCTCGGGTGGTTTACGTCATCTAATTTTCTTGCATTATGGACCAACTCCAAGGTCCAAACCAAGGTATCGTTATAATGAAGTGGTATTAAAATTACTAAAATTACATCCCCTATACTTTCTTAGGTTTTCTTGTCTGCTAATTAAATTATCAATAATGAAATATCTGAAGGACGGTATAGTGAAACAATGAACCGGTCTGGAACGATAACTTGTACTATAAGAACTCTTAAATGTCGGTAATCTCACCATCATATGTTGATTAATAGAGGGAAAACTGAAGGTCAAAGTTTAACTTCTAAATTTCAGCACCTAACTCTCCACGGGTGACATCATGAATTTCAAAGTGTATTTTCCGTAGTTTGGCCAAAATGGCTAAATGGAATTTTTCAGAACTTTGCGTTCCAAGTCTTCGGTCCCTTCAGAGGCGAATGAATTTCACTTTCACGGATTAATTAACTGCTCAGGAGATAAATAAACGCCATCAAAATCTATGACATCATGCCATTGGGTGCAGAAATATCAAGATGGCATTGCCACCCGAATTTTCTTCTCGTGCGTTTTCCCGCTTGCCAGACACCGTCTCTCGACAAGAGTGGCGTTTTCAGCGTTGCGAAGTTGTATAGTGTACTGATATGCGAAAAGCTTTTCTTCCCTTTGGTGTCTCTTTAAGGTGATGATGATGATGAATCCACAGACATGGCTCGTACCCACTCAGGGGGATTGGCCAAGAATCAATGACTTAATTAAGTAAGTTTTTTTTTTCCTTTTTTTTAGATATCGAAACCACCCACCAGAAAAAAAAAATGAAAAAAGTAAAGACACCCTAGTCAGAATGAATGGAGTGCAATAGTTGCTTGTCACTCGTGCAGATAAGACAACTATTCATTACCTTGAATAAGAATCAGGATAGTTAAACAATGCTCTCGTGTTCGTCGGAATTATTTTTTTTTCATGATTAATAATCACGCAATTAAAAGCTTAATTCTTTTACTTTCATTCAGGTACTTGCAAACTGCGTAGAAAATGTTCTTGTGGCTGAAGCCCAGATCGTAAGCACCGAAGGAAAGTATGTTTTCTATAGTGAAATTCAACCCCAGGCTAGCAAATGGGAGGGCTAAGAATGTTTTCCTAAGCAATTTATATCGGCGACATGATAAAAAATGGAAAGTTATCCACCGTTGCTGGCCATGCTTCTACCTCTTCCAATCCCTCAACAAAAACCAAAAGACATGTGCATGTGCACCTTTGTAACAGCATGTTTTAAAAACAGCCGCACGAGGACAGCACTTACCAGTCCCTGGTACTTGAACGAATCATACACGCTTCGCAGGAGCAGCCAGAAGGGCCACAGGAACTCAAAGCGCAGCTCCAGGATGAAATCGGCCAGCAGCAGCAGTGCCCACAAAAGGAGGAACTTGATGTACACAAACGTGCTGGAAAAACAAGGGGCATAGAGAACGTACTCGTGAATTCTTGAAGAAAAATGGACTTTCTGCTTTTTGCAATTCAGAAACATTTGCTCTGTTCAGAAATGGCAGATATTTTTGCCTAGGTTATCCTTCAGCTCTTGCATGCAACGGGTCACCTTGGTAATTTGCATCTATGAGCAAAAAAATAAGAATCATATGTCACAAAAAAAAAAAAAAATCCTTCTTTCTGCTTAACGCTATCAAGGCTTCACAGTTAGCCAATACTAGTACTTTTTTTCATTTCTTTCTTTTTGATGATAAGGGGACAGCGACACCACTTTTCAAAGGTCAGTTTTCTCTACCATAGAAATTTTCTGTATGCAGAGATCGCTGTGAGCAAGTTGTGAAGCTCAGCAGATGCCAATAAGATGTTTTATTTCGATATTACGGTAATTTTTGCCATGTTGCACTGACTGATACCGACACTATGTTAACATAAGGCCACAGTACTAATTCTGGCGACTTCAAACAATAGTAATTAATGAATTTAATGTAATAAATATAGACAGGTCTAGTTATTTATAAAAAGCTTCCAATCGGAAACCTCTTTCAAGTGCCATACATTCTTAAAACATGAGAACAAATGATTGTGCTCTAAATAGAAGTGGTGCACCTTAAAGGGACCCTGAAACAATTTTTTGAGTAACCGTAGAATTGAATCACTGGAAGAGCTTATTACCTCACAAATTCAATGCCGCAAGAATTATAAGAATCCGTCCAGTACGAGCAGAGTTAAACATTTGTCACACGCTGCAATCGTATTCAAGCGCTTGAGGTATACAGTTTCTTGTCTGTGTCTTTTCGCGCTACATTTACGGTGTTATAAATCGCATTCTCTCTTCTCTTGTCTCGACGAAAGCGCTGGAAGCTAAGTAGGGAGAGATGGGAGAGGCCAACAAAAAACGTCACACGCACCTAGTGACCTTGAGCATTTTTTTCTTTTTGTTTGTTTGAAAATGCAGTTTTTTTCAATGCGATTGCACGCACAAGCGTGGACAAGTGACGGCCTTCGGCAGCGATCTCTGCAACGACCGAGCGTGCCATGTTCAAATCAACCAATGGATGATAGATGGCTTGCTACGAGTGATTTTTGAGCGTCTTCCACCATTTGTCCAGGGAACAGAAAGCAATTTTTAGCTGACTTTGATAATTTTTTGTGAATTGAAGGTCGCATGCTGCGCTATAACATTTGGCTCGCGTGTTTTCGGGAGCCCCTACTACTGATCGGCACCGTTTTCTGACCATGCTCAAAAAGTGTTGCAGGGCCCCTTTAAGCAACACAGCACACTTTCTAAAGGAACACTTTATGTATTACGTCTACATTACACCTTGAAATAAAGATGTTGCATTTCCACTTCATTTTTAAATTTGTTCATCCATTTATGCACAGTTGACACAGGTTAACACACAGGCACAAGTATGAGTGAGATGGCGCTGGAAAGCATGAATCAAGACGAGTGTGAACGTGCGTGAGTGCGGATCAATGTGAGTGATTGAGATGAGCGAATGCCACTGTGAGTATTCGTATGAACATAAGTGGCAAACATTGCTAAAAATTATGATGAGACAGTGTTTGCTAGCACAGCCGAGCTATGACAGCTGAAAATACATTCAGCTACGTAGTAATCACAGCGAAAGGTGCAATAGTCAATATTTCTTGGCAAGTTTTCACACATTCAACTTTTGGGGCCTGATTGCCATCACCTTCTGTTTGAACAATCCATTTAATTTTGAAGCGGCCTTACAAGGTGTCCCGAGACTGACCCATTTAGTCTTGAGCGACTACTTTAACCATGTGTGTGAGCAAGAAGCTACAGTCAATCATTGTCATTGGTTGTGGTGAATGTTGTTATTAATACCAGTGCCCAGAATTGACATGAACCACTTTTGACAAACTCAGCCAACATTAAAAAGATGTGTAAAAATATCACATTTAAAGTAAACTTTTAAAGTTAATAGCGACATTTAAATGGCTTGAAATTAATGTTTTGTTTGTCTTAAAGAGCCAATGAAGAGCAAAGTGATTTTTCACCATATTAGTAAAACGCAATTTCACAATATCGAAAACATCACTCTTATTGCAACACAGTGCTTGGCAAGCAAGACAATGTACGAAAAAAAATTTGGGTGGGAACTCCCGCCTCAAACACTGTGACGTACAAGATTTTGAAGGCGTCTACTGCATCCTAAGTAGCTTATAATCAATCAAAATGAACCGCACTGTCACCAGTGGGTGCCACAGACCCTAGCATACAAAGTTTGAGAAAATTTTATCGAGGCAATGTTGCCAAAATACGAAAAATACATTTTGAATTTTTGATGTCACATGCAGATTTCGGCACAAAATTTAAAAATGAAACTTCGACCTTGAATTTTTCTGCTTACAATGAACTTACGGTAATGAAACATACGGCATGAGAGCTCTCACAGTGCAGTTTATCAATCTAACCAAGCCATCTTTTCCTCCTTAGAGTTTCTTTAAGAAATAGCCTATTTGCTCATACCATTGTCTGATTACCCCGACATACGTACAGTATGAAGATTGAAGACACAATGTGCCATAACATACACAAAAAAAGCAATGAATATTCATTTCTTTTCAAGCCACACACATTAGAATAGACATAAAACAGCTTTACTTGACTACTTAAGGTAACAAAACAAAATAGGAGAAAAAAAAACAACTAAACTTAAATGAACAGGCAATAATTTAAGTCCTTGCCCAATCATGCAAGCACAAATGATCTCCCATTAATAATGCCTGGAGTTTAGCTTCCCAAAACTACGATGCGATATGATTATGAGAGATGTTGTAGTGGTGGGCTTCGGAGAATTTCAACCATCTGGTATTCTTTAATGTGCACTGACATTCGCTAGTAGCATACGGCATCGACCACTTTGCCTTCGTCGAAAACGCAACCGCCGCAGCTGGGATCGAACCCACTACCTTTGGGTCAGCCGCCAAGCAGCGTAACTACCATATCACTGTGGCGGACACAACATTTCACACAGCACCCACTTCACATACATTCAATGACTAGAATTCAATGGGCTATATTTTAATACCTCGAAGGGTAGTTTCTTTTTCCACTTTTCTAAACTTTTTTGACACAAACAGCACATGCCTAATCATATGAGCAGAACACGATATTAAAAAAAATTTTAAAATTAATACAATGACAGCCCTCCTATACAGGTCAACGTTTCAGAATTTGTATTCCAAGGCATTCAATCACACAGAAGACACAATATTAATGAGAACTGGCAGACCATTGTGCCAAGGGAAGTATATGGGATGTTATTAGAAGTAACTGTAATGTAATTGTGAAGAAACAAATGTGGACAAAAATGTGCACAAAGTCGCATCTATTTTGAAGCAATATTAGTATTCAAGAAAAGCGGCAGGGGAAAAATACACTCCTGATCAATGAAAGATCTACATAAACAAACCAATGGTTGCTTTTTTTTTCCCCTGTACTGTAATAAGGTATAGAATATCTAGCAATTAACAGTGCACATAAAATATGGCACAGGTGCAGTGTAAAATTTGCTCAGTACCAAGTTGTTAAGCTCATTTTCGAAAAGTTGTATATAACATACTACATAAAAGTAATACATTTCAATTAATTTGTGCATCTTTCCCACTTATGCACCCGTGCTATGCTGTAGGCACAAGTGACAATGCTTCGCTGTGCTACGTGTGCAAACTGCAGCCTCTACAAACGACAATGACGGGTAAGTTGTACGCACTCAGAGCGGCTTCAATATTTGAAACATTTATTCAAAGCCTGCCAACAGCAACATTCACGTCGTTCGATGTTGGTGTTAACTGGGGTGTCGTATCATCGACTGCCAAAATAGGCAATCGGCTGGTTCGACGCTTTTTACTGCCGCAAGCTCGCACATATAAGCTGCACGAAATGCCACAACACTTCCTGAAGTGGAAAACAGCTGCCGCGCGATGGATCAGTTATGACCCACGAACTGTAACCACACCAAAACGCACGTTTGGCGAACTCAACCTACTCTAAGCTCGGAGCTCAAAATCCGCGTTTTCCTGTCGCACCGCAAAGCGCTTCCCATTACGAACGTCAAAGCGATATGGATCTACTTGTCAAAGAGGCAACGACTTATGATTCTCCGTTTGTGTTCCGGCTTTCGTAGCGTGCCGCGCAGCTGTTTTGAAAGCGGATACCTCTCCGTGCTTATCAGGGCACCACGGCGGGCTATCGGCCAGCGCGGCGGACGCGCCACTAAGAGCTCCGAAAGCGAAGCGCTCGTGTCACAATAGAGTTCCTTAAGTGAGCATCTGCAAGTATACTCGGCTTTGAGCACGAACGCTGGTAGAGAGAGGACCTGCGTAAAAGCGGCAGATGTTCCGCCAACGCACGGACCACGTTCCTTCGTACGGGGGTCGGTCAGAGCACGTTCTTCTGTTTACATCCGCGTTTAGACAACTTCTGACGCCGCACACACGGACTTTACCGATTCCCGCCGCGCCAGAGAGGTTCGCGAAGGCCGCTAAGCGTGCCGGAGGAATAAAAGAACGTGTATTCGGCGAACAACTCATCGGGACAAAACGGGGCATTTTTTTTTTTTTTTTCGCGCTCTTGGCGTGCCCCGGTAACAAGCATAGCATGCAGGAGGCGCGCCTTTCCGTGCCACCTCAATGTCGCGCGTGCTCAAAGCTCGATCGCGGCGCGACGTTAGTCGTGGGAAACGCATTTTACGGTCTGCATCGGTGACGTTTAGCGCTGCGACCACTCGGGAGCCGCGCAGACTCGTGCACCGCAATCGGCGGCTTCCGACGCGCGCCGCAGCCCGCTTCAAAAAGCTTGCGGCTATTTCAGCTTTCTCATTCTGCCCCGGACGCTGCGGCACGACTCGAACAGTGCCCGGTACGTGTATCGTACCGTCGTCAAAGCATCGCGTTGCCGTGCAAAGACGCGCCGTATTGAGCGCCATTAGGCCTATAGTTAAGCAATGGTTTTTTGGGGGATCTTACCTGCCGTAAATGCCTTCGGTTATTTTCGCTCGCTTGCCGGGTCGTCTGATTTTCCCGCACTCGGCATTCCGTCTCTTCATATTTCCGTATACCAGCACAGTTAGGCTATTTCGATATCCTCGCGGCTACACACAAATATATACGAAAACAGCAGATGCACCACACCGTTTCAGTATGTTTTATTTGTTTTCTTTGTTGCCCCAGCGCGCGCATAACACACCCCCAATGCGCATGCTACAATACGTCATAGTGACGCCACTGAAAGTAACGTTGCCTCAAATTTTTTTTTAAATTGTAAAACACGCAACTCACAGAAACGTGTTTGCGGCAAAATTTTCAAACAATAACAAAATCACAATTTTTAAAAATTTTTGTGGGAATTATATTTGACACGCAAAATTTTATGAAAATATGTAAATACAGTTATGAAAACCGCGAATCAAGTTTTCGTTTAGTAATATTTACAGCGGTTACAATGTATTCAAAGTCTTTTCATGCAAGTTACGTGGGTGATTGATTTAAATTAAGAAGGCGTGACTTGGTTCAACTTGAGAAACATCTGTCGGCAACGGTGATCAAAATGTAAGATGGCGAATCACTACGATGTGCCGTCTTGGTAAGAACACACTTTTTGCTCTATAAACCAGCTGGGCGGCCACTTAAAGCCGCGGAAATAGTTGTGCTAAGCGTTAAGCTTAACATTCTTTCGTTACAGTATAAGTTGTCCCGTTCAGTGTTACCGATTGGACGTTTTATGGCATGTGGCCAAGTGTTGTGGAAGTGGTACGGTGTCAGTCTTTTGCTTCGGGGCTTCTATTTTCGTATGTGCGGCGCGTGGTTATGGTCATTAGTGTCGTAGTGTAAACTGCCTCCCGTTTTCAGGGCCGGAAAGCCTCCTGTCGGACTGCATCTTGACGTTCTGAAAGGCGAGAAGCTTATACAGGTGAGAACCCGCTGCCGGCGCCAAAAGGGATATATTTTGGGTGGGTGCGCGCGCGCTACGATAAACGCGTTTGTCTATTCGTGAAGCTTCGTTGCAACTAGCCCACGTTGCGATGCGCAGCTGATTGTTGTTTCCTTCGTGCAGTAGAGTTTCGAGCGTGCACGATTTGTGGGTTTGAGACAGCGAAGAGATGATGGCCGCAACGCTTATATCCGTTATATTCTGCTTGCGTTCTCACTGTTTCGTGCTCCGCCCTCGCCGAGCCCGGACCACGATAATAGATTGTTTTTTTTTTTTTTTACTGTTCCGTCGTCGCACACTGAAGTAGCTCGGGCAGAGTACCATGCTGTCCTGTAGAAATGTTAATGCCCTCCGTATTTTGCGTTCCCAGAAACTCATGATAGATGAGAAGAAATGCTACCTTGTTCGGACGGAAACCCAGATCTGAACGACTTCGTCATCGACCACCAGTCGTGCTCTCGTGTCCACGCTGCGCTTGTCTATCACAAACACCTGCAGAGGGCATTCCTGGTCGACCTGGGAAGCAGTAAGTACGGGTTTTAATATTCAATGCAGAAAAAGCTGGCTGGCATGGGTTTGAAAGTAAATACACAAATAAATCGCTGCAACGAAAGGAAGTTACAGACAGCAGGCCAATGACGCCCCATTGGCCTTTATTTTCGTGCACATCGTATTCAAGCTGGTCATTCACAGTCTGTATCTACTATCGGGGTTGCTACATTGATTCCACAACAGTGTACATTTACACTTGTTAATCAATTGAAAGCTGCATGAATGTTGTAGAAGTGTTTCTGATGCAACGAATGCTGTAATGCTTATTGCAGTCTTTGTACCAGTCCTGGCTCTCTGAGTGCAGTGCTGTGTACTGAACATGTCTGCCTGTCTGTTCCAGCACATGGAACATTCATTGGCACCATTCGGCTCGAGCAGCACAAGCCCACCCAGCTGCCCGTGGACAGCAAGTTCCACTTCGGTGCGTCCACGCGCCTCTACATCCTGCGTGAACGGCCCCAGAAGGTGGCCGCGCGGCAAGGCGACGATTCAACCGTGATGGAGGAAGTGGAAGGTGGTCTTCTCGGCCTCCCCGAGACGGAGACCGAGCTTGATGTGAGATTCACGGCGATAGCTTGGTGGGGCTAGTTAATATTGCAACATAAAAACTTAACGGTGCACACATGCAGGGACAAAAGAAGAAAACACGAGACACAGCAAGCGCAGGGAAATTGCTCGTGTGTCCCGTGTTTTCTTCTTTTGACCTCCGTTGTGTGCGCTGCGAAGTTTCGTCCTGTGAGAGATGAGCTGGCTTGTGTACTCACGAGAAAAGGGTTGAGGGGGGTGGGGGGGGGTTCAATTTGTTTGTGGGGTTAGCTTTCAAAAATGGGACGAAAAATTTATTCTATTGCTGTTGCTTGTCACACTTCGTCAGTGGTGCGGGTGTCTTTCACTTGTCTTATGATTGGGATCAGCTAGCTGTGTATTGTAGGTGATAAGCCAATCAAGGCAAATGAAGAATTTTAACGTACCAGCTTGACGGCCAAATACAAAAACAATTTGCCTACATAAAAAGCTTCCAGTAGTGCATATACAGAAACCTCCGTGGAAGATATTTTAAATTTGACATACATACAAGCACGAGTGACAAAAGAAGTTTGCGGATATAGTTGTTCTTATTAATGAAACCAAATGAGAAGAGACACTGTAATGACCAATTGACATAAATCACTTGTGACGAAGGTATGACCTAAAATTTGTGGCTCCTCTGTATTACCTCTGAGAAGTTATAGAGAGAGAGCGCAGAGGTGGCATGCTTAGGTCTATGTTGTAACAAGAACCACCATGTACACGTGTAACTTGCTCAAATGCTGATAGAAGGCTGCTAATGACAAATTTATTCCATGTATTGCTGGTGCTGCATATTCGCCATAAATAGCTTCATTGGTATATACTACTAGCTCATAAGGAAATGAGCTAAAGCGTAGTTTAGTTTTGGCTGGCCTTTTTATGTGCCATTTCCACCAGTGAAAAGGCTGTGCTGTGCTTGGGTGTCTACTACGTAAAATTTAATCTTGGGGTACTATTTCAAAGTTGTAATGTCAACAATCCTCGAGTTAACATTTGTCTGACACTGTCATTCAGGGATGCACTGTGATGGCCAAATGTGAGCCTGAGTACAAGCTGCATGTCCCATTGTTGCAGAATTTGACCGAATACAACACTGCCCACAACCGGAGAATAACGATGCTCGGTATCCCTGATGAAGAGCTGAAACCGCCAAACAGGAAGCAGAAGAACCTCAGTGTCAAGTTCAATGAGGAGGAAGACGTTATTAATCCGGGTAAGCCCACATTCACTCTCGCCAGCTGACACGCTGTTAGCAGGTTGACTTACTGAAACATTTGAAGTCAACAATTGGCCATAAACAAGTTCAGTTAGCAGTCCTCATTTTCTGTGCTTTCGGAATAAAGTAGAAATCACATTTTTCTTTTTTTTATCGGCTTTAGGCACAAATTGAATGCCTACTATTTGCTGTGCGAGAATCTGACATGCTTTCCACATTGGGTGAAGTATCACGGTTGGCACTACCGACAATAGACCCTTTTCATAACTGTAAAGCTAGCTTTCCTGCTATGCAGTTTGGGCGACTAATAATGGTAACTCACTTTCTGAAAACAAAGCGTTCAAGCCCGGTTTACTTGTGCTATGACATGGAAAATGTAGGCTCTGCTCTCTTGACTATAATGCACATAATAGACGAGCTGCAGCATATTCAACTAAGACCTTGTTTCCATTTGAAGCAAGACAGGTGCTGCCATAAGTAGGGCAAGTATGCAGCACAAGGAAGCGCATGTGCAGATTATGGAAAGGGCCTATTGCACTGGTGACTTCCGGTGGCTCCGTTTTCTTTCATGCAGTGCTACCATGTGTTCATGTACGATTGCAGGCTCTTTTCTCACAAGGTTTTGTGTCTCGATGTTATTCTCTCTGTGTGTACATTTTATTGTCATCGTTTAGTTCATGTGTAAGTGCACAGCATATTTGCCGTGTCGCAATACTGGTCAAGTTAACCTTTTGCTCGTCAGTGATTGATTTGACTGTAGTACCGACCTGAGCAGCTGATTCCGAGTGTATAGTGTGTCACTTGCAGTACTGTACCTGACATGGCTGCTGCTCTTGTTGCAGAGGATGTGGACCCAGTCAATTGGAAGGTTTCGCAACTTGGTCCACACTGCAGTCATCCCAAAAAAGGTACAGTCCTAGATGCTAGCCTATCACATGGCCATCTCGGCAAATGGATCTTGTGAATCACTAGCCTAACAGTCTTGCTTACACTGTGCCAATGGAACATGTGATTATGTACACTGTTTCATTGCATGCAGAAGGCAAAGATGGACACCGGAGACCCACTGAGCACTCTGCTGCCCGACTCGGACAAGTCGAGCAACATGCACCTTTACTCAAAGCCCGAATCTACGCACGTCTCTCACCTAAGTACCATCTTCTCGCCAATGCTTTCAGCCAAGCTTGGACTTCACCTGCCAAATCCTGCACCCGAAATCGAGCCAGCCGGTGCTCCTGTAGAGAACCCTGCTGCTGCGCCAATAGTAACAGTGCATCCAGCTGTTGCAGATGCCAACCTACCACCGGAACCCAAGAAGAAGAAGTACGCCAAGGAAGCATGGCCCGGAAAGAAGCCAGTGCCTTCGTTACTCATGTGAAGGGTAGGATTGTTGTGTGGCACCGCTGGCCTCAATTCCTGTACTACGGGAAGAACAGTTCTGCTCGTGGTTAACTGCCAAAAAGGCACTGGACTAGCGCGTGGAAAATGTGCGCTGGCTGCAACAAGTGCCTCAACATATTCGTGCGCTGCTCTGTCTTTTGGTCGGCAGATACAAGAAACAATTGACACCAGCAGCACAGCTCTACTACGGACACTCAGGACAGCTACTGCCTGCAGGCGGAACACCGGTGTGCTGCTTGGCGGCTCGTCTCTTCTTGTGATTGGCATTGCCATGTCGCGGTGGAGCAGTTGTGAAAGATTGCGTCGCTGAATGTACACCACTTGGCTGCTTTTGGGTGGTCCTGTTGGAACAACTGTTACACTGTTCGTGGTAGAATTTGTGCATTGCTTGTCAGGGGTACCCATGCATAATATTGGTGAACTTAATGTGCTGGGATTTTTTAAAGCTGTACAGCTTTTGTTTGTGATGTAATTCCATTACTTTATTTGAACTACTGTATTTGTCTGAATTACACATTGTCCAAAAACGAGCGTTGGCCTCTACATTCACAGGCCAATGCTGAACAAAACTTATTTGGTGGTAGTGCATGTACATTGTAAGCACAGGTTCAGCTACAGTACTTAGGACAATTGATGAAGATGTTATTGATCAAGGTCAAAGGCAGTACCATCATTTTACCTATGTCATAAACTGGATATTATGGTGGTGAAGGGGTTAGTACACCCGTGGGCATTTGGTGCCTTTGATCATGAGTTCAAAATAGTTTTGTTTCGTGACAATTATTCGTAATTTGCATGTAATTTTTTTTTAAAGAGGCCAGTCCTTAAGTGCAGTAACACGATTGTAGTCGAACTATGCTAGCTGCAGCGAGTGATATTTCTGAAAGTTTGCACAGTCTAAAACAATAATCACACAACGCCAATCACAGCATCATCCCTCATCATGTTCAGTTTGAAGTTAACCGCTCTACAACATGACTGCTGTACATTATACACATAGGACATCATCAAATCTCTTTGTACACGTGAATTAAAGAGCATTTTATTGTGAACTTGCCACCTGTGCATGTGACATTTGCAATAAATCTGTGTGCCCTTCAGCTTGATTTGTTCCCTCTAGGCAACATCACCGTTTTAAGGGAATGATTATGCTGAGAGATTCTGGGTGCATAAATATGTAGTATGTGAATGCTGTAATGCCTATATATTACGTAGAAAGTTGCCATACTGAATATGCTCGTGGGCAAATACTGAATATGCAAGGAGTCGCCCCGTTACCCCTCAAAAGTAGAGCTTCAGCTGGTAAATGTACTAAAATGTAAACGTTCAGCTGACAAACAGGTGAGCATCGGTTATATGCACTTTTGGTTCTCCAACATAAATGCCACAAGGTTTATCAACGAGCATTCCTATAAAACGGTTGATATTTGAAAAAATATGATTTGGTTGGGGTTTTCATTTCCTTTAAACTCCGTTAAAACCCTTCTAAAGTTATGTGTTTGCACATTACCCCTCTCACATACGTGTAAGCTGCAGATCTGGCCTCGAGGGCCCCTTTAGGACAAGATAGTGCACTGTAGTGCAATACAAATGATTTGCTGCAAGTGGAAAAGTTGCTTATATTCATTGTAACAAGTGGCAAAAAGCAGGCGTACACCTTGTACAAATGCATTATTATTTTTACTGCAAATATGTAGTTATTATACAGCATGCAACTTTAGCGCTGACAGTCGTATGTTACCGACTACCTTCGTTAAAGTGCGAATTCCGTGAAATTGGTGGGCGAGTACCAATAATGGTCCCATGCGCCCTTGGTCGTAGGTGGTGACATAGAGGTGTAAGCTGGTCGTGCACAAACACGGCCGCCTTTCTAGCGACCGGTTGTAAACTTCGCCCTCGCCTAACGATCGTAACCTAAAGTCACCATGTCCCGCAGACACCATATGGCGGGATGGCGGAAGGAAGCACATTTCATAAGTCCAAGTAGCAGGGGCACAGCCAGGGGGGTGGCACACCGGGCACGCGCCTCTCCCCCCCTCTCCGTTCTTTTTTTTTTCATGGCGTAGAGAGAAAGAAGGAAAAACGACCATTTTAAGGGGGTGCTTCTCCCGAAATCAAGGTGGTGCCACCCTTCCTCCCGAAAAAGTTTCTGCTTACGCAGCTGCCATGTACGTAGTGTACGCAAAAACTCGGGCGTACAGTGCACGAGAGGAGGTCGTGGTACAGTGCACGTACAGCCCAGGACCTCCTATAGAGGAGGTCGTGGTACAGTGCAGGTGCGAGGGAATGCGAAGACGTTAAAGGGAGATAGTTATGGAAATTGGTGGGAGAGAGTAAAGCTTGTGTAAGAATACTGCTTGACGCACGCCGGGGTAGAGCAACCGTTTATTGGGCCTAACAGCACCGAGACAGCAACCAGCGGTTTCAGCAGCACGAGCCTCCGCCACGCTTGGTAAAAGGATTACTACGAATTCAAGGAGCCAGAGGGAGGTGAGGGTGAAGGCTATGTGGGGATCTAGGAGCACAGAAAAAGTGAGGAGGAGAATAAATAAAACGCTTTCGAGGTGGCACCATGTTGTGTGGTGGCACTCGATTGCACCCGGGTGCCCACGGTCCGAAGACGAGCTGAAGAAGCTTTAAAAGGAAACCATGTGGTTGGCAAACGATTTTAATTCCAACCAAAAAGTACGTGAAAATACGTAAACCGACTCGGTTCTTTCCTCAGGGGAGACTGTGGCCACGTTTCAGTGGCGTCTTCAGGGCACTCGCAAGGCGGTTAATAACCCCCCTTCCTCTCCCCGTTGTGCCGCGGTCCGTGTGCATACACCGGGGGAAGGGTTCCGAGAGAACGGTTGATGTTTTGGGCAGTTCGCTCCTTCTCCCTGGAGGAAAAGGTCAAGTTGTTTGAGTGGTTCTGAAACAACACGCCAACGAATGTTTACATTCAAACCATATGGTTGCTATATATATATATAAAATTCTTTCGGGCTAGCTGACTCGGAGAACACCGACTGCGTGTACGAGCCGATTTTCACCAAAAGGCGGGACAAAACATATGTTACCAAACACCGTTCCGCAAGCAGGTTTAGCGATTTCGTGGCTGATTTGGTTGCGTCCTAGGCTTCGAAAAAAAAAAAAAAATGTTTGTGAAATCGGCTAAAATAATTATACGGTTGAGGTCATAGAGTTTCTCAAAAAAACTCTATGGTTAAGGCAGTTGAGGTAAATGACCCATGGTAATATTTCTAGGCACTGTACCAAAGGTAACGAAGGTAACTTGTTAATTAGTGTCGCCCTCTAGCGAACGAAAACGACAGAGCGCTTGGACGACTCTTTCTGCTGGCAACTTCTTAGCGCGTTATTTCTGCTCCCCGGCCTGTTGCGCTCGTGGAAATCCGTCCTTTTGACCTCTCTCGTATTTGACAGTTAACCGGCACCGAAGCGCGCGCTGAGATGGCCAACGCTCTGAAGAACACGCTATTCGTTTCGCTGCCTAAGAGCGCTTACGGAGTAACATGCGCGCGCGCTTGCTCGTGGTGGTCGCACGTCGAAATGGGTCCCCCCGACCCGATCCTGGGCGTTACGGAAGCCTTCAAGAAGGACACGAACCCGAAAAAGATGAACCTGGGTGTCGGTGCATACCGCGACGACGCCGGAAAGCCGTACGTCTTGCCCAGCGTGCGTAAAGCCGAGGAGATAATCATGTCCAAGAAGCTGGACAAGGAGTACCTGCCCATCGGAGGCATGTCGGAATTCTGCAACGCCTCGGCGCAGCTGGCCTTCGGCGAGGACAGCGAAGTCGTGAAGAGCAAGCGAAACACGACGGTCCAGGGCATATCCGGGACGGGCTCGCTCACGATCGGAGCCTTCTTTTTGGGCCAGTTCTTCAAGGGCAACCGCGAGATTTACATGCCCACGCCGACGTGGGGAAATCACGTGCCGCTCTTTAAGCGCGCCGGGCTCGCGGTTAAGCAGTACCGCTACTACGACCCCAAGACGTGCGGTTTCGATTTCAGCGGCGCGCTACAGGACATCGCCAAGATACCCGAGGAATCGGTCATCTTGCTGCACGCGTGCGCGCACAACCCAACCGGCGTGGATCCGAAACTGGAGCAGTGGAAGGAGATATCGAAGGTGATCAAGAGCCGCCGCCTGTTTCCGTTCCTGGACATGGCGTACCAGGGATTCGCCACCGGAGACATCGACCGCGACGCGGCGGCCGTGCGGCTGTTCGCCGAAGACGGTCACGGCTTCGCCGTCTCCCAGTCCTTCGCCAAAAACATGGGTCTCTACGGCGAGCGCGTGGGCGCATTCACGATGGTGTGCGGCTCCAAGGAAGAAGCGGACCGCGTGATGTCCCAGATCAAGATCATCGTTCGGCCCACCTACTCCAACCCGCCCATCCACGGCGCCCGAATCGCTCACCTCATCTTGACCGACCCCGAACTGAGGCAGCAGTGGCTCAAGGACGTCAAGGGCATGGCGGATCGCATCATCGGCATGAGGACGCGCCTGCGAGACGGCCTGAAGCGAGAAGGATCCACCAAGAACTGGCAACACATCACCGACCAGATCGGCATGTTCTGTTTCACGGGCATGACGCAAGAGCAGGTAGCCCGGCTCATCAAGGAGTTCAGCGTCTACCTCACAAAAGACGGACGAATCTCAGTGGCAGGCATTTCCTCCAACAACGTAGACTACTTGGCACACGCGATGCACCAAGTCACCAAGTGAAGACATATCATCACCTCCGTCCAAGACGCGCCTTTGAGTGGTGCCCTCGTAGGTTGGATCACATTTACATTCGCGTTTATAAACTTAGGTGGATTGCATTGATATCGCACACTGCCGTGCTCGGGTTTACTACGGCCTCACTCCTATTTTTGAGGAAGTCATCAGTGACAGCTGGGACTTGTTTCAAACATGCTTTACATGGCGTGAACATTTAGTCATTTGTCGTTGCTTTAGGTTTCTGCTGTAATCCGTTATTGCACTGCAACCAGTGACAGTATTGATGAAAGTGCCACATTTTAATAAGAAGGCTCAGTACCTTTTTGCTTCTTATTACGTGTTCAAACGATAAAGTGTTTCCTCTAGAGCATTTTTCTTTTGCCGTAATTTCTTTGGTCATAATTATTATTGTTGCTGTAGCTACTGAGAAGTGTTCATTTGCCACGGTAAATAGTTTGTGTGAAATAAATTCAGCTTCAAGCGACTTGGAAATTGTTACTTTGCATGTTTTCTGTGCACACGTGGTTGCGGAAAAGATGAATCCTGAATGTTTGACAACACTATACTGCGCAGTTCCGTGTGTAGCAGCCTATTATCGGACTAGGTCGACAGTCAAACAAGTCTTATCATCTGCACAAAGTGTCCCTTCAGGCTCCAACGCTTTGAATGGGGAAAACATCAGCTTATCTTCTATCACTAGCTGCTCTCTGCAATGTTCCAAGATAAGCAAGTGTTGCTGACCACGCCTTTAGATTTTCGTTGGCAAATCATGTAAAGCTAGTGAAAACCTTAGTCTAGCAGCGCTTGATAGAACTAAGCAGAGTTGTAAGTACCAGTGACAATTCTAATGAAAAATGTCTTTCCAAAGAACACAATAGAATGTTTGTTCTGGCCATACTCATTTTAATAACAGGCAGACGGTTGTCTTCAAAGACTGGCCTCGGGTGTTTCATTATCAGAACCTTTGCGATGCTAAATCGAAATCGGCTGTTAGGCAAGTGCAACAATAGCGTAATGAAAAAGCTGCATTTTCCTTCCTTCACAGTACATCCTATACACATCACATTTATAGTAATGCAACATCTACACAGCTGATGAAAATATCCTTAGAATGTTCAAGCACAAAACAGTAGGCACCAGTGTTCTATCACTCTGAAAGACTTGTCACACTATATCGCTACATACCATGATCATAATCATGCTCATGCAATAGATAATGGGGCTATATATTGGACATAAAACTTATGGGGACACCACTTGTGACCAATCACAGGTGTAAAAGGACCGACGATGGGCCAGAATGTGTGATTAGATCCTAGTAGAAATGAAAAGACCATAAAACATAGTGGCAGAATCCAGCATTCTTTTTCGCATTGTGACTAGGATTTAGATTTTAAAATTGTGTTTAAAAATAAACTTCTGTGGTGCCACCTAGCAGAAGAACCTTGAAGCTGGATTATGGAATATAGTATATCACTTTGCTGTAAGTAGTCGCGTAGCCTCGCGCGTTCATGTGCACCAGTCCTCAAAATTAGAACATGTGTATGATTACCTATTTCTGCTCAATTCTGTGCTGCTTACGATGCAAAAGGAGTGACGCGGTGAAAAGCGGTGCTACCATCGTTGCCAAGTCGAGCTGCGACGCATGCGCGCGAAGTTCACACATTTGCAGCAAACCAAAGTGCTCGAACAGTAACCGTTTTCATGCTCACTGTTTTCAGCATGTGTTTATACGACTTCATATTCGCTGCAGATAAAAAAATTCTGATTCTAAATGTTTCGTGGCATTTTCCACTGTACCAATTCGTAATTAGACTCACTTACTAGTAAGCTTTCTAATGTGCTAAAAAAATAGGCAGTATAAGAATTGGTTGTCAGTCCCTTCAATGCAAGAAACGGAGAGATTGTTACATATATATTAATACCACACAAAGCATGTTTTTAAAGGGGGCATACAGAATGACATGGAAATTGAAATTTTTGTGCTGGCATAGTCGTTCCGTACAACTTCTCAATGCAATGCCTAGGCTTTAAACAAGAAACACCATGGTTAACTTTAAGTATAAAATGGGTGTAAATTCAAGTATGTAGGCATTGTGCCTCCACTATGATGCGTCAGTGGAATCACGATCTCGGGCTTGTGCTCACCACCATGGCCGCTATGTAAATCGTGTGGGTAAAAGTGAAATTGTCCCCAAAAGCAATCGCTCCAAATATGGCCCCACATTATTGCAACTCACAAACAGCATTCTTTCCAACATGGTGTCAGATACAGATTGGGCAAATAAGGACAGATTCCTGGTGTACCGAACCACAAAGAAGTGAAATAACATACAAAGGCACTATCACACGATATATGACTTGCCTTATCGTATTACTTGTCACTTCTTATTAATGAAGCCGGAGGCATCGCTGCTAATTTAGCCGTCGAAGAGGTGCTATGAACTGTAAACGGCTTCCCCACCTCAGATCCATACGATAGCTTGAAACAAAACACCATTTAAGGAGAAACAAAACACCATTTAAGGAGCCCAAACTTGGACCCCAATCTGAGTCTACATTAAACATCAAAAATAAAGGTGTCACACAACATCTCTAGTTCAAAAGCATGACTCTCCAGACTGGCATATCACTGAATGGACATAATTTATCAGAAACTCTTCAAAAAAAACATGTTTCCTCCCTGTTTAGGGAGGCACTTATAGCAATGCCTGATCTATTACCCCTTTATAAGCAATAACTGCCATTAAAAACTTCTAATTCAGAAATTTCTGTGGAAAAAGAAAAAGGAGTCTACCTAGATTTGAGCATGTTACAATACTGTACGACAAAGAAGCCCAGCACATGGTTCATCAAGCTGCACATTTAGACAAAGCACTATACAATTAAAACACCATTCACAACACTTTTTTTCACTGTCAAAACACTGGTCAAAAAGCATGCTTTCACCAGCAGTCAGTCAAAGAAACGTTAAGTGCACACTATCAGGATGAGATAGACAAACTGAGTGCAATGCTTCCCACTTTGCTCAAACTGCTGATAGAAGAATATGACAATGTGTGTACATAATATCTATGGTCTCAACTGTTGCACTTACTGTTTATGAATCAGTAAGTTCAATTATTCAGTCAAGTAAATGTAAATATCTGATCAAGCTTTGAACAACAGGGAAACAGAGTGACCGTGAAATTCTAGCGTAAGTACAGGATCTCTTCAAGCGCAGAGTTTCCAACAAAGTTTATGAGAGAGGGACTGGTGCTATAGTTATTTAGCAATCATGGGAGTGATAGTCAACAGATTCATATGCTTGATGCCCATGCTTGCGACCTTGGATGTCCTTGAAATCATTTATTACATTGTACATTACTCAATTTTTAAGCAATTCTAGTGTTATAAACACAGCAGGATTATTACCCTCAGCACACATACATATGATTGGTGTGAAATGTAACATTTCGTGACAATACTTTTTTAATCGAGGTACAAATACAAAAGGCTGTTTTAATCTAGATAGACGAAGTTTCAAACAAGCCCACACGAAACCCATCCTTTTCACACTGACTTCCACACTGCAAGAGTTGCCTCTACTACCTAATCTTTTTTGGGAACTCTTAATACAAAATGCTGCAATTCAATTGCATAAAAACGTCACTCTCCGTCTGTAAGGGCAATGTTTACAGGTACGAAGTTCACATAACTGTTTGATAAACACAACCTAGAGACAATTGGCAACAGGGAAAAAGTTATGTACATAAAATTAATGTAATGCTAACATATTAAAATATATAATGCCAAAAGGGCATTGGCATGGGACTAGTAGATAATAGAGAAGAATAAAAATATCAGGTTAACGTCGCCTACAATAAAAAGGCATTGCAAATAAAAACATAAGTGCGAAGAAATGGCGCAATAACACAGTGCAATAGAGCATGCATTATTTTTTTTTCTCTTCAAGTCAACACAATGCTGTAAGCATGAGTACGTCTACATAAACCTGAGAATTAATTGCATTCCAGAATACTGTGGGTAGCTAACTTGTATTATAATAACAAAAGGAATAACAAAGGGAAACACCACATTGGACTATAGACTATCTGGTAATGCTTCTGAATTTGGTTTTGAGAGCCAATTCCAGAGTGGTGTCTTTTGTGCAGCAAGCACATCGTGAATTTAGCAGGCAATGTCCTGGCTTCAGAGCACTTTGGCCCTTTGGACCAAGCAGTAGGTGGTTATCTGTTGTAGTGAAACGGGACAAAATTTAAAGACTGAACATAATTCCACCTTGCACGAGTAAAGACACCTCTTAGCTTTTTTCAGCAGAAGTAACAATGTGGCAGCCACGCTGCAAAGCCAATCAGTAGCACTCTTTTGCTCACTGCGTTAAATGAACAGAAGTTCTGCCATAAATATTTTGTACAAAACATGGCTTCGATAATTTTCAGTCAGAGTGCCCACTCCCTGGTGCCTTTTGTTTAAATCACAGTAGATGCAGTGCTTCCAGAAAATAAGTACTGCTACTACATATCTTCCTCAAATCCTGATGTCATAACACTGAATTCACTAATGAACAATAATTTTCGGGGTCTAACGTCTCAAGACCACAATACGATTATGATGGATGCTGCAGTGGAGGGCTGCTGGAAATTTGAACCACCTGGGATTTTTTTAGCAGTGCACCTAAACCTGCGTACAATGGCCTCTAGCATTTCTGCCTTCATTGAAAATGTAACACAGAATTCATCGTTGAACGGAAAGCGACACTGTCGGCTTCCAAAGAATAAATACCCCACTCATTGTGGCAATGGCACCATTTTTAGTTTTTCAGTGTAAAATTAGCCTTTTTTTTCTTTTTCTGGTTTCATGCATCTGCGACTTACTTGGAATGGCACAGGCGAATCACTGCACCGAAATAAAGCCAAATGCATTGTGAGTGCCGCTTATGTGTGTAAAACCACCGATACATGGGCGTTTGTGATTGCAGTTGGCACCAGTTCAGATTCGGCTTAAACCGAGTGAGTTGCTGCTACACAGTCGATTCGTCTGACATGTGCGCCAAGCTAAATCTAGGTTAGTTGGGACCAAGTAGCAGCAAGCATTGTCAATTCGATCAAGAAATCATATTTAGATTGGCCCTTACCTCGACCACAAGTGCCCGTGGGACACGAGTATAACCTTATAGTGAACGATTCTGCCCTTGAACAAGAAAACTACCTCTGCCGAGCAAGGCGGAAGTTTGAGCGAATATGAGATTAATGCTTGAAGTGAGAAGTTGTTACGAAGAGGTGTAGCTAGAGCCAAACTTCTGTTGCCGTTGTGAACTTGCCTGGCAAAGACAATGTTTCGTTGAAACGTCGATTCCAGTAGCGTCCCTTGTTCAACAACTTGTCATTACACTCATACTGAAATTCACTTACTGAGATGTAGTACATACGTTTCCACGGGTGTGTGAACCAAGACAGACAAGTAATGTTGCAACTGAAGATATCAGTGATACCATATCTCAGTATTGTGGAAATGATAAGTGGCCTGTTTGTAATTCAGAGGTTACACTACGTACTCGCACAATGGCACCAGCGATGTTATTTCCCAATGTTATTCATTTCACAGAATTTATTTTTTGTTGCAGTCGAATGCACAAAAAGCAGTGTGAAAAATTCCAGGTTAATTTAGTACCTATCTTAAAATGTCCATTTAATTTTTCGTATATTAGAAGGAATTGACTGGCCTCACTGAAATGCCATCATAAATTGCCTTGCAACTGTCAAGCAAAGCCTGAAGCCATGCCTAGTCTCTTGCAAACTTATAATACTAATTCTGGCACAATCTTCAGTTTGTTTATAATACACATTTTGTATTCCACAGCTCATGTCGGTATACTGCTGTAATGCCCTTATACACTCTTGTCTTTGCTTATTAAATGCAGATTGTGACAAGATCAATGCCTGCTTAAACACAGCACACAATAGTATGGAATCCATAGCTCATACAGTGGCTCATATTGATCATTATTGAGATATCCAGTAAAGAGCTCGCAGTTCAATTTCCTCATAATTCTGTCATTGGTGCTCAAAATTAGAGTGTCAAAGAATTTTTTAAATTCTTGCCTAAGTTTAGAAAATCAGGAAGCACAGAGGCACTATGATAGCAATGTTCATAAACAAAGCACTTTGCGTTAACAATGCACACAAGGTTCGCTAAGCTGTTCTCCACACTAACAACATGCATAAGATCGCACAACTATATATAGGACCTGAGATATTCATTTGTTTTACGGTAACTAGACACTTCAATGGCACTTATGCCGCACAAAACATAAAACAAGACGTCATGTGGCATTTTCATTAGCTGAATTTCACACGTACATAAGCTTTCAATCACTACATAAACAACACCAGATAGCTCATGCAATGAAACCAGCAGAAGGATAGTAGTGTGAATCAAGAAAGCACACAATACACACCCTCTATGTGTGTTTTGCAACTGCACCTATCGCATAGCTGCAGGCTGAGGTTAGGAAGGGCAAAAGCGTGTCATGGCTTTTGTCACGAGCTCCGCTATTCTGATTTCGATTCCTGCAAAGGCCGTTTTTGAGTAGTGCACGACTGGCCAAAATATCGAAAACAGGTTATGGTAAAGCCATTACTGCAAGAGGCTGATAGTTAACTGCAGCAAAGAAAGCATTAGTTTTTCTCTAGATTCTCACATTTTCACGCCATTCACTACAGAGTAAAAACACACGTACATCCAGTGCGCCATGGAATCCAATGCCGAGCAACATGCCACTATTGTAGATGCAGATTGCACATCTGCAGTTGCAGTTGCTCTAGAGACCAAAGTTATAAAAAAAGGCTCTGAAACTGTTTATCTACAGTTTGAAATAGGCAACCAACTAATTTTCAGATTGATGCTTACTAGGTGTAGCAGTTGTCTGCAGAATGCTTCTTGTTCCGTCTCTCTAACAAGAGTGCAAGCTTTTGCAAAGGCGGTACTTCCAACTAGCATGGTGATGTTATGGGCAGCCTGCAAGCTCTGTACTGGCTAAACCAATTAAGACAGATCTATCAAATATCACCTCTGGTAGATACTGCCATTCTGCTGCATGAGCTGACTTACTTGAATAGAGACACTACTCACAAGACAAATCGCAGAGCTGCATTAAAGCATAGGCAAAATCTCACAGGACTTCCTTTGTAATCCTATTGCTTTTGAGCACATGCCTAGGTTTCAAGATTGGAGCCCGACAATAATGAAGCAACTATCAATTTCACATGAATATATCGTTATTAGCGCCAGCTTGAAGAAGTGCGTCTGCCATAAGTGCATTATTGGTGCTACAGTTAACACTTGACAGTTGCGTCAAAAGTTAAGCGTGTTAATTGGCCCCACCATTTTCACCATTTCTGCTGGTAGGCACATGCGACCATTTTGACTGGGACAGTCATTGCAGGCATCGCAAGCAGAATAGCGGAGCGGGAAAGTTGCCGAGAAAGGCAATGTTCGCACTGGTCTTCCCAGTGAGAAAAGTTACAGAAGTGACCGGGCAGGCATCCTATGAAGTTAGTAGGAGGTAATTTCTGAGAAAGGATGCACAGCCTCAAAACTTACAACATTAAGATCCCTGCCGATGCGGTTTGGATGTGCCCTTCACCTTTTGCCCTTAAAAGCAGCAATGTCCTAGTAATGGGAAACAAAGGAAGAAACCAACTCACTTTTAGTGACTGCGTGACTAGAATGTTAGAGAGAGACGTTTGCAAAACATTTCATTCTACTTGAACCATCTTTGTTTCTATTTCTCTGGATGCACGTATGGGTGCAGAAAAATTTCAGTGCCTTAAATGAGAATGCATTTCAAAAGTCTCTCGCAAGAAGTGAATTGGGTTTTGGTTGAGAATAGCAACTCTAAAAATATTTTTGCATACATACATCTAAACAAAGTAAGAAAAATATGTTTGTATAATATATAAAGTGAGATAAAAGCTTCGGTAAGCTATCATAACTACACAGCATAACCATCTTTAGCAGCAGAAGCTGGTAAATTAGATAGCACCAAATAAACTGGCTCTTAGCCAGTCGAGGGTCACATAAAATTTGTTCATTGGCTAATGAAAGTGTGGAGTTCATGTCAAAATAAAAAGCTCTAGCCATTAGTCAGAAGCGTGCGGTGATAGTGTACAATAATGTTATGGCAATGAGCTAGAAAAATAATTAAACAAACAAAGTTCTATTGTTGGCTTGCGGAATATCACGTACGTGATTGTTTGCAAGCCCTGCCGGTTCTGAGCGTTCTCAAAATGCCCAGCCTGAACGGACTGTTTCTTTCGCACGCTTGGTAACCACAAACTCTCATTCAACGATGCCACAACCCTGAATAATCCCGTAAATACGAACAACTCTCAAGACACCTGACAGTACGAAACGCCCTCAGCACTGGAGGTAATTGACACTATAGCTATGAGGCAAGCCAAGGGGACTTTGGAGAAGCATACTTGTAGCAGTATGCATGAAGTGCACACAAGTCAACTCACTGCACATAGCGATGAGGGATTGCAGTTATAAGAAGCACTGTAATGTGGCTCACGCTTTAGAATATGTAATGTCAACTGAAATAAATAAATTGGCAAATGAACATGTGCTAGAGTGTAGCTCACCAGTGCAAGAAGTACAAAATATATAAAAGGGGCCTTGAGCCCTTGGCTGCAGATACGGTCACTAAATTATCATGCAATTAATTAAAATAAAAGACACCTAAGGATTCCACAGCAAAATGGACACAAATAAGCACGCTTAAGGACACGCACATCAGTAAACAAATGACGTGTACAAAATTGTGCAATCTCCGATAAGTTCTACATTGTATCACAGGAATTGGTGATTGTGCCTAAAGTAATGCCTAATCACGTGTGCGCAGATAGACAAATGTTGCACCGCGACGAAAATGAGAGAGAAAAGAGAATAGCTCTTTCAGGGCAGACGATATTGAAGGCAGTCCTAGAACATTAGAACGATATATGCTCGCCGAATAACGTGGACTGGAACGTTTTCACGGTTCATTTGCGCAGGATTGGAATATTTACGGGACGGCTGGTGCCATCGGCTGTGGCAACCTTGGGGGCTGGTGGTGGAACGTCACTGCGGTCAATATCTGGCGGCGATGGCACCTGTGACTGATGGTTGGGAATGGATGTCACTGATGCCGACAAGGAAGGTGCCTCCCACTTGGCAAGATAGTCGGCCACAGCCGCGTGGCCAAACTGCCGAGCATCGTCCAGAGGGGTGTGGCCCCACCTATTGGAGTAGCCGTGCAGGGAGAGATGGAAGCATTCAGGAAATGCATACACACGCTCACACATGCAAGAGGAGACAAATTTCATAGTTTTCAGAACAGAACACAAAAATACTTAATTGAAAATAAGTTATTCTGATGGTAGGGGCATTAGTCAAGGGCCCCGCTGGCCTTAGCCACCTGTTCAGCCTGGCCAATCGGCCCTTGCTAGACAGTTGTGCCTCCCATTGCGTGTATAGGTGTCGTTTCTGTGTGTATCAACTTTCAATCCCAAGGCCTTCGCCCCGCCGCGGTGGTCTAGTGGCTGAGGTGTTCGGCTGCTGACCCATCCTGGCTGCAGCGGCTGCATTTTCCGATAGAGGCGGAAATGCTGTAGGCCTGTGTGCTCATATTTGGGTGCACGTTGAGAACCCCAGGTGGTCTAAATTTTCGGAGCCTTCCACTACGGCGTCTCGTAATTATATGGTGGTTTTGGGACGTTAAACCTCACATATCATCATCATCATCAACCTCAAGCCTTCCTGTGATTACCCTAATATGATTAAAAAAGATAATAATAACTTAAGATTATTGATTGACCTGAAGATCGAAACATGATCTTGCACCTCCTGCAGGTCTGCGCTAATTTGAGTGAGCTGTGTTATGCAGAAAATAAGCAAGGACTTACAGAGATAGCATTTTTTTTTTTTTTTGAATAATAGAGGAATGGTTCTAAGCTGTCTTTCCCATGCGTGATGTTATCTGAAAGAAGGCTGCACCTCGCACCGTTGTGCTTAAGTGAATATACAGAAAGCCTACAAATGTACAAGGCATGACATGTAAAGTTGGCCTTCTTACGCAGCTTAAATGTACAGGGGCCAACCCCAGCAAACTCGCAATAAATATTGTGCTGTATTCATAATGCTGTTTTGAACAATGAACATAATGTTGCAGTAGTTCAAATATTAAATTAAAACTACAAAAAGCACCTGATGTCATTGTTGATATCATTACACTTGTAGCGCTACTTTAGCATTGTCTACCAAGTGCATTGTTACGATGTATTTTGACCTGTCTCGTCATGAGATAAGCTGCACAAAAAACATGCTGGTACTATTGGTAGGACAACAAAACTTGACTGTTATTGTTATTTCCACACATGCAAGTTCCGTCTGAGGCACTTTACTGGAGATACATTTAATTATAAATGCTAAGTAAACACAAATAAGTCTTGAAACCTGCCTATCCACATTGCAGGAGCAAACTACCCTTCTTTTTCAGTGCTAACAACCTATTAAGAGAAAACAAAAATTAATCTTGCAAATTCGTTCAGTGAATACAGAGCCTTTTGAGAAGGAAAAAACAAGTGCAGCTAATGTGAGCAGTGTACTGGTCAGAGTCAGGTGCACAAATGTGACAGCGAAACAAGGACCGAATTACGTTACAATGCCATAAACCAGTCGTTTTGATGCCCACAACAAGAAAGGAATGGCTGCTGTCTGAACTAGGAATACATTTGTGTGTTGCAATTTATCCATTTCGTTCGCATGAATACCAAATAAGCAGCATCCGGCAGAATTGGTTTGCTTAAACAAGCATGTTGTAAATGCACAGCAACTTTTTCTGATCGCTAGCTACCGTATTAAGGAATAACGAAACACTTTGGCCTCGCTCAGATTATTGATATGTGGGGTTTAACGTCCCAAAACCACCATATGATTATGAGATTGATTGATTGATATGTGGGGTTTAACGTCCCAAAACCACTATATGATTATGAGAGACGCCGTAGTGGAGGGCTCCGGAAATTTCGACCACCTGGGGTTCTTTAACGTGCACGCAAATCTGAGCACACGGGCCTACAACATTTCCGCCTCCATCGGAAATGCAGCCGCCGCAGCCGGGATTTAAACCCGCGACCTGTGGGTCAGCAGCTGAGTACCTTAGCCACTAGACCACCGCGACGGGGCGGCCTCGCTCAGAGGTTGCCACATTACTTGAAAAGTGGAGTATGAAAATGCTGTACAGTACGGTTTCTCCACAGGCAATGTCTCACTGGCAATCGTACCTGTCCCTGATATTGGCGTCCACACCGCAGATTTTGAGTAAAAACTCCACGCACTCCAGGTGGCCTTCCGCAGCAGCCAGGTGGAGGGCTGTGCGACCATCGTAGTCGCTCAGCCCCATATCCATGCCTGACAGGTAATGGCTGCACAGACAACAAAGCATGCTTCAGCCAACACAAAGCATGATTTTATCGCCCCTCTTGCCCCACTTTTTTTTTTGTAAACTGTGACGAAGGGAAGCACCCCAAGGCACATGGACAGCAGTCCGGTGTCGTGGCCTCGCATCCTTTCCTACACACTCTACATTCAGTGAGCTACACTGCATAATTCACCAACGCCATTTTTGTGCCTACCATTTGTAAGATATTTACCGTGAAATCCCTACTTGAGAAAGCACCCCCTTCCCCGCTTAAAGAGGTTTCGAATAAGCACTAATGACCAAGCAAGCCCTCCCTCCTCTCCCATCATTTTTTTTTCAACCTATTCTTCGTCACAGCATTCTGCAGAAGCGGTTCCCAGAAACTTAAGTTCTGAGAGTGGTAAGATACGTGCGCAATTTCATCAATGTCGTGCCTCGGGTTTGCATTCCAAGTTGTCACAAGTTGTCGGATTATCTGAAGGTTGTCGTTCTGCCCTTGCATACACATGAAAATTTTACATGTGGTTTCCCTTCGGTTCAGTGAAAACAGTAAATTCAAGCATATTCAATAAAGCATGTCATTAAAAGCACAGGTGTGCATTTTTCTTGGAGGCTCTTCCACTGCTACTTGAATTTCGGTCCACAACCAAGCGTAGGTCCCCCTTCCCAAATTTGATTAGTATCACCAAACCTGAATATCGAATATCCGACACTTGTTCAGAATTTTATGGTATAATGGTGATGCAGACTGTGGGGTCTCGATGAGGCGAGCACCTTCGCCATGCTCTTGGAGTGAACGGACACAGCAGACGCGGTCGGTACAGACCAACAACATACCTACATTTATTTAACTAATTTTGAACGACGATACCGTCCACCGAAGATACATAAACGTGATCAACACGTTAGGACATCTGTACACATTATTACTACGATACACTCCAAAACATGACAAACACAAAATAACCCACCCAAGGCGGACGTCGCCAACGCTTGACTTTCCACGTGGCCCCCCCGGCGTGCAGGCCTGCGGTGCCACGCACCGAGGACCACGCTAGAGAACCGTTCGCGGCAACCGCCACGCGCAGAAGAGACTTGATCAACTCTCGCCCGCCACCAAGGCCTACCTTCCACCAGGGGTCATTGCCGGCGCTACCACTCTACCAACAGTGGTACTCAACGCGAACACAACACCATCTATCGCCCGGCGGTCGTCACCCGAAATGCAGCCTTGGGGCGAGACACGTGCGCCACACGGCGCAAACAACTTTACAGGGGATGTCAGCGCCCCCCACAAGACAAAGCTTTGCAACTGATGTTGTCTTTATCTCTAAATTCATGAGCTCACAGAAGAACATTCCTGAAAGAAGAAGTAGTACTAACACAGAAAAATTAATTGGCTGTTCTATATGACACCAACAACTTTAACCCCAAAGAAAGTACAAGTAAAAGTAACACCATATTTACATGTGCTAGGTGTCCTATTGCATATGTGAAGAAAAGCAAGAATGAAAGTTAAAACAAGCAACCACCGCATGAATAAAATGTTACATTAAAATAGTTAGAGGTTCCCAGCATGCCAAAAAAGTGGCTTGTCTGCTCAGGGCTTACAGAAAAGCTTGGCCTAGATTCTATGAATAAGATTGGCAAAAGAAAAACAAGCAAATCAGAATTTGCTGAACCGAGAAATTTTCTTCATTATACAACAGTATCTTATTGTGAAACAAGCAAATACCGTGCTCTTACAAACAAGTTGATGAAAAAATGGTTTTTTACTACTTGCTATTTTTGCACTAACTGATAAGGTTTTACATATCTATTAAATCTAGACTTTCTGACGGTTAAAATGACTTGCGAAGAAACCCACACCGAGCATACCCATTGGCCCACAACAAGCAGTGCAGAATCAACTTCACTTTCAACCTTTGAGGTGAACACATAACGGAGAAAGTGATTTAAGAGAACTTGCCGACGCATGGCTGTGACGTCTCCACTGGCAGCACTGAAAAGCAGATTGACCACCTTGAGGCCTTTGGTCTCATACTTCTGCCGCCGTGGGTCTTTCTTCTGCGTCATGTGACGCAGGTTGTCATAGTGATGGAAGCTGAAGACCCGGGTCAGTTCCTGCCGTAAGACCAGTAAGTTCAGAACAACTTATAGATTTACAGCTTGTTCTAAAAAGCACAACACTACAGGAAAAAGTGAAAGAAGAGAATTATGAGGTATTATTTCATTGACACAACCTTAATGAAAACCAATAGATAATGAAGCCAAGAAAAGTATAGGAGACATTAACTGTACCTTTTTAAGTGTAATTTGTAGTAATTGCAATACAAATGTGAAGAAAGTAAAATTGACATAAAAAAGACAACTTGTCGTCAGCAAGGACCAAACGTGCAGTATTTGCATTATGTGCCCGATGCTCTAACCGATTGAGCTATGGTGGCTGTAGTCCCGACATTCACTTTATCAGGTGGTTATGCACATGCAAACAAAGGAGCATTAGCCAGTGCTTCTCATAGCCATGACGATGAGTGCGGAACACTCTTTCGGCAGCCGGCATCACGTACCACATAATCTTTTAATCAACAGGCAGCTGACCGATGAGCCCTCACATGATACCTGAAGGCACAAAGTCTTTGGATCGATACCCTTTCATTACGGTTGTATCAAGAAAGCTCTAAAATTATCTTTTTTCATTCATTCATTGCAAGGGTTTAGTTCGGGCAGATTTGTTGCCTTCAAGTATTAGTACGCAAGAGCTTATCAGTCAGCTGTTCGTTCGTTAAATGTTTCAAGTGCTACTTTAAACCAGCTGGCAAAAGAAAGAGTGGTCCGCATTTGCTGTCATGGCTACAAGCGGCGCTAACCAACACTCCCAAGTTTGCATGCACCTAAGTACCTAATAAAGTAGACATGGGGACAACAGCCGCCGTAGCTCAATTGGTAAGAGCATCAGACGCATAAGCCAAAGATTGCACATTCCCTCTGTGCTGATAACGAGTTGTTTTTGTTTTTTTTTCATCCACATTACGTTCTCACTTTACGTTAATCTACATCACAATTACTATGCTACACCTTAAACAGCACAATTAATGCTTCTTATACCTTTCTTGGTTTATTACCTGCTGTTTTTCAATAAGGTTACACAAGGAAAAGACTATACATTCTCAAGTGGGAATACAGCCCGTGATTTCCTGTGAAGTATGTATAACATAGGCCATATGAATATAGACTAAGAGGAAAGTTGAATCATGCAGTTATAGCTTTCACTGTAGTGGTTAGCAATTGCACTGCTAGTGGTACAAGCAGGCTTGCTTTTTTGTCTATGAAAATATGTGATAGTTCAGCAGAAAGGAGAATGAGTGAGATGATGAAAGAAGGGGCTTGTTTGCAAGCTAGGAGCCACATTTCCCTGTTTCATACTTGCAACCAAAACATTTGTTCTCCTATAAACTATAGCCTGCAGGTGACCCTCCATGGACAGACCTTTAAAACTTCCAGCTAATTGAGAACATTCCATACTAAGTGCAATTAGGAGAACCTCAGATTCACTTCTCTGGAAGACAACACCGACACAGAAAAAGCTCACCTCGCAGAACTGCACTCCTCGGACAGAGTTTCCGTAAACATCCAACGGGGGTGACCAGAGGCAGATTCCCATCACGTTGGGCACAACCACCATCGTGCAGCCCGAGACACCAGACTTGGCTGGCAGGCCGACCTGCATCGTTTTAGCAATACGGAACACTCAGTTCAGGCTGCTGCATGTCAAGACGTATTAGCAAGTCTTGCACGCTGGCTCATCACAACTTCGGTCAAACCAATTGAATGCCTGCTTGTTTTAGGGTAGGTAAGGTAGAAGGGAAGTTGCTGAAACGGCAACTCTACCAATGCATAAACTCGAGTTATCAGTGCACTTGGTGGCACAGTCGGGAGTTGGCACTGCTTGGGCAATTCACGCAGCTGTGCAAGATCTAAACCATGTGCTACATATTCAACTCGCTTTCAAAAACTATTTCGATGGAAGCCAACATTCGATCTGGTAACTCCCGACTGAAACCGGCTAAGTGTTACCAAGATTATCCCGTGAGGCCGAAGCAAGACGCCACACCAAAAGCATATTTTTGTTCGTACTGCTTCTAGTGGCTGTCATCCATGTGTAATGTAGACATACTATAATGTGTACGCAGTAGATATTAACAGTGCAAGATTTGAAAACTTCGATGCTATGTTTCATGTATTTAGAATTTAATATGTTACCTCAAAACACATTAATATTGAAAATTGCCTGTACTCGTAGTCATTTGCACGCCCTACAACACGGTAAAACTTAAGGGCTGATATGCAGCGATAGGTTCATTTTCTATGTAACAGAGTTTCCGACTTATATACAGTGCTCCCCCATTTTCTGAATTCATTGCCAATATGAGCACTTAATTCTACACAAAATGAGTGTGTAATTAAAACTCTCTTGCCGTCATTGATTATGAATTCATATTTTCTTTTATATGTGGAAATTTTCATTGATTCTTTTTTTACTGGCTATGAAAGAATTTCAGCATTTTGCGTGTGTTGAAAGAATAAACCAGAGTTTGCATCCGTCGAAGACAACCTACCTTGAAGGCGTACTGGCCAGAATAATCGTACATTCCGCATGAATGCATCAGCGACAGGACATCCCGGCAGGACACCCCGTTCATAATCTGGTGGCCCGTGACGGGGCAGATGCCACCATTTGCTAACGTTGACGCCATAACACTCACTGACTGGCAATTGACTTCGAGAGAGCACAGCTGCAAAGAAGCGCGAATACATAACGCGTATCAATTGACGAAGTAAGGAGCATCTAACATGTTTCACGAGCGTAACCAACACCACGACTTGAAAGTCTGAGCACACAAAAGCCATGCACAAACATTACTCTCTTTTGTCTATGTTACCATATGTTTGACACATGCATGCATCAGACCATGTAACCTTTAGGTATACGAAAAAGGGTTTCTTAAGGTCAACAGCAAGCGATATCTGTTAAGTGCATTGGTTGGCGCAGGGCGACTGAAACCAACACCGAAACAAGTTTTGTTTGTGTAACAACATCGTTTCACGCTTTTCAGTGTTTAAAAAAAAAAAAAAACGGTCCAGCACTACACTTTTTTTTTTACCTGAAAGTAGAAGTCCATGGTTTCCTTGAGATTGACCCTCTCCGGAAAGCACTTGTTTTCCTTCATGTAGAATCCTATGGCATAGTTTCTGTCGGCTGCTTCTCTCTCCGAAAGGAATCTTAAAATGAGAAGGAACATACCCTGTTTTTAAAGCCACTGCAAGTCATATGTGGTTATTAAACCACAGTCAGAACTTCAAATAATGATTGGAACTTTTTCAGGTGCTAGAAATATAGAAAGAAATACCCGAAAAACAGGTAACTCAACCTTTACGACAAATGATTAATAAGCAGTCTGCTTTCAGACAGCAAGCCTTCTATCTGGTTTAGCCAGATGACTTCAGCTTTAACCTGTAATACAGTTTACCAGCAGCTTTCATGCTGTGATCTTAGAGCTGATTTGAACTCCTTTATGCACTGTTGCTATAGACGCAATGTAATAAGAAGTGGTATTAAGTTCAAACTCTACGGCAATAATATTTTCTAATTATAATGAAAAAGATAACAAGGACAAGGTCGTTCCAGCCGCAAGTACCACCACCAATGTATTTGTGGGGAAGCTAACAACCCCTGTAAAGTCATTCGCGCCTTGTGGCACACACAAATTTCGCGCATAGGCTGTCCCAACCATCAAGTGGTAAGTGGCGTTGTACTTGCAAGCGTTTATCACCACCATCATCATTATGGTTAGCGCGGTAGCGCCAGCAGTGATGCCGGGCGGCGAGGCCTTCATACTAATTACAGCTTCTCTTAACAACTGGTCAAGTTCCTGTGTGGATCAATGCTACCTCGAGGACAGTTTGCATTTTTTTATTTTGCGGCACTATTTAAAAAAATATGGAGAGGTGTATGGGTGCTGCCCATACACCTCTCCAACTTTTTTTTTTTTTTTTTTTCACTGCCTAAAAACTTGTACAACTTGCTTTACCCACTACTACAGCTGGTGCTGTAAATTACTTGAACAAAACTTTTACAAATCATAAAGCTACCCTCACTTACATGGCATTGTTGAAGCCAAGATACTCGCCTCCAGATATAGCTTTATAGTACTGAAGCATCTGAAAAAGACACATGCCAAGTGTCAGTGGGGGACAAACAACAAAATCTAATACTAATACTAAACTGACTCGTGCTAATACTTACCCAGTCAAATTTTTCAGATGTCCTCATCTCAGGCTGCAAATGGAATCAAAACAAAATTATCAATCCTTGCAGAATGTATGAAATTTACTTCTTTTAAAGTGACCATCAAACTCTACCAATACAGGCCAAACTTAAGTGAAAAATGCTAATAAACTACTTAGCGTACGTATTCACTGCAGTCACAAATGCCACAAAGGAATATATACAGTAGACTCTCATTAAACGGAGCCTGAAGGGACCAGGGAGATATGTCCCGTTTAACAGGAGTTTTATTTACCGAGAGGCGACCAGGGGTGCAGGATAAAAGAATGAAACCAATCTTGCCAGACGTGCCCTTTTCGTTTAAGCAGAAGTTCCGTTTAACATATTTACCTTTACTAAAAGTCTACTGTATACTTCAGAGGCAATGAACTGGCAGAAATGTTAACAAATCTCAATAACGATGCTCTGTGCTTTAACCAAATTAAAATGCATAACACTCACTGTACACACTATCTGGAGCCCACGATTTCATTATTTTTACATCAGTATAGAAAGTGACTAACTGAATAATAATTAAATATTAAATTACATGCTAACTACAATTAATAGTGAAGCTTGCATAAAATTATCCATTACTTCATTTTTTTTTTCTTGAAAATGAGTACCTAGGAATTATGCTATGTGAATTTGACCTTCTTAGACTGCATCACAATTTGCAACATAAGGGTATACAAGAACATGTGAAATTTTAGATGCTAAAAATTTTCAGTGTCCGAATCTACTGTCCAAGTCTGAATCATGCCCAGATTTGAACAGCACTGATTGAGCCCCAATCTCTTCCACAACTATCATCTCTATGTTGGAGCCAGCACTTTTTTGAGCACATACATTTGCGACTGTAGCGGAGCCTGAAAGGCAGCTTGGCTGCAATACAATAATGTGATAGGAAAGAGCATATTAAAAATCTGAAGGGGCCACTGCGACTGTATTTGTCTTCGAGAAGTTCGAATAGTTTAAATAGTAAAATTCCGGTGCAAATCAAATCAAATAGCGAACACTATTCGAAAAATATTAGAAATTTTGAATATTCGCCCACCCCTACTCACAGCACATTGTGCCATACACATTCACAGAGAGTGCTTAATACTGACAGTTGTGTAGGGTAGCTCCAATTTTGGAGCTACCCTTGTGTCATAATGCCCAAAGTTTACAAGACAAACTAGGCCTCGCTTGTGCTACAATATGAAAGGCCAGCCTCACCTCTATCAGATAGAGGAGCAGCGAAGCGACGACAATGGCGCCAGCATTCACCATGGGATTGTGAGGCTTTTCTGAAATACACAAAAATAAGCCAGCCACTGCCATCACACTTTTTTCTTTGTTTCCCCGACATGTACAGTGCATGACAAAGCTTTTTTTCAACAAGCGGTCACCCTATCTTTCCTATTTATCACAACACAATCATCAATCAATCCAGGGGAAAAAAATGAGAGACAAAAAATAAGGAACAAGCACATATACATTACACCAACATTAGCAGGGTAAGGCGAAGCTATCACCCACAGGTGTTTTTATCCACACACATGTACGTTAAATTGACTGGCTTGGCCAGGTTATCAGACAGTGTGATGCTAAATATGAGCTCGTCTATCACATCGAACCATATTACCAAGAAAGGCAAACCTATATGCGTTAAAATGGCACATGAAAAAGGGTTAATGATGGGCTGCATGCACCCGATCCAGCGATGGCATGTGCAAGGCACTAAGTTTCACTGCAAAGCCTAATCAAATGAAAGGGGTGGAGTTTTTTAGAGTCCACCTTAAAATGAAGCTGCATTTTCTCTAATAACTACATGCTATAGAGGAAAGAGCTTGCAGGGTACTAAAAGGTCCATTATAATTTTCAAAAACAATAAATTGGAGGCAAGGACTCGTACTGTTGTAATCGAGGACAAGTTCATTGAACATTCTGCCGCTCGGTTCCTGGCCCACATATTGATGAACAGCGTCCGAGCCGAGTTCGGTTAGTGCAATGGCATAGTTGATGGGTTTGCCAGATGACTGGATCGTGAATGGAATCTCTGTGTCTCCAATTGAGAACCTGAAAATTCCAATTCGTGAGAGAATGAGAGACGGATACATAAATGTTCCATGGTAACAAATAGAATGAGGCTGACAGATAAATAGCGTAGCATTGTGTGAGGTAGAGTCTTCAGCACAGACTTTTTAACAACAGACATGGGATGTGAATGTAAAAAATTACTCTATACTGAAGACACTAAAAAATATGCTGCACTAATCAGCTGAAATTCAATCCTTGCCAAGACTTCCTGGCTTATTTTAATTGATGTTAAGCACAGCATTGCACAACATGCACTTCTATACACTGCCCACTGTTGAAGTGAAATTTTGCGATAGTACTATTGAGTATCGCAGGTGAGGGGAAGGCTTAGACATAAACTCAGTTTCTGAATAAGCTGCAAGCATTAAAACCCAGCTCATGCACAAAAGCTTGTGTCTTCTTCTACTGAATGTAAGTACTGAGAGCAAGTGATGTTACAATACATGTACAATATGCAGAAGCGACAAGCCTATGTGTCCTTTCATTGCAAACTCAACTCTATGCACATGAATAGAATGCTAGTATGCCACCAATAATGAATGCACAAATGGTGAATGAAATTTCTTACCTCTGGCCATCCACGGTACAAATGCTCACTCCCCAATAGTCTGGATTGTACTTGGCCAGTTGGGGAATGTAAGAAGCCACCTGTCAGTAAGGTAGGTGATAATGTATTCTCATGCACAGATGCAAAAGCTTTTTGTAAAATAGAATTCTACAAATGTGGGATGAAAGAAACCAAACATAAAATGAGCACTTAATTAGTATTACCAATAGTGTTTGTGGAGGTGCTGACACCCCCTGTAATGTTGTTTGCCCCGTGTGGCGCACGTGTCTCGCCCGAAAGCCGCATTTCGGGTTACAACTACCGGGTGGTAAGTGGCGTTGATTACCACTGTGATCATCATCATGGTTGTGACAGTGGTAGCGTCGGTAGTGACCCCTGACGGAAGGCAAGCCTTGGTGGCGGGCGAGGGTTGAGTGAGCTTTTTCTGCGCATGGCGGTTGCCGCGAACGGTTGTCTCTAGCGTGGGTCCTCGGCGCGTGGCACCGCGGGCCTGCGCGCCGGGGGCCCACGTGGTAGGTCAAGCGGTGGCGCCGCCGCCTTGGGTGTGTTATTGTGCTTGTCATGTTTTGGAGTGTATGAAATGGTGTGTAAGAATGTCTTAGTGGGTTCATCACGATTGATGTATCATTTGGCAGGACGATATTGTAGTCTAAATTAGTTAAATAAATGTATGTATGTTGTTTGGTTGGTTCCGACCGCGTCTGCTGCGTCCATTCACTCCAAGAGCGTGGCGTGTTGCTCGCCATTTCGAGACCCTACCCTGGATGCCCAACGTGGAGCTCTTGGAGTATCAGACGACAGTTTTTGCGGTTCGGTACAAGCTTTTGTTAGAACCAGGGTAGAGTTGGCCTAGGGGGACTTCTTTGCTAGCGTCAGTGGTGTGCTTTGTTGAGAGCGAGGAGATTGGTATTTGTGACGCGTTTGAATTTGTTGGCAGGTTCAGTTTTTATTTTTTTTTGCTCGCAAGTGTGTTCTTTTTTGTTGGTGTTAGTTTTCAAAACCATTGTTGAATTGGGACGAGAGCCATGCGGTCTGCGTCCTGGGGTGAGCAAGGCCTAGAGCACGTGGTTTGTAGGCCAGGCCAGAAGCAAATGAGTTTGGAAGCCTCGTGGGTGGTCCGATTTTCTGTTAATAGCTTCTTCTATCTCTTTGGGCTCAGGGAACTGGGCGTCGTTGCTGTCTTGTATTGCGGCTCCACGCCGGGGCATTGTGACACCGCCCGGGTCGACGGACGCCGATCGCTCGGTAAGGTGTTGTGTGCGGTGAGCGATAGGGCCACCTCACAGAGTGGATGCCTCCTCGTGGCTGCCTCTTCTGCGCCTATGCTGGGTGCTGGGTGGATGCCGGTTGTTGCCGAGCGACTCATTAGGCCTGAGGCTCTGCGCAGCCGCCTGTCGCACGTGGCACAACTAGGTGGATCGTGGCGTTGAGAAGTTGCACTCTGCTTCCCTCACTTTTTTTTATCTTGCGATGCGGGAGTTAGGAAAAGTGATTTTTGTATTATTTTGATGGGCGGCTCAGCCGCCGCCGATGTATTAGCTAGCAGTACTGACCATCGTACCACGTGGCCGAAAAGCCCGAAGCTCCCTTCCCTGGGCCCTGCTCCATTGTTTCTTTCGAGTTTTTTTTTTTATGTATTCAGCGGGAGCGATGTCATCCACGACCATGACTTCTGCACATCGTTAGCGTCGCTGGGCAGGAATGCGGTCGTGAGGTCGGGCGATGGAGGTGCTTGGGACCTGCGCAACTGCCTGCAGTCCGGTGCCCTCGTGAGTGCTGGTTGCAACGGGAAGACGTGTCGGCAGCACGAGTGACGGATCATCGTGCTGTTGGCAACGTTGTTGTTGCGGGACCGGTACTGAGGTGAAGTCGAGCCGGACAGTGCTGCAGTGTCCACCGGCGGCGGCGGCGTGGTGCAAGGACATTATGGACATGTGATGTCATTTTTTTTGTTAAACCTTGTGTTGCTGATCTCTTTGTTTTCGGGATATGGTTTGATTTAAGGTTGGGGGGGATGTGGGGGTGCCGACAGCTCCTGTAATGTTGTTTGCCCTGTGTGGCACACGTGTCTCGCCAAAAAGCCGCATTTCGGGTTACAACTACCGGGTGGTAAGTGGCGTTGATTACCACTGTGATCATCATCATGGTTGTGACAGTGGTAGCGTCGGTAGTGACCCCTGACGGAAGGCAAGCCTTGTTGGCGGGCGAGAGTTGAGCGAGCCTTTTCTGTGAGTGGCGGTTGCCACGAACGGTTGTCTCTTGCGTGGGTCCTCGGCGCGTGGCACCGCAGGCCTGCGCGCCGGGGGGCCCACGTGGTAAGTCAAGCGTTGGCGACGCCGCCTTGGGTGTGTTATTGTGTTTGTCATGTTTTGGAGTGTATGTAAATTGTGTGTAAGGACGTCTTAGTGGGTTCATCACGATTGATGTATCGTTCGGCGGACGATCTCGTCGTCTAAATTAGTTGAAATAAATGCATATATATTGTTTGGTTGGTACCGACCTCGTCTGCTGTGTCCATTAACTCTAAAAGTGTGGCGTGTCGCTCGCCATTTCGAAAACCCTACACGTTCATTGACATGAAAAAAATCTGAGAAAATTACCGATGTATAGGTATTAGTTGTTGAGTATTTTCTCAAGATATATTGAGCGGCAGAAATTTTTTGCATACGTGACTGCCATTTAAAATTTATGAAATGATGGGAAACCAGATACAAGAATAAGAACATTCCCTATAAATGAACCATTTTGCCCATTCTTTGAACTATTTTTTTATTTTTTACATTTTTTTAAGCATCGTGGTTTCATTAAACAGCAGTTACTTATTGTAGCTTTCTATTTTTCACTGCTTTGTGCGTACATAAAATTGAATAAACCATAGCATTTTCGAGAATCTTTCTACAAAAGATGATTATTGATGAAATGCATAAATTATGTTCATTGAACTTTCCATAAAACATACCATCAAATACTTTTGGTTGGGTTGTGTGCAGTGTACAGACTCCAAAATAATATCTTAAACTTGGCACAAACGCCACTTTGGCCTATGTTAAGACACCTGTGGCACCCTAAGGTGGTCCAAGAAAAAATCAGCTGAGAAGTGTATACAATTAACGATCATAACAACTTTGTTAAAAAAACGTTGAATCGAAGTAATTTTTGTTTCAAATAATAAAAAAAATTTTGAAGTTTAGAGCCACCATTGCACTGTTTTGCTATGGGGGCAATACAAACCAACATAATTTGCTACATAAAAAGGAATGGCAGTGTATTTGCAGTGCATAGTTTTCAGTTTTGTTCATTACTACTTGGCTTTGTATGCTACACATCAAGGTGATAATAAACAAAGGTAAAAATATAATAATGCAATTGGCTTAAGATGCCATTATGCCCCCAACAATTAAATGCAAAATATTTTTGCTGCTCAAGATATTTTGAAAAAATGCTCAACTAATGCCTGTACACATATGTATAATTTTCTCGGATATTTTTGGCGAGTGCACTGGCTGGGACAGTTGGATTGGAATGACCCTATTATATGAGATACATGTGAAGTAACAGTACTTAGACCATGATACCTTCATAAGAATTTCAGCATTATCCATGATGAAAATATTAACTCAGAAAATGTATGAACCAGGCCTGCATCAGTTAAATTATGCTGTCTTCCATCCAGATGCTTACACCTAACAAATGCTGAAAGGTTCTCACTGAGGTACATCGACATTTACGAACCTTTCCGCCGGTGTTCACTTTGCACTTCCAGTAGAAGTCCTCGACATAACGAATGAAGTCTTGAAAATCAGGAATCACAAACTGGTGGCGCAGGGCTCGTGTGATGAGAACAATGTTCTCTCGGATCACTCTGCAACAAAAGTAAAAAAAAAATAAGTGAAATAAATTTCAGAGAAGTATCGCTCTAAGAGGCAACCATTTTCTGTTTGGCAAAGGGAGTCATATCCCATTTGTGAATATTTATACCAGGGTAAAAAAAATTATGGAGATCCAATGCTGATGTTGAAACCACAGCTAGGAGCAACTTTGATGCAGTGGCTACTGAAATGCTGTAAAGCTAAATGCACTGCATATAATTTTAAAAACTTCCACTTGTGCAATGTTTATGAACAGTATTGACCACAACCTTAATTTGATGAAATGTATATAAAAAACTATGCCACACGAATGGAAATGCGGGTCAAGCACATAACCATAAAGACATGTGAGCCGCGAGAAGCACGGCGTGAAAGACAGATGAAGTTAGCCATTGGTTTATTTTTTATATTGTTACTGCACACACAACTTAATGAAAAATGGCATGCTCAAGTATTCAGTAAGCTATGTAAGCCATGTATTTATTCGAAGCAACAGACATCTTCAGGAAAGACTTAGATATGGTTCGCTAAGAAAGATTTACTTTAATAAAAGAGCAGCCCACTCAATGCCCACCTGTGAAATTAATGAGTACAGAAGAAACAAACTATACTTGGAGACAACTTTCTGTGGCAATGAAGGGAAAGCAGTGGAGCGGGAGACTCCTCCGCGAAGTAGTCTAGTTCGGCTCGCATTTGAATGATGGCCGTGTTGAAGTAATTTTGACACAGCCATTTGTGAGCGAAATTCAACACAAGCTCCTTCGGCGAGTCGTCGCAATAGCTGGGGGGCGACGCACGCTCACCTAAACACAAAGTGCTCCTTTGACTGTGAGGTACACGTAAAATGTGCGAAGTTTTCAGACGTGCAAAAACATGAAATGACTCTTCAGAAAGCAACAACAAATATTAATATCTGCTCGGTGCGTCCAGCATCTTTCTATAAACAGCATCCAGTAAAAAATAATGTAGCTTTTTTATCAATATTTTCATGTAAGAAAAACAGACACATCTGTGGCACTATGTTCTACTGTGGTGGCACATGCCCAATTTGGCTCCATATTCCTCGCTTCATTGCCACAAAAAGTCGTTCCCGAGTATAGCACCATCAGTTTAAAAGCATGTTTCACTGCACAACAAACATGCACGACAGCAAAAGCAACCAGCGCCTGTTTTCTGATTAAAATGCACCGTTCTCTCAACATCACTGCACGAGTCTACTTGCAGCTACTGCATTGCCGCAGTGATCCGAGATGACATGCAAGGTGTTACAAAAATTTGTAAATGGCTCGAAACAGATATGGCACATCTTTCAGCCTCAAGTCATTCTTTTGTAGAAGCAACCGCCATCAGTGGTTGCTTCTGTAAAAGAAAACAAAAGGGCGCCACGGGGAACCAATCAGGGAGGTCACTTAGGTACATACTGTGCAAACGTTTCCCTGTTCAGAGCGAGCGACTCCAGCGAACGGACGGGTGACTTCTCTTTGTGAACATTTCTCAAGTTCTGCATCATTTCCTTGAGACGCGGATCATTTTTCCACAGCCCGGTTGTGAACAATGCCTGGAAAGAACAGACCAATACATTACATTGCAAAAAAATTAATTCAAGGTTAATTCTCCTAGTATGTGTAAGCGGCAGACAGTGGAATATCAACAGCTGAAGAACAAAGCCGATACTCACGTTCAAGAATTTTCCTACGCACACCGTGTCATCCGCATCCTTGAACATATCAAACAGAAGGTCTTCCACATTCACAGGGCCATTTTCACATCTGCAGTTAATGGAAATGTTATACTTTTGTAGCATCCCATTGCCTTCCCATAACTCTTCAAAAGTACTCAAAGTGATTGAATACGATAATTATATAAGAAACATGAGGCATAAAAAGACTCCAAGAAATATGATCTTAAGCCATGGTGTACGCAAGCCATTGCCCAGCTTGTTTTTAGCCCCTCTGTTCAGCAATGGCCAAGCAAAACACAGCAAACATCAAGAAGCTGGTCAGTAGGACCCTTTGTTAACACTGTAGGTCCAGGTCACTTGTGCGAGAATTGTTGCTGCAACCAACCACTTTACTGCAAGTAACATCAGGTTTTTTTCATGGTTCCCATCCAAGAAGGATAGCTTTTGCTGAGAAGCAATTAACGTGACCATCTGTTTTTAGCTTATGAAAAAAACAGGTGGCTGACAACACAATAACTCATTTATTTATTGTAATTATGAAAAGCCAAAATAAAAAAGCACATATATTTTAAATCTATCAATGTGGGTCTTTCCCTTTAAATGCAGGGCATTCCACTACATTTTAGAGTAAAATAATGTCACTCAAGCACAGTTATTTGGTGTGTATCAGAATGAAGAATTGAATAGAATATGTTAACATAATTATTGTTATCCAGCAGTTACTCTACTGAATCGGCACTGGCAAGGGGCAATAGCAATGAAATGCACTTCTTTCAAAAGGCTTATAATGTAAGAGTGACTAGATAACTGAACTCACTGGTTTACTCCATGCGAGGAAAATATTTTTCAGGTTCTAAGCAAAAGGGATCAGACCCTTCTAAAAACTTTTTGAAGTTCATAGACACATTTAGCTCATAAGGTTAGGCACCCTAATAATTTAATGTAAACAAACATGCAATTATAATTTTCAAACACACCAAGGAAGAGCCCAATACAGTTTGCATGACCTCTTGTTCCTACCGTTAATTCTCCTTCCCATGCCTAAGCCATAAATTATGTTTGTTTTGACGGAATGGATGGCTAACACTGCAGTCGCGTTCATGGCCTTCACTCACCCAATCATAACAGCCTCAATTAATATAACTCAGGGGTCTGTTCTTATTCCTGCAGTAGATAATACAACTGATTGGCCTCCATTTCCACCCCCGTGGCTGCATGCCAGCATTTTATAAATGCAAGGCCCTTTACTATGCGAAAAAGCAATCATAAAGAAATACGACTGCACAACCCCAGCTACGTGCAAGCACTATCGGTTAATGTTGCCCCACACTGCATAAAGCAGGCCGGCTGATTGCAAAAGAGCATGAAAGTCTTATGCGTTTGGTATTCATACTTTTCAGGGTGTTATTGCTTTGAAAGCAGCTGTGCACCTGAGCAGCAAGTACGTTTCTTCTATTACAGTATGAAGTAAAAAAAAAAAATTATGGCACAGCACTCGTACGATGCCCAGGTGAAGCAGCACATACGACGATGCAAACAAGCTGGAGGAGATAATTCCCAGGTGCACTGTCCGTCATATATCTCGACATGCACAGGTAGTCTGAAAAAAAAATGCACCTGGATGTTCAACATCGGTGCTCACATAAACAATTGCAGTGAATCAAACGGATGCAAATGATTGTACATCATGTCATGCTACACGCTGCTAATTTGCGTGACTATGTTTGTAAGAATATAAAATTAAAAAAAAATAAAACGAAATCTCGATGTATTTTTAATGCCGACTACTGAATTAAACATGCAAAATCATTTCAAATATGCGCTAAAATATACAGCACACGTGCATCATGGTATCGATGTAAGTCGTGCAGGAAAGCCCAGTACCAGGCACATAACACCGCAGAAAAGCCGACTTGTAGGACACAGAACTGCCTTCATGTTTACTCAGGAACACCAACAGCAATTATTGGCCATTAAAAAATATCAATTATGCCATTCAGACTCGGTATTTTATCACCGGCATCTAGCCTGAATATTTCCAACCGTTATAAGACGCTGTATGAATTAAGGTATTTTAAGTAACACGCATAGCAAAGTTAGATCAAAAGATCAGCTGATAATAAATAAACGTAGTATCTTTAACACTGCACCATAACCTGTACTGTTATGAAACGCCACTCCAACGAAATACTGTCTCTAAATCACACATTAAAGAAGAAGAAGAAGAAGAAGAAGCAAACTTGCTTGTTGAAAGGTTTCTCCTTGTCTCGGTGAAACTCTTCGGCCGGCACGAACACACGATTCGCATGAGACGTAGTTTCCAGGGACGCATAGCGATTGAAAAAACGAGCGGGCTGTTGGTGCCGCTTGGTCGCTTGCGGCTGCAGAAGCCGTGTCGTAGTGGGACACACCTTAGGAGCACGCCTATGGTAGCCCACAACCCTTCCTAATCTGCGAATCATGTCCCGGGTGGATCGGTGTTATTATTCACTTCGAACGCGGCTCCAACGACCCGACAAAGCGATGAGGTGCGAGACGACGATTCTTCGTTGACGGATCTCCGCGATGTTGAAGCCGATAAGAGAACCACGCTTGAGCGCTGCATGCGCTATTTGCGTGGGCTGTCCCCGTTAAATTCCCTCGAATAAAATTAAAACAAAGTTGCAAAGCGAAAACCCATTGGGCGTGCCGACGGGCCGCCGACGCTAATTTTGGAGAAGGGCCCGGTTGACGATTATTTAGGTCAGTAGTCGCTGCATTTACGCAGGTTATATTCGGCGATGTAGTTATTCTAGGTGCTCAAAAACAGCTTGACTTTTTGCGCGCACTGAAATATCACTTATTTCGGTTTCTTCGAAACCGAAACAAGAACTAGGCTGCTAGAGGCCGCGCCGGTCGCGAGTGGTGGTGTATTTTTAGTGGACCTACCGAAGAAACCTTCATGTCCGCTGGTGCTCGACGGAGTTCGCGTAGTGGGGGCGATTTGCCAAAAAAATGGAAGATGATACGTCGTCGTCGGGTCCCACATCTAGGACTGTGGCCTTCAACGAGTATCTGTACGACAGCCTGGACAGTAGTACTTTCGGTCAGCAGATATTCTCGACGAAAGACGGCATCTTTGACGACTCTAACGACGGCCAAAACGCTGCCGAGGACATGGGAATCTTCGATGTGGAAGACCACGAGAACGAAAATGCGGGGTGAGCCACGAATCTGGGCTGCTGGCCTACGCCGTGGCGATGTCGAAGGACGTGCCATGCCTGGGGCCACTGGTGAACGAAGTGTCGATTGTGTGGTAACTTTCCTCTTGGAAGTAGCCGAACGTTTTTACCCTAACATGGTTATCATCGGTCGCGAAAGTTGTGTGTGTTTTCCTCGGGCGATTTGGGCTTGTGCTTATTTATTTCTGAGCGTCACGTCGTCTCTAGAGATAGGCCACATAACGGGCTCAAATAAGCCGCAGCGGCACGTTTCGGGATGCCGATAACCCGGTCATCGTTGATGCGCTTTGATATCCCGGTATTTGTGTAGCGGTTAATGCGTTCCGTCTCGGATATACCTACTTGAATGTCTGATCTCAGGAACGCCGTGCCTGCCGCCGGAAAACAAAACCACGAAACTTGACTACTGTGCCGAACGATTGTTTCGCGCAGGGCGAATGCGACTCGTTTTCTTTCTTTTCGTTTCGATACGAAACGAAAGCCGATACCGCTGCAAGTGCGACGCGGACGTCATGCGCCGAAAGCGGAATGTGCACTCGTACCGGAACTTGCGGAATTTCGCGGAAAATGTTTATCATCGGAGGTGTTTCGGATAGTGTAGCTCAATGCGATCAGCTGTCCGCTCGCCCTCGGCTGTTTGAAAAAAACGACTTGGCAGTGCGCCTGGTTATGCAAGACGAGGCCTTCGTCAGTGAATTTTTACCCGCCTCCAAGCAAAGCGAAGAAAATAGTTTCAGCGCCACAACAGAGTTGGACGCAAGAGGATTTGACAGAAGCTCCAAATATGCGCGCCTGGATCGTGTTTCACTCTGCTGATTGATTACTGTTGAAACCACTGCTAGTTTAGCTCTTGCTACTCTCTGTTGCCCTTTGTGCAATCTTAAAACTTTGTTTGACGTTTGGCGCTACTTTGGCAAGGACGCTAGTTCTTCAAGTTAGCCTTGTTGAAGGCACGGGAACACACAACTGCAACTGTGTAGATTTTACCTGGACGTATAAATATTACGCGATGAGTCAGTACAGTAAGCTGTCGTTTGCATATCGTGCTGTTTCATTTTTCACGTAGAATCGAAAACTTGCACTACAGGCCACATTAGTGTGCGATATGTTCCCAAGACTTTTAGCGATATGCTCCCAAAACTTTTATTTTATAGAGTATAAACTTCATCTTGCATGTCGATAATGCTAGATTTAATAGATTGCAATTAATTCATATACATGAAATCGCACTTCCCTACTTGGAAATATTGTGTAACTTGTTTTTTCGTAGTTCTTACTGCCCTTTTAGTGAGTGTGGTGTCATTCTATATAGAAAATTGCCGCTACAACACTCTTGGCATTTAATCTTTAATATAACCAGCTGCACCATTACGGAATGCTGAAAGTGCATTGCTCACTTCCTGAGAAAAAGAAAACAACACCCAAATTTTGCCTTGTTCCTTTCATAGAGCATTTCTAAAGCATTTCTGAAAAAGAAAAAGAAAAGGCAATATGACATCACTAGCCCGCAAGCATATGCACAGGAAAAGCCAGCTGTTGTTCTTGTCGACTCAGTAACTGCACTAGTCGGTAGCTTTTCAAATCACAACGAAAGCTATAATAATGGGTTGATAAATGTTGGCTGTCTGCTTTTACTAAATTGTAACCTGTCAGAAGCAGTACCGAACATTAGGCACTTGTGCCGTTGTATTGACGGAACGGTCTGTTGGAAGAGGAGTATTCATGCAATCCGTTTCCTCGTTCGCAAAAGATTCGCCTTACCTTACCTTGCATGACTGGTTGATTTGCAGGTATATCCAGCATACAATATCGGCCGACCAGATCTGCATGCAGATCAACCCAGGCAACAGCCCGATGCCAAAGAACCCAACCCATGCCACACTGACTATTCAAAGCTTGAACCAGGAAACTCGAAAACGGGAAATCAAGCGCTTCCGGTGCAACTACGAGGGCTGCAAGCGCACCTACAGCACGGCAGGCAACCTTAAAACACACCAGAAGACTCATACTGGTATGTTCTGGCCTGCTAATGATTTGCTCTTATTCTGGTCCTATAATATTAGATGCATGCCTGGCTAATATATTTTATCATGTACACATTACCAAGAAAGTTTTTGTACAGTCAAACCCCTTTATAAAAGGCACTGATATGAAAGACAAATGGATTTAAAAGACACCAGTGTGCCTTCAGTAAAATACAGATTGATATGAAAATGCATCTGTGATACTCTTCTTATGAGGGACACTTTATGTAAGAGACAAAAATTGCAACCTCGAGCATGCATCTTACAAAGGGGTTCAACTGTACTGTTCACAGAGTGTTTCTCATTCAATGCATGAAGTTTCAAAAATTATACAGGTGTGCTTGCTGCTGTTGATGTACAGAACGTGCCAGCATTGCTGATAAGGTTATGCACTGCAAAAGGCAGCTTTGTATTTTCAAAAAAAAAATAATAATAAAGAGAAAAAAACCTTGCAAACAGCTTGATGCAGGTGTAGTTACACAACCATGCTTCATATGACAAACTTCTCCGAAATCTTTAGCACATAATGACAGGGGGCATTATTATGATATGTTCTGGATATACGTTAAAACTTTTAAAAATGCTTTAAAAACACAAATTCTATGCAGTGTTCAAATGAAGGCTTGTTCTTTTGTTCGTTGCATGGATTATCCATCAGTTGGTGGAAACTGTGGTGCGAGATTTAATAGCAGAGATGTGTACAATAGCGGAAAAAAAGTTAGTGCCACGAATTCAGTTGGATTGCACATTGACGGTAAACTCTTTTGATGTTGGGTTGTAATTTCTCTCTTTTGGCTGCTTGATACGTGCAGAAAAGGAGAAGGTGCTTTTTAATGGACATGCTATTAACATCTTTGTGCACGAGGCTCTTCCATATTCATCAGTTTTGCTCACTATGGAAGCCTCACATGTGGCATGAGTTAGAACTCCCATGTCTATGCATTTGAATGAGCAGGTATTTTGATCACATCCTTGAGAGATATTTTGTTTACCGTCTTTTAAAGCGACACAAAAGTGTAACACTAGAATAGTTTTGATGCTAAATTAAACTCTAAAAACTGTAGTGTTGTTAATTTCACCACCATAGGTTTATTAATAGATGAAGAAATCGATGTAAAAAGTTTCACTTATAATTTCCCTGCCAAAATCTCCAGTAGTGACGTCATGGATTTCAGTGTGCTTTTGTGTTCTGGTCACATCGGCCGAATGAAAGTTCCTGAAACTTGTTATGCTAGGGGGGGTCTCCGGTGGCCGCATTTTCGATTGAGGTGAAAATTCTCGAGGCCCGTGTGCTAAGATTTGGGTGCGTGTTAAAGAACCCCAGGTAGTCAAAATTTCTGGAGCCCTCCTCTGCGGCATCTCTCGTAATCGTATTGTGGTTTTGGGATGTTAAACCCCAACAATTACCTTTACGGAGGCCAATTTACTTCATTTTTACCAATCGGAAACTACGTAGGCCCTAGTGAGCGCCGTCGAAACCTATGACACCGTGATTATTGGTTTCGGGAACTTGAAGCTGTCGTCGTCACCCGCATTTACTTTTTAGCACGTTTTCTCGCTTACCAAGCGTATTCTTGCAGCAAGCATGGTTTGTTTTGATGTAGTGAAAGATACAGCATGCATCCAAAAATTTGCGTTGGCATCTCTCCGACAGGGGAATACACCTTTGTGTGCACGCAAGAGGGTTGCGGCAAGGCATTTCTCACCTCGTATCGCCTCAAGATCCACTTCAGGGTACACACGAACGAGCGGCCGTACGAATGCCGCATCTCTGGCTGTGAAAAGACCTTCAACACACTTTACAGGTGATGAGGGGGCTGGTACACTTCTTCTTTAGTACTTTGATTATGCCTTGAACACGTCCTGTGCAGCTGCGCTTGCTGTGACACACAGCGATGCCAGCTCCGGATGGTTTTGAATCGACTTGACCCCGGACCATTTTGTGTGCAGAAGATACTAGGACCTTGGGCATCTGCCTCAGTTGCGCAAAAAGCGACTAAAGCACTGCTACTTTACTTAAAGTCAGCAAACCTGAGCGACCGCCTGTCGACTGTGTGTTCCCCGAGTGTGCTCGTGATTGTGTGTACCTTCTCATCTTTCTGCAACCTCTTTTCTCCCCTTTATCCCTTCCCCAGTGCAGGGTAGCAAACCGGATGTGCATCTGGTTAACCTCCCTGCCTTTCCTTGCATCTTTATCTCTCTCTCTCTCTCTTGGTTGTTTGTTAGCTGTGCGAAACATGATGGGCAAGCTGCATTTAGAGATGCAGGATTAAACCTGTGGATTGAAGTGTGTTCATAAATCCGATAACATCACTATTTCTTTGTTCAACAAAATAATTCAATTTTGCATGATATGTCAAAGGAGTTTAACAAACCTTCCGGAAACATTGTTACCATTATTAATAACCCCATGTTACATTAGCTAACATAGCACGATTAGGCCTCTCGATGAATTAGCTGGCATTCTATAGTTAGTTTCTGTGATGTATTAGCTAACATTGTATGATACGAGCTTTATTTGTGGGAATTGACTATGCTGACTGCTTCTTGTTCATTCATTTTTCTGTAACAACCGATTCTCCTCTGTAATGCCATTTGCCCTTGAGGGTAAAATAAGTAAGTAAATGAACAAACATTGTAATCAATAGTCGTAAAAATTGTTTGTATTTCAAGTCGAGGGGCTTGAGGGATTTTGATGCACTGAGAATGCTTAGTGTGTTTGAAAAAATAGAAAAGAAGAAACATCATGTACCACAGAACAAGACAGGGATGTACCAAGCACTGTTCCTGTGATTCTGTGAACCACCAAAACTTGACAAAATACAGCTTCTGAGCTTGTTAAAGAACACTACTACTGCATGAGCAACTGTTGAAAGTAGCAACACTTGGTCAGTCTTAATCCTGTTGCTGCTGCGTGGTTTGCGCTGTTTTTCATTTTGTATGAACATGCACCAGTTGCTCCAAAATAAGCGCTCTGGTTCCTAAATATGTTCTGTAAATATTGATTTCCTGAGCGCCACTGCTTCAGTCACCAGGAACGAACCCTTGTAACATTTATAACAGTCATGCCACTGCAGGAGCTGGTAACACCGATTTCTGATATGCCACCGCTTGATAAAAGTAAAAGTATTTCTGTGCAAATTTCAAAATTTTTTTCCCAAGTCCTCCTAGGTGTTTTTGTTTTAAGTGACAAGCTGATTTGGTGATGACTAGACAGTACGGTATCTCCTCTGGTGGCTGTAGGAGGTGACGAAAACACAAAAGGCTTATAGTTGTGAGCATCAACGTGGGGCAGCATCTCACGACAAAATTGGCAGTGCTTTTTTTTTTTTCTTCCGTGCCAGGCTGAAGGCACACCAGCGGATTCATACGGGACAGACCTTCAATTGTGGCCAGGATGGTTGCGTGAAGATCTTCACCACCCTGAGTGACCTCAAGAAACACACTCGCACTCACACCGGCGAAAAGCCATACAGGTGACTTTCCCTCTGCTTCTCCTCGTCAACCGGGACCATTGACCTTTTCCTGATGTTTTGAAAACATTTTACGGAAACACTCATGTCGTGTGCACGATACTGCTACAAGCGTCTTTGGTGAATAGCAGCACTAAGTGCTATGGGTAAGCCACAAATGTGGGAAAGGGGACAATTTTTGTGGGGAAAGGAGGCAGGGGCATTTGCAATCCTTTCTCTGTCTTTTGTAAAGCCTACAGACCTTTGCTATACATAATTTGAATACAATGGAAGTTGTCAGAAAGTTGGTTAAAAAGAGAAACTCCCACCATGATGAAGAAGCCTGTTGTAGAAGGCTTGCTCATTGTGTTCCTCTGACCTTCCACTGAATGTGCAATTTTATGGCACAGAGGCCAGTGGTAGCCAGAGTGCAGTAAGGTTAGTACATTCAATTGATGTTGCATGGACAATAATCAGTGCATCAGTGCATGCAACAAACAATAATCCATAGCTCTTGCTGAACTGCATAGAATGAAGATTATGCAATGAAAAGGAAATCTTGCCTTGCGGGAGAGTGACAAAAAAGGGTAATGAACTGTAGTGGCAACATAGTCTTTCTTTTTCTTCTTTATTATCATTTATTGCAACAGCAACAGCCTATTTGGGCTCATTGAAGAATTAGCACATGTCCCAATCTTCTTCAATTATTCTATTTAGTAGTTAATGGTGCAGCTGTAACTTGGTTATTGCAGCATCATTTAAAGGAAACTTCTGCTGCTTTATGTTTACTGTAGACTGGTACATAGCTGTTCCTGTATAGCAAATTTTTCAAGCTCTATGAGTGTTTCAGGAGATGCGTTTAAAAATGCAGTGAACTAACTTTAGTTTGACCTTGTAACTGGAGATGTATCTATTAACTACAGTTGAAGTAATCCAGAGTTGTATAAATTACAACGCAAGTTTGAAAGTGCCGCAGTTTGGTGAGGGGATGATCAGTGGAGCAGCAGCCATTGTTGCCATGCCCTTTTCTAACAGTGAGTGCATGTGTGTGTTCTGGCATAATGATCAATGGCCTTCCTCGTTTCTTCCCAAGGTGCGACACAGATGGGTGTGGGAAGTCATTTGCCGCTAGTCATCACTTGAAAACCCACATTAGGACCCACACAGGTATGCTCACACCTTGCCTGATCACCTTGTGTATTGCTACGTTATCGGTGCGTGCCCAACCGTTCGGCATAGTTGCTTTTTGTCGCTTTGTGATGACATTGCTGCATCAGCGAGAAGGACAATGCCTAGAAAGCTTGAGTGAACCACTCAGACTTTCGATCCGTCGCACAACACATCATTTTCAACAAAAAATGCAAGCCTGCCGCATCGCTTCTGGCTCGCCAGTGTTAAGCTACAATTGCATTTAAGCAAAAGCACTTGAGGGAAATGCACAACTGAAGTTGATAAACTAAGTAAGTAAAGTTGAATTTATAATAACTGAGGCCTATGTATTTTAGTAATCAATGTCCACAAGTTCGTATAGTTTTCCATTGCGAGGCCAACTGAGCGTGTTTTTTGTCCCATTAAATTGGCTGCATTTTTGTTTGCACCGTGATGTAACTAATTGCCAAACAGCAGATCAGAAGCCACAGCAATAATTTCTACTAGCTGCGCATTTCACTTTGTGCTTATTGGTGCAACTGCGTTATCCAAGCTTGATCATGCTAACTAGCGAGGGATAGGACAATGCAGCGAGTATAATACTAACTTCTGCACTTGCTCCTCAGGTGAGAGGCCCTACCTCTGCACACAAGACGGGTGTCAGAAGACGTTCACAACTCAGTACAGCCTGAAGACTCACGCGGCAAGGCACGATAGGCTACAGGATGATGAGGTCAGTAGTTTTCTTGCCTGTGCAGCAGTATGCCCAGGGCATTCATTGTCCAAGCAATGGTACGGGTGCATATTTAATATTGTAGTGCAGACCAACCCAGATATAACCAATTATTCTGTAAATCAAACAGCTGGCAAATCACCTTCGCTTTACTTTCAGCATCTAAAACATGTTATATATCGAATAACGTAATCATCAAACGTTTTGTAACACCCACCACAAAGGTCTGGTGGGTATGGTGCCCAGCTGTTGACGTGAAGGTCGTGGGATCAAATTCTGGCCACAGCAGCCATATTTTCCGGTCCCTTTCAGATTCAATACATATCGAGGTTCGACTGCATACACGTGTGTAAATTGCACTTTCTCAGTGCCAAGTAGAATATGTGCAAACTATAATAATTGTGGTACTATCGTTGTCACTTCACCGTCGCCACATCATGGCACATGCAGGATCAAATTGTGACATTTCACCTTGATGGCCTGGACGTTGACATTGACGACCCCTTAGAAGGATCTGCCGACTATGACATTGATGAGAGCACGGCCCACATGCTTCTCAACACCATGGTGGATACAACAGCAGCCGAGCAAAGTCCTAGCAGCACTGGGCTTGTCAGTGTTCCCATCCAGGAAGTTGACGGGAGCAGCTCAGCACTTCGAGGTAATTACTGTAGCCTTTTCTTACATGCTGCCCAGGACAGAATAACACAGACTTAATGACTCAGTGCAGTTGTACTCTATGTGAGACAATAATGCAAGATCCTAAAATGAAAGACTAAGTACAATAATGCAAGATCCTAAAATGAAAGACTAAGTTAGTGCATAAAAGTCAGTAATTTTGCTGTTCCTGGGCTGGAAGTAAACCTCAGTGGGAAGACTCTTTTAAGGAGCACTGACGTCATATTTGCGCAATGCAAGATCTTTGCACCCACGAGTATTCATCGACCTCCCTATAAGTGATATTCAACATTTTCTTCACTAGATGCGCACGTTCAGTCAAGCCTTGTCACCAGCATCACCATCGCCAAAAGTGTTGAAGATGACTTTTTAGAACTTGTAATCGCCATGGTTTGCAATGTCGTGAATCGTTTTCGTTTCGACCTTTTGCAAAACAGTGATTCAAAATGGACTGTGTTCTTAGTAGCAATGAGGAGGTGCCCCGTGACATGCGCATGGGCTATGCTCACTGATCTATTAGAACTAGCTATAGCGTTCACAGCATTCTGGTATTACAAAAAAAGGGTCTGTAAAATATAGGGGCAGCAAATGAACACCAGCGCAGCAATGGAATACGCTAAGGTTTACAATAACAATGCTGTGCTTGCCAGGTGGTTCTTTGCACTGCCAGACAGCCCCACTTATCCGGCCTCTTATGGTTAAGGCAGCAGTAACCCAGTACTACGCTAGTGCAAAGTCTACGGACGAACTAAAATTTACCATTTGCACTACCTGCGTGTTACTTGCGAGCGATGGTATTTACTTATAAGCTGCTCCACTTTTATAGCTTGTGGTTGTGTTGGTGTGTACAGTACGTGTGAGAAACTATGCACATAGTCTGCTTTTTCTGCCCTACCATCAATACAACTCCCAAAGGTTCCCTGACATGCCGACTGACAAGAACTTGTCAAATCCTGCTCTTTCGTTTTGCCTGTCTTGTCATGGTAGTTAGAGTCTTGTAACACCCTGAAATCAAAGTAGTGCATGAAGGATCGAGCATGAAAAGTGACATTGTTTACAGGCTTCGGTGCCACAATAAGAACACTCAAGTCGTTGACGTCATCGCTACTAGCGCATCTTCACTCAGGATGGTATGCACTACACCGAACACATCAGAGTGGTGACCTGCCCCTTTTTAGCTGTTGTACACTTTTTGCCCTTGAAGTAAAATAACTTCCAGGAGACGGATGCTACACAAGTTTGGTAAAAACGGCTCATGCACCCTGGGCAACCAAATGAAGGACACATCTCGAGCTTGAAATTTTATGTCAATGTCCTTTTAACATGAGCAGTTTAGCAAATCCCACTGATTAAACTTGGGAGTTTCACATCTGCAGTAATTATTGTTAGAACAGAGCATTATCTTCCATATCCTGCTAGAGATTTGCATATTTGCCTGCCTGCCCACATAGCTCTGGAGCTATGGGGCTTGGTTATAAAAGTATTAGAACGAAATTTTATGTGCATGCTTGCAGGTCCTGTAAGCTTAATTTTTCCGACAGACTGAGCATGATGGGCAGAGCTGAGCCTAAATATGTTGGGCTTGAAGGGAACAGTAAATTGTAAGCACCAGCAATTTTATATGAAATACAGAGTTGGCTCTTCTTACTGCTAGTGTGCTTCACTGCATTGCATAGCTGATGCAGTGAAGTTTACTAAAGCAATTCTGTCATGGAGAGGAGTTGGAAAACTCATTTATAGTTAGATTCAGGCATCTTGCTCATTTTCTCTCCATGGCATGCAAATGCCCTTCAAATCCAAAGCCTTTATCTACAGCATTTGTGAAAAGTGTTGTTCTGTTGGCATAAATACTGTATGCCCTTGTGCGTAGGCAGCACTATTTCTGTGATTTTGACAAAGTTCTGTCCACAACTACGAGTATGAAATCTGCACTAATTAAACATCCATGCCTGCCCACCTACCACAAAAGCAGATGTTATCCCTTTCAGAGCAGAAGTTTATTGGTTCAAATATGTATGACTATTAATTATTGCACTCAGTTGATGAGCACATTTATGAACTATGTCATGTTTGCTGCAATCAATGGCACTTAAAATTATTGTTCGTATGCAGTGCACTAGAGTCGGTCGATGCGTGCCTGCTTGTCAATGGACCTAACTTGATTACTTTGTTAGATTTAAACATTTCCTTTACAAATCGGTTAAAGGGTTGCCAGGTTGTAGGCGCAGCCTTTTTCAGAGATCTATACGGAATATGCAGCGATGCAAGTAATGGCACGCCCATTAAGGAAACCATACTCTCAGGGGCAAGGCGTGGTATTCAATACATATTTCCTTTTCAACTCTGTGCAGCCTATGCCATGATACCCCTGGACATTGTGAGTAGTGCATCAGGACAAAATGACGTGCCGCCCAAGGTGGCGCAAGTGCTGCTACCACGGACATTCACCGTTGACTTGGCGACGCAAGTTGTCAAGCCGGAACCAACGGTGGCAGCCGGCGACATCTCGTCGAATGTGGAAGTTGTGTTGCCAAGGGTGGTGCCCGCTGACATGTCACCGAGTACAGTTCTCGTGGACGACATTGACATCCTAGGCATCTCTGCGTCACAGGCCGACATATGCAACTGTCCAGACAAACAGGCATGCGAAACTGGGGAGTGCAGAAACTGCCCCAGCAAAGAAGTCAGCATATGTTGTTCCTCGGACATTCTCATCGACACTCAGGGTTCGGAAAATGGTGCAGGTGTGCCTGGCAGTGCTGACGGCAGTTTGAAAGGACGGGCCGGCCATCGGGCTTGCTGCTTATAACAGCGGCTTTTTTTGTTTGTTTGTTTGCTTGTGCTACAGGTTCTGGGACTTAGAGACAAAAGATAGCAACTCTGGCAGTGGACATGTTTGCATGAATCATTGCCTTGCCTTGCAGGGCAGCGAACCCAAAGGAGTTATTACAGTCGCCTGGTTGTACAGCACCAATTTAGTTCATGGGCACCCTGCCAATTTTATATAAAAATGATCAATTCAAAGTAGAGTAAAGATAATGCTTAGGAGTTTTTTTGTGTGTGTGTGTGCCTGATGATAGTGTCAGTTTTTCTCTCCAGCTATCGTGACAGCTTGGTTCTGGTGCCTTCTTTGTGGAAACCTAGACGAGTAGCCGCAACGAGATGTGGGTACTAGGAATACTTTTGGTATTGTGATAGAATGTTCCCTTCTTAGGGTGGATTGACTCTTTGCCTGCCTACTCCTGTTCAGGGCACGCTCGTTTCAACAGATATAATGGTTAGCGAGCTGGAACGCTTTTACTCTGATTGGGCACCGGTTAGGGATCACCATAAAGCGAGAGCCTATTGCAATGGGTGGGGTGCGACACCGACTCTTAGGTCTTGTGCTAACACCCTTGCGAGGCCTGTTGTGTAACTGTCCTAGCTTGGCTAAGACTATGTGACCCCTTCCATCCATTTAAATGGCACAGTTCGAACCATTTCAGAGCATTCATTAATTGAGCACTGGTCTAACGAAATATAGAGATGGAGAAGGGTAGAGGAAAGGCGGGGAGGCTAACCAAGCTTTCCTCGGTTGACTACCCTACACTTGGTGTGTGCGAAAGGGGGTATAATAGAAAGGAAAGAGATGGAGAAAAGAAGAGTAAGAGAGAGATGGCCAAATAGTCAGCTTTAAACTACACAGCACGGTCTTGCGCTGTTCTTTCACAAGCGCTCGTGAAATCCGGTGGTCCTGTGTGCTCAATGTGCTCATGACAGCCAATGATGAACTTATGACTTAGGCTCAAATAGGCTAATTTTTAACCTAATGGATTGCACTGTTATTAACACTTCTTGTTGATTCTGTACTTGCGACTGAGTTATCGTGTGGTACTGATAGCAGAAAGAGACTAATTTACAACACGACATGGTCACTTGTTTCGCGAGTATAATGTAGCTTGTGTGTTGGGTTTTAGAAGTGCTGATTAACAGATTAGGCTTGGGATTTACTGCCAGTGATGAATTTGCATGTTGCAGTGAGTCCGGAGACTGCTTCTTCAGTGAGTGAGGCTGCATAAAATGCACAGCTCTCTGGGCATTAAGTTCTTTTTTTGTCCCTTCATTTTATTATTTGTTTCAATCACTGCTCCAACGATACGAAGGGAGTGTTGAAAGCTTGTTGAGCAAGTAAAGAATCCAGCATGCCGTTTCCTACCTGTGAAATTTATTTGAATTACTTTCTACATGCGTTTATGCCTGCAAAGCTCTATTGCTTGCTAGCCTAGATGTTTATTTTGTTCTTAATGCTTTTGGCTTAATCAAGAACATGCCCTAATCATGAGCACGCATTTTACAGTGGACTACACTTACACGCGTTTCCTCTTTTTCTGCTCCTCCCCCCCCCCCCCCAGCTCTTTTTTATTAAAGTTTTTGTGGGAGTTGGTTTCAAATCGCATACACAAAATGAAATAGTAGTTTAGGGACATTTTAAGATATAGCACTGATATCAGCTCGAGATGGCATGCAGGAGGATGTGTCACTGCCGAACGCTTTACTGTTTATCAAGCAATGCGGGACATTTACAGAAAGTAGGCACCGTAGAGCGGTAGTCGATATCATTCCTAAGATTGTTTGTTTCTTTAGCACTATGTATACAGAGTATTGCAAAGTATGTATAAAGCCGCACGTAACGCTATTGAAAGGGCGAAGTACTTGAATATGACTCCATGTGATGACTGCGCCTTTTCTGAATTTTAAGTAGCTAGCTGAGCAGTGCTCTTAAGAGGGGTGCAGAATCGGCGTCCTAGTGCGTTCTGCTGTGATAGTGACTGGGGTGCCTCGATTGGTTAGCTGCTGTTCTTACTAATCGATTGCTAAATATTCCACTATCAAATGCTTGTGTTTTAGAGGCCTTAGTTTCCTTTTTTTTTTTCTCAGATTGTTCTCAAGACACTGGCACAACAGAAAAAAATGTATACGGCATTGTGTGCTTAAACTCTTTTCATTTATTTGACATATTGATTTTTGTCTTCTAGCTTTGCATCTCGAGATGTACCGTAAAATGCCGAGCTAGCGCTTCCCCGCCCTTTTTCGGGAGATCTAAAACAAGCACCAAATAAGCACCAATGATCCGTCCGGGACCGATATGCACCCCCCCTTACAGATCTGGTCAGATTATTATTCTCCGTAAAGAGGGCACTTTCTCGGCATTTTACGGTACATTGTGGCTGCTTACACATGCTCTGGCACAGTTTGAGGATCGCTGTAGATGATGTAAAAATGTATTGCCGTGCTAAATCTGGCATTGTACCGAAAGAATGTGTTTCAGTTCGTTGAGTTGTCGAGGTTTTTTTTTACAATCAAGACATAACGTGCATTAAGGAACCTTAGGAGGTGCATTCAGTTGGCTATGGTGCACACAGAATTGAGTTTCTTGCATATTGAGTATATTTTCAACTAACAGAACAATGTTACGTAATATTAAACGCGTGATTTGTAACTTTTTGGTATCATAGCATCCTGCTGATAAACGTTAACCTAAATTGCGGATATCATTTTACGTAGCTGTGTACACCTAGAATGCGAGATCCCAATGACATTTGTTTTGGAAGTCATTCACTGCGAATGACGTTGCACGTGTCGTGTGACAGGAGTATTACCCTTGCAGCTTTGTAGAATTATTCGCTTATGAGTGAACTTCATTAAGCTGCTTCGCCAATGTATTTTACTGGACATTACAGAGGAGCAGACTTTGTTATAAGCATCAGGAAAGATGATTTATTCCATGGTGATTGCTGCATCTCGTATTTCGTAACATGTGTGTTAGAGATACTACTTATTTATTTTGTTTAGAATGATGTGACAAGAAAACATTGCAATCTTCAAGTTAAACAACATTAGTGAAGTACCCTTTCACAACAATTTAAAAAGAATGAAAGCCCTTGGTACCTTATACAGGGGCCTAAAAGAGATGCAAGAATAGATGACAGGTGGCCACACAGTCTTGAAGTTCATGCACCACCTCGTGGCGACCCTGCAGAATTTGATTATGCTTGCAGGCAGCCTACTTTATATCTCATAGCTAAATATGGATCACATCATATTATAAAATAGCCGAAGACTAAACTTATCAAATATTGAATACTAGTATTATATCTGTGCCACAGCTGTTTATATACAAGAAATTATTCTGGAAGTTGCAATCATTACACTTGCAAAGCACTGCAGTGCTGGGATGCCAGTACAATAAGAGTAGAAGTTCAGTTCCAGTCTTTATTTTTTTTCTTTTCATAATCCGACTGTTTACCACAAGATACACAAAGATATAGCCTAGAAAGAATATCTGAAATTTAAACTAGGCTTGTGCAAATCGTAAATTTTAGGTTTGAAGTGAATTCAAAATGAATAGTGATTTGATCAAATAATTTCAAATCGAATTTGGTGGATCGCATGGCTTTTTGTATTATATATTGCTAATTTTAAAGAAAAACTGTAATATTTGTTGTGACCCAAATAACCTGCACAATATTCTTTTAAACTTTTAGACAAAGTCTGTGCAAATGCCTTTTTTTTTGTTCAGAGAAATTGTAAACAACCTTTAAGAGTAACAGGAATTGCTTTGCTTAGTGCAAATGATAACCTGTAAAATTTGCCACATTTAAAGATTTACTCTACCAAGAGCGTATACGCCAGCACAAGTTTTTAAACATTAAAAATTAAGAATCGATGTAAGGGTAATATGTTCATTTAACCTTAAAGGGAAACTTTGCGGCAGTGCGGATTTCCCTTGGATAAATGTTTTCATGGCTTAGCACCCTTTTTACTGCTGTGAAACCAGCTTAAAGCTGTATTCACATGACGAACATAATTGCAGACATAAGTCATGCGACTTGCGACGTAATTCGGATCCCTTTGCAGCCAGCATTCACAAGACAGGGGAGAATTCATGCTACAAGCGAGCATTTCGACGTTGGTCCACGAGGATCCCAACAGTGATTTGGGCTTCTGTCATTTCACGAATCCGTTGGCATGGACCGACCTGGGAACGGCTGATGTACGGTGACGTAGTACGCAATCCGCATACTCGAATCGCGATTTGGTTCACCGGGCGAATACAAGGTTACAGGGGGTTGCATGCGAACTAATATACTTTTGTTTGTTTATTTCAAATACCACAAATTTTCAATGTTTAAATTTCAAATTGAAGAAAATTCGAATACCGTAATATTAGTTCAAATATTCTATCTGCACTACCATAGTTTTAACCATGTCATGGTGTCCTTGAGAGCACAATAACAGAGTTGCAGTTTTTCTTTTTAAGCAAAGCTGTTTAAACATATGAATCAGGTAGTCTAGAATCCATAAAATTAATTGTGCCCACTGTAGTAAACTGATCATAAGCCACACTTCCTCCTAGTGGCATTGGTATGAAACTTTGAGAGAAAAGCAAGGTGCAGTGTGTTACCTTAAAGCAGCTTATTAGCACCGTATAGTCTGTCCTGCACTGAAGGGGCCTTGAAACACTTTTTCAAATAACCATGAAATGAATTCACTGAAAGAGCTTATTACCTCACAAATTCAACGGCGCAAAAATTTTAAGAATTTGTCCAGTGCGAGTGGAGTTACAAAGATTTGTCGCATGCTGCAACTGCATTCTCTCTTCTCTCGTCCAGGAAAAAGCACTGGAAGCTAAGTAGGGAGGGATGGCAGAGGCAAAGAAAATACGTCAGGCGTGACTCGTGACCTTGAGCACTTTTGTTTTTCTTTGAATGGGCAACTTTTTTAGTGTGATCGCATGCGTGGACAAGTCGCAGCCTCCCGCGGCAATCTCTGTAACGACCGAGCGCGCCATGTACAAATCAGCCAATGGCTGATAGATGGCTTTCTGTGAGTGATTTTTGAACGTCTTCCATCGTTTGTCAAGAGAAGAGAAAGCAATTTTTAGCTGATTTTAATAATTTGTTGTGAATTCCAGGCCACACGCTGCACTTTAATATTTGGCTCGTGTGCTCTCGGGAGCCTTTACTACCAATTGGAGGATTTTTTGACCGTGCTCAGAAAGTGTTGCAGGGCCCTTTTAACACTTGTCTGAGGAAGCCAAAGCCATACAGTCAAAGGAAGCTTGTGAATGAAAAAAAAAAAAAAAGATACCTGGAATACGTTTTTAGTGCCCCCGTTGCAGTGTGCAACAAAACAGTAACATATCTATCACTCGTAGCAGCCACATAAAGACAGGTCAATAAACATTTGCACGTTGTGAAGTGACACTAAAGGCAAATATTGAAACATGCTTGGTTGTTTGACTACACGTTTAGAAAAGCAACTTTTGCGGCTTTCTTTGGCAGAGAATCCCTGTACAGCTGAACGGATGTTAAGATTTGTTGCTGTGCTATTTGCTCCAATTTCAGATGCTTCATCTTTTAACTCAGTGAGTGGTAAAATGAAATATGTTGGGTGTTTTGGATAAAGAGATGGAAGGGAAGTGGTGCAGTTGTGTAGTGCGGAAAATTTATAGGCTAGAGTTACTATACGAGTGTCGCGAGAACGGCAGTGCTATAGAGGACTGTACATAATTACGTGTTTGGGAAATTTGAAAGCTCATAGATGCAAGATTGTGGTTAGGGTGATTGTAGATAGTTGAAAGAGGCCTTCCTGCAGTAAACATATATGTGTTGATGATTGAGTTGAGCACTTGTTGATAATGATGTGGAAACTAACATCTAGTGCAAAAGCCTTGTCATGGGGACATGAAAAAAAACCTTCAAGAAGACTTTTGTGCCTGTGTTTCAAGTTCTTGTACAAGCACAAGTTTCTAGCAAGTTTAGTAGACTGGATTGTTGAAACCTGTCGCATTAGGTTGGCCGAAATATTGGCCTCATTTACGCTCCAATAAGGTATTATATTTCAACAAAAACAGTGCAGATGGAGATGGAAAAAAGGTTATGTATCAGTGTAACCTAGTTTGGAACTTCCCTTGTTCCAAATTAACAGACAAGATGATGCCGTCAGTGAAGATGCTTTAACAAATCAGTATACTTTATAAAATATTTCCCACCACTTTACACAATTTTCAATTGAGCAAGTTTAAAACAATTCATGTGGTCTTTAGCGTGCACCTTCACAAGAGGATGAATAGAACAGATACCATTCCCACTCAAATTGTGAATTTATCAGCAGCATTTTTGTTCCAGATGATTTTCTTGGTGATTGCATTATCTCGTGCGAAGGACATGTGAGACTGTAGGCAAACTTAATATTTGCCTTTAGTGTCCATTAAAGAACAGTGCAGAATAAAACAGATGAGCCACATCTGTAATGCAACTGGATGTGCATGCCAAGCCATCATTGTCGCACACAATGCCATTGGGTGCCGTGGCTAAACTTCTTGGGTCGCATATGATGATCTCATGTCACTTGCAAGTAAGATGTGAAAGACAGTTTTTGTGCTGTTACTTGTGTGGACAGCTCACAGCGCTGCAAGCTGCTCAAGGTGCTGGCACTATGAGACAGCTCGAGTCATTGGCTTGGCAGCTCAGAGGCATTAATGAACATTTTATGCACTTGCTCATTATCAACAGTTTGTTGTCGAGCTTGGAACCATTTGTGAGAGTTGGTTATCATGCAAGACTTCTGGGCTACGTGTTGCGTACATGCACGCCATTTCTTAGCTTTCCCAAAAATTGCGCTTTGCCGTGCTGCGTTGAACATTGTAATGCTCCTCTATAGCTATTGCTGAACAAGACTGTGTCACTATTGCACAAGTGCCAACTTCAACACGATTTAAAACGCTTCATTTTGCGAATTTCGGAATGCTGTATTGGCAACTTGAGCTTGCAACAGAAGATGTAGGGTCATTCCCGTCTGCCATGTCGCACCTGCGACATCCTGCCCAAATCTCCATGCAGCAGCTATGCACTTAGGATCATTTTATTGCGCGTGTTTTATCATGCTTGATAGAACTGCTGATGCAATATGTACATAAAGTGCGTGCCCTAGTGGGCACCATCCATATCCACGAATGGCCTTTTTTAAATGTTTGCATGTTGTTTACTGTTCTATGTGATTGAATTGATGTTGGAGCACTTTATGAAAAGAAAACCTATGTCGGATGAAATAAACTCGAAAGGCTGTATGAACTTTAGATGCTGTCGTTGTTCTGAAACTGAAAACAGATTGAGAGAAGAGTTGGGGCTCTTTTCCAAGAGATATTTGTGTATTCCTTTCATTTGAAAAATATCTGGTGAATTTCCCTTCAAATGAATAAATTCAGTAAATTGGTTAATGTTACTCATTTAGATTATAATCCCTTTTTTGAAAATTCACGCATGTTTTATACTGTTGCAGACCACTCTGGCCACATTCAGTGTCCTTTGACTTTGACCCACAAATTAATTTGGCTTTGCTCTGCAATCTGGTTGCCTTAACGGAGTGGCTGCCTCGAAAAAGTGTTACTCGTGGCTTCGATCCCGAGACCAGCACAAATTTTTTATCTGTTAAGCTTCTGGAGAAACTTGTGTGAATTTCTTTTACAGCTTTGGGTGGATAAATATTTAGGGGTTCTTGTTCCCGAGAACCGGCGATTTTGACCACCTGTTAAAATGTTCCTGTGCTTTAAGAACATGCAGGATGATAGTTTGGCTAAGCATACGGAAAACTACATGTATAATGCCAGATTGCTGCAATTGTGAAGTTAAACCATCTTGTCTTATACCATTGTTACATGGGCATGTTAAGCCCGTTTACGACAAACCTCAGTTAGCGTTTACATCTTTTATCATGAAACTCTGTGTCATGTGACTTGCTTCATGCGAAACGTTATTCTTAGTTTGGGTCGTGAAGCAAGCCATGTGACACTCATTTTCGTGTATAAAAACATAAACCCTAACTGAGGTTCGTCACAGCTGAGGTTAGCGTGCCCGTGTAACAACCATATTAATTGTGCCCCTGGATTTATGAACACCCTTAGACTTCATTAGGTGTGCGAGGAGGCACAACTTTTTAAATGAAATAGATAGCACACATAAGTGACACATTGGTAATTGCTGCAAAGGCAGGTTGCTTGAGAATCACGTGAGCCCCTGTTGCCTTTGAGTAGACAAACGTTAACTTTTGCTAAGGCCTTCCTAATGTGCATCTAAGTCCCTACCTGTTTATGCCTGAGCGATGAAATATTACATCTTTTGAAGCAGTGCTAGTGTTCCAAAGATAGAGTAAGTGGGGGGAACTGTCTCTCCGTCACTGCTCATTTGAAAGCTCTGACAGTTCCTCCACACCTGGGAACAGATATCACTGTTCTTTCAGTAGCTTGGAAATCTTTGGCAGCGGCTTTACCGTGGCACATCCAGGGCCACCAGGTACTTTTACGCATGAAAAATAATATAGTAGTCATACAGCCAGAATGAAGGTGTATGTACACCACCACAATTGATGGAGTTTTGCCAACATCAGAGGAAAATCGTCAAAAGATTCAAATGAGCTAGACGAAGAAGAAGAAAGAAAAGAAAAGAAATGCACAGAAAATGAGTGTTCTGTGAGATTAATATTGAAGTTCATGGAAGTCTCGTCTTTTATCACAGAGTGACAACAGGGCTAGCAGAGCAGGTTTTTTATATGTATATTGATATAATTCAATTTCAGAGACATCACTTTCAGTACAGTTTCATCCAACAAGCCAGTAGACACGATCTCCCTCCCTCAAATGAGATGGTGACGCTCATTGCTACGTCACATCAAAAAGAAAAATGTATTCCCAGAAGTGATCAACTGAGATTAAAGCGTAATTGACACAGTAGCACATGTTGAAAGAAATTGCCATCGGAATGGCTGAAACCAGAAATTAAACAACACTGAGAAGTAAACATGCATTTACTTTGGCTAGGTGTTGGAATAAATCATTGCATTCACATCTTCGGGGCTATTGTCTAAGCCAACATCTTTTAGTGTCACGCTTTATAATTGTGCAAGGTTATTTTGCAGGATGTTTAGCTTCAAATGCTTTGTTCACATCAGCGAGCTGAACACCAGAAGTACTACAGGATTCATTATTCACTTGCTCGAGCATTGGGAGCTTGAACATTTCAACGAACAATTAAATTAAACCCCCACCTTGGTCACAACTGGAATAGCATCGCAAGAAAGTTTGACTAGAACGCTCTAGAAAATATAGCCTTCAACTGCTGTGACGCACTACAAATCAGCACAAGACATTTATGCAAAAGCACATGCATATTGGCACCCTTCATACATAATACAAAGTAACACCAAAACTGCTTGCTGAAATGGGAGGGTTGTTGCTAAGCGGTGCAGAAAGAAAAGCAATAACAAGTTACAGTAAAACCCTGCCGTAATGAAATTGAAGGAAGTACGCACATGCTCTTGTCACAACTGTTACTTCTACGGGTAGCTTTACATGTTTGCAACAACAGAGCTTTCAATGGGATCTACATTCATTACACTCGTTATTACTTTGCTACGTTCCCTCTTCATAACAAGGTTTTACTGTGGTCGCAGCGTCGCTGCACTTGGGTCAACCACATTAGCACGCTATATTCTAACTGGCCACGACATGTCTAATGGATGGAATGCCTGCTAACTACAATGAACAGTAAAGCAAGAATAGACACGCACATTGCTACACAGTGCAGATACTAAAACTACTTGGTCATCCCCTCTAGCAGTGGCCTTTGCAGGCTCTGTCTTTGATGAAGTCCTGTGAGCTGTTCCTGGTGTTATATAACTAGCTGGCACAAAGTTCGGACGTGGGAATTGAACTCATTATCATAGCACACTAGACACTTGCCCATGTTATCGAGTCGCTTGCAGGTTGAAAGCCTTTGAACACAAGGTAACACAATTGCTGCTCTCATTGTAACTGTCACCTCGTATGCTACATTTAAGCTACAGTGTGCCAGTGATGAAGCCATGACTGTGGTTAGTTCTGCTCTCCAGCGTAGTGCTCTCATGTTTGACAACAAAACATTTTCTCCACATTCTGCTGCATTGAAGATTGGTTGAGCCAACTTTGAAGACCACTTAATTTGACTAAAACTCTGCTGTGCATCTCTTTAGAACAGTGAAGGCCAGATACAGGATGCATGAGTGGAGCAGCTTTGAGCATGTTCAACACACCCTCATAGTGTATGTGTCCAGAGTATTTGCAGCATGTTGCAGAGACTTCAAGCAACAATATGCACATTTTTATGTATTACTTTCATACGAAAAAACATTTGGATGTGTAAACAGTGTTGGCAGACAGACAAAAGCAGTCGCTCTTTGAATTGCGAGTGTATTGTATGCACAAACTGGTGCTGTATGTTAAATATTTCTGAGCTCATTTTGTATTCATGTTGTGTACAAAAAGTCTCTGTTAAAATCAGCCCCATATGCCCACAAGTCCCAGTACTTCTGAATACAATGCAAAATGTGTCCATTATCTCCAAATATGAAATAATTAACATGCTGTGCAGCAGTAATCTGATGCTTTGAATTGCCAACAAATTCATGGCTTTTGCTTTGGTCTAGTGGGACTTGTGCTGAAATGGAATACAAAAGAGGTATAAAAAAAAACTCTAAAGAGTAATTTTAAGTACGATTTATCTTTGTTCAAGATATCTTGCCTAATAAAAAACTGCGAAGGTATTAGCATAGCTTACCATTGTGCTGCAGATGCAAGCAGTACAGTGAAACCCCAGTTATACTGGCCGTCAAGAATTGGCAAAATCAGTTATCAACTTCTGGTTGTGTGTGGGGAGGACACAGGTGAAACAGAGAATCACTAATTGAAAATGAGAGCAATAAACACAGGTGAAAATGAGAAATAAGCACATGAACTTGCAATAGGCAAATATTGAACGTGTAGTCGATTTTCAAGCTTAGTTGCATAATTTGTACATGAAGGAGCTTAACAAATGCATTGCGATTGAGCCACCACCACAAGATTACAGGAGAAATCTCTTAATTGTTCTATATAAATACAGGACAAGACCACGCAGTGCTGAAAGTATGGCAAAACTGGTCCGTCTGGCATCGAAACAAACAAACCAGTATCTTGCACACTTGCCTCGAAGCATGTGGACTTCCACTGTCTACAGTGGCACGTAACTCAATGCAGTGATGGGAGGCCACTTCACTTGATATCCTGGGATAAGTGGCCCCAAGAAAACATTCGGAACAGCAATTTCGAATGGGGAGCGCATAAGAGACGGATGCTAAAGATAAGAGAAGTAGACAGCACTAGCCCCGATTTGTAATCGTACATATGCTCGTCTGTTTAAAAAAAAACGTGATTCAGAGTAGCACTTGTGCTGTATACATCTCTATCTTTTGCATCTGTCGTCCTATGTGCAACCCATTCAAAGTCGTGCATCTTTGCAAACTTGCCCAATTTGCTGCCCTCAAAAAAAGTAACACTTACTCCATGGAACAAACTTCTCAATTTATTACACCGCATGCTGATATAACGCCCCCCACAAATTCCCGTGCTGGCTATCTGTCAGAATAGTAGCCGGGATTTTACGTCCTAAAAATACGACATGATAATGAGGAATGCCTTAATAGAGGACTCCAAAAATTTTGACCATCTAATGTTCTTTAATGTGTGCCTCAACCCAAGTACATGGGCAGCTAGCATATTGCCTCCACCTAAATGCTGCTGCCATGGCTGGCGTTCGATTCCACAACCTTCGGGTTGGCCGTCGAGCACCATAATCGTCAAACCATCGAGGCAGGTGGGCTGGCTATCTCTAGCAACGCAAAAGGCCACACTAAATGTCTAGATGTATAACTTGGGACTTCACTGTAACTGCTTTGTAGTGGAACTTGTGAGTGCAAAAGAGATGAAGACGACTCCCTCTTTGAATTCCACACAAACAGTTTATCTCTGGCGGATAAACTTTTGCGCGTGTACATCACTACCTAGCTTAATTTTTAAAAATAATTCATTCTATAACTCATGCACCATTGACAGGTTAACAAGATTTGGAAACACACACACAAAAAAAATGAATTATGTACTGAACACTGCTCTCGGCCAGCATTGCTAACACAGACAGTACAACTACTGCAGGACACGCATATCTTTGAGCAAAAATGAACAAGCTACATAAGACAGCAGATAGAATTTGAAATGGTCATAGCCTCAACAGAATAAAAAAAAGAAGAGTTGAAAATGGAACCTTTCCCGAAAAACATCTCCCGATCTGAAAAGCTTGCGATCAGATGGTAATGCAGTGAACTTGGCGAAAGCATGGAATGCTGACATGGTTCCACGGGGAACCCAAACGTGGTTAATCGGTCTGGCAGTGCAAATGCTAGCTCCACTTGGTTAACTGGGGATAACCAACAGCTCCAAAAATAAAAATCTCTGCGCCACATCAAGGCAAATTAGTTCAACAAAAGCAAGCTTTCGATTACATAAGAAATATACTACAATCGAACAACAACAGAGTGATTGCTGATACAATGGAGAAGTTACAGATAGGCAATTTAGTGCATTATATAACAAATTACTATATTTATTGTAAATATTGTTGGTTAACGAATGTGCCCACTAAAAGCATAAAATAAAACAAAGGTATTTTCACATGAGAGGTGAATGAGACTTTACTGTAGTTTAAATCTAACAGCACAGAATACAGAAGCAATAAATTAATTTTTCTTTCTGCATTGTTGCACAGTAGTGCAGATTCCCCCGATCACAAAAGCTTCGAAAGCACATCTCGCCGAGCACTGCCAATCAGGCCAACTTTCCTCACGCAGTGAGCGATCATATAAAAAAATGCCAGAGCACCGAGTTACAAAGCCTTGTATGATACAGTGAGGTAAAATTCATTTGTGTACAATAATCACAGTGAAAATAAATATTTGATGCAGTGGCTTGAGTAGAAAACATAATAACTGTTCTCTTTTCTTCCTTCTTCAGCTTTCCAATTAAAAAATCTCAAAAAACTAGAGCGGTAAAAGAAAGCGCAGCAGTGCAAGTGTGATAGAACAGTGCAGTTGCTTGCAGCCAAGTAACTTCTGCAGAGGATGCCATTCTGCGCTGCCTCCTTCATGGCTTGGCAAAGGTGGCGCCCAAGTGCTCCAGGCTGCTCTCTGGAATGGCCAGCTTCATTATGACTGCTTCCAACCTCGCCAGCTGTCGAAAGTGAAGATATAATTAAATACCTCCTCTAGAGTCTTTCTTGGTAGGTACTTGTGACGCAAGTTGCAGTAAGACTTTATTCTATTCCTTGCACGAGTAAGAATATGACTACTCAACTTTCAAGAAGGTTTGTTATTGTACACCTTGCACTTGTGAAAGGCTTTGCTGCAGTTACATATTTCTGGAATTCCCATTTCATGCCATGTGCAAGCAATGCTGATTGATGTACTAGGCACATATATACTGAGTACAAGCTCCTCAAAACTTACTGTGTAGAGGCTTATCAGTGAATGGATATGGCTGCTGAACTCATTGACTGTAATTCTGCAATAAGGCATTTTCGACAAAGATAATCTCAGTAAATTTGTCATTCCGTCAGTAATGTTAGCACGGGCCCCCCATGCTTGCTGCCGTGAATGATGTGTGAATCGTTCTGTAATTATGAGCCCACCCAGAAAATAAACCTTAGTTAACTTGTCATACCATTAGTAATTGTCAATGAGTCCTGCCATAGGTGCTGATGCGTAGTATCAACAACCAAAGCAGGGTCTATGTGACAGCACCCACAGCAGGGCCTAGCAAGGTGCACTAGGGTGCTGATGGGCGTGATCGTCGGCAGGATCTCCTCTTGGGAGGTACAAACCTTTTTTGTACCTCGGCTGGGGAAAGGGGAGGATACTGGCACTGCTTCAGTGAGGGAAAGTTATGGTGTGGCTTGAGGGACGCAAGTGCTCCTTTTGCACCCCCCTGCCTACGCCCATGCTGATAAGCGTCAGCACCCATATTGGTAGTTGGTGCTGGGTATATATGGGCGTATGGGTATTTTGTATGGATATAAGCTGATGCTGCTAAAAACTATGCGTCAAAAAGAATGTACTGTCTTCATTGCTAAGCTGCACTCAGCGATTACTTAATGATAACACGGGTGAAAAACCACCAGTGACATGAATTTAAATGAAGACAAGTCGTCATTTGACCTTAGGGGGCATGCAATTACAAGAGATCACCGTGAAAAAGTACACAAAGGCAAGTTAGCAAGAAATTGTATGCATAAATTTCAAGCACGCAACTACATGTATAATGCAATGATACTGGGACAATGCAATCACAGCATGCGCACTGCAGGAAAACTTGGAGCAAAACAATTTTCGCTGTCAAAATAATAAATTTCACCACACACTTCACCATCCCTTCTGATGCTACATTTAAATTTATCGACCGTTATTAGTTATCAATAGTATACACGCCTTTACTAAAAGCTCACCCTGTCGTTAACTTCAATCAGGCAGGCAGCCTCCAGGTTTGCTGGTGTTTGTCCTTTAGTGTCCGGTTCAACTTCTGTCTTGCTCGAATGCATTTCAGCCTCTGAGAAGCTGGCGCAAGATGTGTCATCTGCACTCGTCGCGTCGCCCGATGCTTGCTCATGGCTAGATTGGTAGCTAAACTCTGGTCTCCTCTCCGACTTTGGCTGTTCCGCACACCCAGACACATCTCCTTGGCCGGCGGGCTTTCCGACATCCTTTTCAGGATCCTTTGGAGCAACATCTTTGGCAGGGGAGTGGCTCGTAGCGGATGACGTGGTGGATGCGCTGTTCCCAACAGTGGCCTCGGACGATGACGATTCCGAGTGCGGTTCATTGTGAATGGGCTTGAAAATGCTGCCAGAATGCTGTGCCAGCTGCTGTTGGAGCAGCACATGCTGCTGGAACACCTTGGCAATGTGTGTTTCGAGCTGTTCCATCTGGTTTTGCAATAAAAACAAATGATTATATCACTCTGCATGAATTGAGCTTATGTGGTTTAGAATAACAGTAGAGGTAAGATAGTTGTAGCCCTACAAGCCACTCATCTGGAGTAGTTGGTGGGTATTCTTGAAAGACTGGGTGTGCAAATACAAACACAGGAGAGAAGTCACGGCAACGCAAACGATGTGTGCTGTCTTGACCTCTCTTGCTCGTCTCCAAATTGCCACATGCAGTCTTTTAACGTAAAATTACGAGGGATGCACATTTTCCATGATAGAATTCACTACAATATAACAAAAGAAGAAGAAAGCAAAAAAAGAAAAGATGTCTGGTGCACATGCTAGAAAATCTAGAGTGGGATTCAGAGCAATTGAGTGACTCCATCAGATAGGAGCATTGCCATAGAGCAATGCCCTCAAATTCTGTCGGAGCATAAGCACATTCTTTGGAGCATTACCACACTACGACCATATGATATAAAGCAGTTTCACCTACTCGGCCCATTAGCTCATGGTCATCGGCAAGATTTTGTAGCGAACCTATGTTGCATCGTGGAGGGGGGGGGGGGGGAGCGCTAGTGGGGCTTAGTTGGGGGGCAAGTGCAATAGTAGCTTAGGAAGGGGGGCGGGAGGAATTTACAACCCTTCTGACGCCATGCAATAGCTTCTCTCAACATTCCACTGGTGCACATTTGAATCACTGCATCTCCTAGGGGAGGAACACTTTTGCTTTGAGAGAGCGAGAAATAATCTGTAGGTACATAAAATCATTGACGAGGCTTCAAGAAACGTTTTACTTGCTGAACTGAATGAAAAACTGGTAATGACAACGTGGTGAGAAATGGTAGTCATCAAAAAACAAAACATATCTGCGACGTAATTACCGAATTCGAAAAACCGTGCAAATGGTGCAGTTAAGAACTTTTGGGCATGGCCTGATGACGCTGTGGGTTCCCTGGACAACTCTATGCCTGCATGTAACTTTTGCACTGAAAAAATAAATTGCCTCAGTAGTATGGTAGCATGACAGCATGTCCCCTGGTTTAGAGAGTGTTTCACTTTATTTTTTGCCAAAGTACTGTCAAGTTCTTCAATTACATGCATTTCTTCCTATGTTCTTAATGTGATACCGAATTATTATTTTAAAAGCATGATTGTCAACACAGCCTACACTATAGAGCTGTGCACATAAGGATTGGGAGGGGAAAAGCTGTTTTCCTTAATTATTAGAAGGGGGGCACCAATTCTGGCCCATACGTTTACCCAGTCAGACTTTTCATGCCATTTCTTATACGCAGGGTTATGGCTACAGATGCTTTTTGACAATGATGACAATTGACGACACTTGATGATGAATTCAAAGAACAGTTTACTTTCTACTACCAACCTGAGAAAAGCAGGGCCTATGGCGCGCCGTAGTGAGATGTACGCCATCATTTAATTTTCATTTTTGCATCCATGGTGGAGTATGTTTAGTTTTTTTTTAAGGGGCCCTGCAACACTTTCTGAGCATGGCCAGAAGATGGTGCGCATCGGTAGTAGAGGATCCCAACATGCGAGCCAAATAATATAGCATAGCACGTGGCCTAGAATTCACAATAAGTAATCAAAGTCAGCTAAAAATTGCTTTCTCTTCTCTCGACAAATCGCAGAATAAGCCCAAAAATCACTTGTAGTAAGCCCATCTATCAGCCATTGGCTGATTTGAACATGGTGCGCTCGGTCGTTACAGAGATCGCCGTGGGAGGCCGCTACTTGTCCACGCCTGCGCGTGCGATCACACTGAAAAACCTGCGCATTTGAAAAAAAAAGAAAGAGCGCTCAAGGTCAGGAGGTGCACGTGACATGTTTTGTTTGTCCCTCCCATCGCTCTCTGCTAAGCTTCCAGTGCTTTCGTCGGGACGAGAGAAGAGAGAATCCAATTGCAGCATGTGACAAATCTTTGTAACTTCGCTCGTACTGAACCGATTCTTAAAATTTTTGCGGCATTGATTTTTTGAGGCAATACGCCTTTGCAGTGAATTAATTTCATGGTTACTGAAAAAAGTGTTTCAGGGCCCCTTTAACTTGACAAATGGGGGTGGGAAAGACTTGCTGCACCCCCCTTCCCCGATGGAGAACCTTAATACACCTATGGCACACAATATGAGAATGCTGCTTCTGGCTGTTTCCAATAGGCTGAGTCAAATAGAAAAAAAGACTTCATGATATTCATATAGATTGAAAGTATGACCACATAACCTAACAGACCCTTACATCATGCATTTGTTGTTGAACATTGAAGAGCAAGAAGGAGAGGCACGATTCTGTAGGTGCATGTGTTGCAACCATCACAAGGCAAATGCAGTGCACACTTCACAAAAACTGACACAAGGAAAACGAGGTGCAGCTGCCATTCCTTACATCTGTCTTCATGAAGTGTGTGTGTATTTGCCTAGAGATGATGAACAACCAACTAGCTCGAGATGTGTTATTCAACTTCATTACAGACATATGAAGTAAATTGACAATGCAGCCAGAGGCAAATAGATGAAACTGAGATAGATGAAATAGATGAACTGGAGAGGACACTCCCTGAGAAAAAAAACTTTCTTAAAGTTTCTTCAGCGTGCCCTGCTGGCTTACTTGTTTGAGTAGCCTGTCCAGGGCCTCCTTGTTGGCATTCCTGTATTTCCTCTCTTCTTCTATTTCTTTCTGCTGTCTGTAAAGAACAAAGAAAGGTGTCTTGCAGTAATTGACTGTTTATTTGGACATACTGAATGTAAGCAACAATGCAAATCATGTGCCTCTTCCCTTCATTATAATACTAATGATTCTTTCAGACAGTTACTTGAACATTTGTTTCAATATGGTTCCACAAAGTAAGTTTCTTTTTGCTATGTTTTTTTTTTTCACTTATTTCTAGCTCGTTTGCAGGGTTTTGATATTGATATGTCGGGTTTAATGTCCCAAAACCGTCATATGATTATGAGAGACGCCGTAGTAGAGGGCTCCACAGAAATTTCGACCACCTACAGTTCTTTAACGTGCACCCAAATCTGAACACACAGGCCTACATTTCCGCTGGGATTCAATGCCACGACCTGCGGGTCAGCAGCCAAGTACCTTACAGTCACTAAAGCACCGCGGCAGGGATTGTGGGGTTTTTAAAGGAGTGGGAGAAAAAAGAAGAACATTCACATTAGCACTGATAATAGAATAAAATTTCGCTCGAGGAGCTTTGGTGAAAAAAATACAAATTAAGAAGGAGACTATAACCATGAAATAAAGCAAAGTACGTTGGAAGACTTGCTTGAGCTTTTCCTTCAAGAGTGGTACGCGATAGCACAAGTGGACGCTGTTTGCGTTGCTTACTCAATCCCTCGCCTGGCGTTGCTTCTAGGAGCGCACCTAAACCATGCCACAAGGAAAAAAGAATCTCTATACGTAGTTTCTAAATGGGCCCTTTCAAACTATCCCAGAATGCCAGTGCCCATCATGCGTCCATGCGGCAACACGCGCGCTTGAACACCTGTACGCATTAATATTGTTGTTATTGATAATTATGCCTTAGTGTTTTGTAATTGGGGGTCTTTCAAATCAAGCACTTGTGCACTTTGCGTGTTTTAATGCCTGGTGCGATTCTATGCTTTTACCACCCAATGTTATGTGCGTTAAGCATCGCACTACGTGACATTCATATACAGTTTTTCCTAAACAGTTTAAAGCACGGGAATGGCTCTGTAGTTGAACACATGGTCGCCACTCTGAAGTTCTGGGCTCGATTTTTACTCAAGTGAAGATTTATTTTATTATTTGCTTATTAGTGTCTACGTTGAATATTTGCTCACAACCGATGATGCCTATATTAAAATTTCAGCAAAATGACCTCTTTAATGCTAATGCATTAAAAGCAGCTCGTTAAGCTATTTCTTTCAGAGGGACAGAAAGGAGGAAGCACAGACAGTGGTGCTCAGCGAACGCATTGCGATGCCTTTAGGCTTAACGTGTCTGTAATCGCACAGCCTCCAACTCAAGGCACTGCTTGGGAAGATGCACACATGTACGAAATCACCAGCCATCTCAGCTCGCCTGCTCTCTGCACCTGCCACAGACTATCCGCAAGATAAGGCAAGCAGAGAGCTAGCACAGCCCCCGCAGCTAGCATGGCCAGAGGAATGAAAGGCACGCTCACCAGCTCCATCCACTCTCCCCCACTACTGCATGATTACCTCTACTCCACCTCTACTTTCGCAAGCCAATGTGCAGAAAGACACCATTCTTGCGAGCTCATCTTTGCAAGCTTGCTCTCGCATCCTGGACATACCGTGTGCGATGCGCGATAGTACTTTACCACACTTTTTACGGAACGACACGGCAAAGGCAAGTTTTCTCCTGGAACCTGCCTATAAGTGATACCACAAAAACAGGTATTAAAAGCCGTGATGACACACTGGCGTGACAGTAATAGAATCTATAGGCACCATATACGAAGGAAAAACTTCCTAATCAACAACTTACTGTAAATTAAAAAAAAAAGAGAGACAAAAGTGCACCAGCCCTGCCCTGGGCAGGAGAATGGATGGGCATGTGGATTTTGGACATACAACTTTCTTTTCTTTCCATATACTACATTGCGCAGAATGCTCGCACCTGTTTTCTTCCTCCGTGTTGGGAATTGAACATTCGACCACATGCTTAGCAGTGCAACACTTGAGTGGCCATAGGCAGCAACAAAGGTCACTCGTTCATATCCGAGAAACAATGAAATGTGAGGAACGTCAAATGACAAATGACTTCGATAATTTTGTAAAAAGATCTGTTTGTCGCATCAGAAGTGGTTGATCGTCAACAAGCTCAGGAGACCATAAATTACTAGAAAACAGCAGATACATGCCCACAATACGCATGTGAACGGCGCACGCTGAAAGATCCCTATCTCTCTGTACTTTGCATGCACATATCTCTTTGTACACTGGTTTTTTTTTTCTTCTCTGCTTTTTTTTTGCAACTCCAACAATACTTGTGAGGCACGAAAAAAATTCAAAGAATGCTTGATCAAACTGGAAACCTTTCAATGTGTACATAAAATATATACCCCAGGGTAGCTCAAGAGCGCATGCATGTAAAAAGTTGGAGTTCGCGCCCGTTTGTCTTCTCGCCTTTGGTTTTTTTTTTTTCATCTATTGTGTGCGCATCTGAAAGGCTTCCAATAATATCTTCATACCAACTTGCTCAGCTTTCTATACTATTACATGGTTGATCAGTCTACCATCCTATGCAGTGCTTTTGTTCACCGCCCCTTTAAAATGTAACTGATATCATCATATTTAACTGGCATCATCATATATTACATATGATATCATCATATGTTACTATAATGTCATCATACCTATACATATGATGAGATCATCATATGAGTACCTGAGCAGTGCCTGTTCAGTGATCGCCATCTTGGTCTGGACATCGAGAATGCACTCCTCGAGCCGGCGCAACCGCACCTCCTGGCAGACATTTCGCACGCGGCTCATGTGGTTGCGGGTGCGATATCCTCGCCAAAGCGCCTGGATTCGCACAGGCTGCCCGGTCGAGCACCTCGAGTCCCACAGCTTGGCTGCGCTGCTTCAGTAGGGGGTCGCTTTCCACCAAGGACAACACATCTATGTTGTTGTTGTTATTGTTGTTGTTAACAACATTAAGGTTGCCTTGAGTGGTCGGCAAGTAGGTTGGCCCGTTGCAGTACTTTGGAGACGTCCTGGTCGGAGCCTTGTGCTGTACGAGTGGGCAGGTATAGATGCTTGTATAGACTATTTTATGCATTTTCAGCAATTGAAGGAACATAGAATTTCTTAAAAGAAGAAGAAAAGAAAAAATTATGAATCGGGTTGTTCCGGGAATCGGGTTGTCAAAGCTATCAGACAGAGAAGCTCTAAGCGCACGAGGGCAGGTGAGGTTAGAGAATAAGACATGATCATAGTCCGACTTTGAGTGCCATCACCATCATTTAGCATTATCATCTCGAGCGTAATCATCATTTCGCTTCATTTATTTCTTTATTCCACCCCCCCCCCTCTAGCATACGAGTTGCATAATGCTAAATGGCACACGTTCGAATAAGAACAACTCCGCTGCTAAAACGCAATAAGAAGCAGGGCGCTACCGCCAGTCTTTTACTTGTTACTTCACTGACATTTTGCTCCATCTATTTGGCTAGTGTTACCACTGGCAAGGCCAGGAACGCCAGCGATGGGCGCTTGCACGCTTGTCACTTGACAAATTATCTATTACACCCGCATTACTGCTCCCCGGCAAAACAAAAAAAAACACAAAAAAAGAAAGAGAAGCGCAAGCGAGCTTCATAAAAAAATTATTTGCGATGCCACTGAAAAAAAAAAAAAAACATCCGCTGCACTGTACAAAGATGGCTCCAAGGCAGTGTTTCAAAGCTATGCAGAAAAGCTAGCTTCGCAGCAATAGACGAGGATCATTTTTGGAAAGTTTAATTGCGATTGCAATTATATGGCCACTCTCAACTGAATTTTGCCGCCGGCAATATATATATATATATATATATATATATATATATATATATATATATATATATATATATATATATATATAGCACGCGGGATCGAACTTAGGACCTCTGAAACGTGAATGCAAGGTGTTAGCCACTGAGCCACGGAGAGGCACTTTTTTTTTAACTCGAGAAGCATATGATGGGCTAGTTGGTAAGACGTTTAGGAAAATTGTAACTGTGCTAAAAACCAGATACGAGAACGAAGTGGACAGGACGATCGTAGTACTGTTCTGCGATCGTCCGTCCACTTCGTTCTCGTATCTCGTTTTCAGCACAGTTATAATCTTTCTAAATTTTTTCCTTCAGCGTTCAAACGGCAAGATATTTATATCTACCACTTATCACTGTTTACGGGCATCTCAGGGGGGGGGGGGGAACTAACGTGTTTTTAGCATTACCAGCAAGATGGCGCATTGAGCGCGCGTCGCCACATCGTCACGACGCGGCGGCGCGCGCTTTCTCATCTCCCACGGGTACTTTGCCCCGCGGAGAGGAGGAGGTGGACGCTGCTCGCGCGCCCTTATCTCGCAGTGGGGAGGATCGTACGTCTTGGCTGGCCTTGGGATTTTACTAGAACGATTCTGTTGTAGTTACTGGGTGGCTGGCCTTGGGATTTCACCGTAACGATTCTGTTGTAGTAACCGGGTGGCTGGCCTTGGGATTTCACCGTAACGATTCTGTTGTAGTAACCGGGTGGCTGGCCTTGGGATTTCACCGTAACGATTCTGTTGTAGTTACCGGGTGCACAAAGACTTACCGGGGAGGCCACGGTGGAGTACGAGGTGGAGGCCAGCGGGCAGGCGGCCGAGACGGACGAAGATCGCTGAGTCTTTCGCGGCGACGCGGTGGCGACCGTGGCGTAGGGCGAGCGGCCCACGGGCGTGCGGAAGCTGGCGCTCCGGCTCAGGCCCCCGTCGGAGGGGCTGCGCTGGTGCAGCCGGCTTGACGACGCCGCCGGTGTGGTGCTCCCAACGGCACAGCCTTCAAAGCTGCGCGTGGACGGTATGCCGCCACTGGCAGCGAACGAAGGAGGTTCCGTCCTCTTGGACGACACCTTGCGAACGGGGATGGCCCTGCAGTCGGGTGTAAGAACGTTCCGTGTTCTCAACGGGACGCTATCGCACGATTTACGCCACTTAACCAACCCGTCTCTTTCCAGCAAGTATCGATCCTGCCTGTTGATGCTTTCATCGTTATTGTGCATTAACTTGTAAAAGACGCACGTAGGGCACGGCAATATGCACGGACCACGTATTCATATACAATTATCTGCAAGATGTCCTTGAGCGCATGTGACAGATCGTTTTTCTTGGTTAAAAAGATACGGGTGTTTCACACGTCTTGGGTTAAAAAAGATCGAGGCGGATATAACGCCCTCATTTTGGCTTTAATGATTATTAGCCAATGTGATAATGAACGGCGTCGTACAAAACGCGAGCGCGATGTTCGCCCCTGTTCAAATGAAGCGACTCACCGAGGAGATGTCCTGCCGTAAGAGGACTTTCCGTAGTTGTGCAAAATCGGCGATCCGTCGGAACGAAACTCCGGAACGGATCGAGTCATGATGTCGTCCTTGCGGGAACGCCTTTGCCTGAAGGGAGAGAGAGAAAAAAAAAATCTTAGATCACCCAATGCGCCGCTTCATACGCAGGCCAGCACGCGCACACACCACGTGTACAGACAAATTTAAAAGTGACAAAAATCTGGTGCGGTCCACCACGGCAGTGGCCAGAAATTTATTTAGAGAGCTGAAAGCACGGTTCTATACCCTCTTTAAGTTCGCGCGTGCCTTAGTACGTATTCAATGCCCCGAAACTCCAACTGGCAATGCCCATCCGAATCACTAAGCATATATTTTAGATCTTACTCCTGGGAACAGCTACTTAAGTCGCATGCTCCAACAAATACGCCAATTCCTGCTCTGTTAATGTATCAAACGTGTAACTGATAAGGCAGCATAAACTACAGCAGGCTCAATTTTTTAAAATCAAACTAACGTTCTCAGGTCAGGCGAGAACTGAGCCTTTTTGCAATTCTTGATTGCATCCTGGGAATTTTTGCCCGCGGCAGAACTAGCACGACGAATCATATGCGACGTCATTCAGTGACGTAATCGAGGAACGTCCTCAACAAACGACGAAAACGCAACGGGCACGAAAGACGCAACAGTGGCACAGTGTGCCAATCCACCTTTCTCACCATGCCAAGGTGCACGCTTTTTTCCCCTGGCGGAAAAGTCGCGAACCACCATTTTATGCCCGTGGCCTCCGCGATTTGCTGCCGGCGGCGCGCCGCCGGCAGCCGATCGCGGAGGCCACGTTATGCCGCAAGCTTCTGTATACATGCTGTCCCGGCTCCCAACATACACCCTTCCAAAACGCCGCAGAGCAGCGCAGTAAAATGAACAAGGCGGATTACCTGCTCCGCTCGTTCCCGCCGGCGTCCGAGGAGACTCTCTCGATGGTGACGGGGCTATGGGGGTCCACGGCAGACCGGGTCAGCTCGGCGCCCAGCATCTCGGAGGCGTCGCTCAGCTGGCACTGAGTCTGCGACCTCGATGGCCCCTCGTCCGAGTGCGCCAGCAGGTCCGGAAACGGGTCGAACACCGAGGAGCCCCGCTCGTCCTCGCTAGCCGAGACTGCGCGACATTTTACCGCCACCTCACTCCACCCGCCACTATATGCTCCGACGTTGACCGTTCGAGAGGCCGAAGAGCGTGTCAGACGCTGCGGCGAACGCTACAACCTCATTACAACGAATACTGGCATAGCGAATTATCGGTTATATCGAACATGCGAACTCTGGTAGGGCACGCTTCGTTTCAGTGATATGCTACCGATGAATGACAAAAGAAATGATTTTTTTTAATTTGCCTAACACTATATATAATCCCAGCAACTGTCTTTCTGCATAACTCACATTGGTTTCAGGTTAAATTAACCCGAAGAACGTGTCCGGTTTAAATGTTTCGTCCCAACACATCCTTCACTCACAGTCAGACCACTTGTCCTTGGCGAGGCAAGCCTGTCTTGACGATGACAGTCTTCCAACGGCGCTCTTCGCTGCGGGTGAAAAGAGAGAGAGAGAAAAGAAAGAACAACACGCATTCATTGATGATACATAAGAGTCGCCAACTTCACTCGCTTCGCGCGTGCGGGAGCTCAACAGCAGCGCGGCAAAATACACCTCAACTGCCACGAAATAATTTTTGACGGAATGCTTTCACCACAATGAGGGGAACCTTCTTGATTTCGGGGAGGGCACCGCCTTGAAATGGTCGTATTTTACTATCTATACTATGGCGAAAAAAAAATTGGGGGGCCGGGGGCGACGGTCTCGGTGTTCCGCCCACTGGGTAAACCTCTGATTACAGAAAACAACCGAAAAATTCACCCATCACTCAGCCGATCTTTTGTATCATGTATCTTCCACGCTCAGAGGAGACTACTACTACTACTACTACTACTACTACTACTACTACTACTACTACTGCTACCACTACTACTACCAGGGCGACGACGACGACAACACTCCAATCCTCATAGTAGGTATGTGTCATAATATCCAGGCTAAACAAACAAACAAAGAAGCACTGTTTCGATTTATTCAGGCAAAGCATACTAGCACCACCTCTTCGAAAACCGGGCTTGCAATGATCACAACCCGATCTTCTTTCATTTGGAGCCTCTACACTGGGTTTCAGCCACAGGGAAGTTTTGTACGCCGTTCAGGAATACGTCACTGCGACTAAACGATTTTCTTGCTAAATTACGGTCTCGCTATTTTTTTCTTTATTTCTTTTTCTGCAAATATGCAATCGGCACTTCAAATCATAATTAAATCACAAAAAGTTTTTCTTTAGGAATGACGCAATGCCGAAAGTATCGGGCAAATTCACCTTGTAATCGGCCAATCCCCTCCTTTGGGTACGAGCCATTTGCAGAGGAAAACAACAACACTGGAAAACAACAACAACAACAAAACAAAACAACAACAACAACACTCACGCCTGCGGTTCCCAGATGGCGTGTGCTGCTGTTGGTGATGGTGGTGGTGCCTCGAGTTGTCCTGCACCACAGGTGCGGCAGCGGCGGCGGCAGCCGCGGGCGACATCTCGTGCAGCAGCTGCTCTCGGTGCTGGCGCTGCATCCGGAGGATGCGAGAGATGCGCTCCTCGTCCTCAGACTCCATCTGCACGATTGATTGATTGATTGATATGTGGGGTTTAACGTCCCAAAACCACTATATGATTATGAGAGACGCCGTAGTGGAGGGCTCCGGAAATTTTGACCACCTGGGGTTCTTTAACGTGCACCCAAATCTGAGCACACGGGCCTACAACATTTCCGCCTCCATCGGAAATGCAGCCGCCGCAGCCGGGATACTCCATCTGCACGAGGCCAGGGGCACGCCTATAGAGACCACGCAGGTGTGCGCGCACTTACCTCGAGTTTACAACGGACGTCAAGTAAATGTCATAGTGAACAATCCACCACCAGACTCGTCATCGTAATCATTCTTACGAAGGACAGAGCATCATGTCGACTCTCACAATCGCCGATTGTCCAAATCGGCGGACATGACGGAGGCTTCACTCGGCGAACTGTGATTACGAACGTCCCTCTTCAACCTGGACCACCGCATTATGCGAGCTTGTAATCTTGCATCACCTTATACGTAGCCTTTTTTTTTTTACCAACAACAACCGCATTCGGGTTCAAATCCCGGCTGCGGCGGCTGCATTTCCGATGGAGGCGGAAATGTCGTAGGACCGTTTGCTCAGATTTGGGTGCACGTTAAAGAACCCCAGGTGGTCAAAATTTCCGGAGCCCCCCACTACGGCGTCTCTCATAATCATATGGTGGTTTTGGGACGTTAAACCCCACAAATCAATCAACAACCGCATTCACGTTCACCTCTTCTTGGATTAGGCATTTTCTGTTACTGCTAAACTACGAACGGTTATCTGTTTTACGCATGCAGAACGAGGTTGCTATAACTCCGCTAGTTCCTGCATACGCTTCATCTCAATCTCGATAGCTACGAAGTTGCCCATTCGCGTGTCCAAAGGTTTTTCGACTATTTCATTCTTCAGTTAATTGAATAATAATAATAATAAAATAATAATAATAATAATAATAATAATAATAATAATAATAATAATAATAATAATAATAATAATAATATAACGCTTTCCTGTGATCGAAATCACGCGCTTATTTTCTTCTTTATCACGTCAAACAGTCTTCACCTGTTTGCGGTACTAAATAACAATAGCCACAATAGCATTCGTCAGAGCATGCGAACATGGGGTGGATGAAATACTGTTTGGAAGATTATTATTATTATTATTATTATTATTATTATTATTATTATTATTATTATTATTATTATTATTATTATTATTATTATTATTATTATGCTTGTCCAAGTGTGAACATTGCGACCAAGTATGGATCAAGCTGCACAATGGTACAGTTTCTGGACTACCAAGGCGAGCTAAAATAGCGCTTCCCCAAATGTCCCATATTATAGAAGTGTACAGACAAAAATAAATCGGAACACTACTGTGAAAAGCAACGAGGAAACACTCACGCACACAAGCGTGGGTGGATTCAAAGGGGGGGGGGATCCAAATATACTGATCCCCCACGCCCGCTCCTTTACTTTTGAATATATACTCCCGAAATGAACACCTATCAACCCCTCCCATAGATTAACACCTCATCGGAAAAATTCCCTATCCAGCCCTGCCCACACGTCACAAAACAAAAAGACATCTGATGCAGCCAGAAATGTAGTTTCGCCGCAGTGCACGCGTGAGCTGGGAGAAGCCGAACGGCGAGAACAGCCGAGCAGGCGCACGGTCTCAAACAGCCACACAAAGCCTGTCACTACTCCCAAAGGCTTAGTTTAGAAAACATCTTTTTTTGCCTACAGCTAAAGTGTACTTGTTGTGGCCGACAGGAGAGAGAGCCACCGGCGGTGTACTTGTTTGAATGGCACACATGTGTTCGTCACAATTAGACGCGCAACAAAGGGGTATACATGTCCATTGCAATTACGCTGCGAAAGGCTGGCCCATTATCAAACACAGTAACGACCAGAACTACTAAACTGTGTTTTCTTTCCGTTTTCTATCCTCAGTTCACTCGCATAGGTGAAGGCGCCGAGTTGTGATGGCGTCCGAATATCGTGATGGTTTATGAATGACATTAGTTTACGCTTTCGGACCCTTAAAATGAAACAATTGAAATAAAACGAAAATGTACTGCTATCCACGCCAGGGAGTACAGAAGGCGGCACTGCTGCATAGCAATTGCACGTCACGCTTTCAATTTATGCGAAAAACAAAAACAAAACGAAAGCAGTCAGACATATGTAAAGCTGGCTCTTCCGCATCAAAGGTATGTATAAGGTGAAGCCTACCAAACAATTTCCGTCATTTTCCAGCATGCATTTATGGCGCTCGCGAAGCCCAAGAGCACTATTACTCACAAGCGCATGCTATATATAACCACATGTATAATGTAATCCTCCTTGTTATATACTACCTAAGGAGGTCCCCGATATTGAAGCGTTTCAACATGGCGCATACCAAGACAATGTCAAACATTAATATCGGTGCTTTACCACAATGCATTCCACGATCGATGCGGGTAGTATTGCACAACCTTGAATCTACGCGAACACCAATGATATCACTGAAATGTCAACCACAAGTTGATTAACAGTTATCAGATCACTGCACTATATTTGCCTTTTCTAAGGCACTTATACAATATCTCCTGTCAGCTTCACCACGGATTCCGCATGAAGTGACGTCGCAGATAAGAATATATGACTATGTGGAGGAGAGACACAATCAAGCACGGTCAAGTTCGGAGTTAATACTCAACGCAACACGCATTTCGATACAACACTGAACTTCCAACCCCGTTTTGTGACTGTATGGGCTAAAATTTTCGTCGGTTGTAGGGGGACAGTTGGTAGGCAGGTCAGATGGTTTAGTACCACTGGAGCATTCTACTAGGACCAACATTCAAACCAAGTGAAGTAAGTGCTAGGGGGTAACAGTTGAACCCTTGCAGTTGGTCTCGCTGTTAGTTCAATATTGGTTCAAAATCTGTGGCAGCCCATTTAGTCCCCTAAAGGACCAATAGCCTATTCCACTTTAGTCCTTTTCGGCTTAGTGTGCAACGCATACAGGCATAATGGCATGCCTGTTATTATCGCATTCTTGCCGCGAATTTTTTTTTTTTTTACTATTCTAACGGCGACTGAGGACCACTGGTAGTGCATTCCACGAGCTTTTTAGTTCCCACGTTTGCCCCTTGAAAATCGAGGACCAAAGGCAGGCCGTTCTGAAAAGTGTATCGTCACTTGTCATTTTCATTTTCTCGTCCATTACGAAGCTTATTTAGTGGAACTCAACCGCCAGGCATTCGTTGTTGGGGGGGGGGGGGGAGGCGAGGTGCGCTGATACTTGCCCCCTCCTCATCCCTGACAGAGAACTCTGTGCCCGCCTACAGCCACCAGTGTCTGCTCATCATAAGCTGTCACGTCGCCTACACACACTACATGTTCATACCGCTCCGACAGATAAGTGAAATGAACATTATATGTGCTTGCTGTAAACGCGGCTTGTGAGAAAAAAAAATGTTTTGGTTTATAGCCTATAAAAACGTACAGAGCTATGTGTTTGCATCAAAACCAGTTCAACGTCGATGTACGGATACATGTGTACCTAGAGTGTCCCACATGAAAATAGACACCCGAGAAAGTTGGTACAGGATTGATCTTAATTTTAGCAGCGCGCGGAGGGGTCGATTAATAGGAAAAGAACGTTCACAACGCGGACGCTTATTCGCACCTGGATTTGAGAAAAAACATGTAAATAAAAGTGAAGTAAAAAAGAACAGAAAACAAATAATCTTTGCAATCAATATGTGCGGGTGAAGCTTCGGCATTGAAATTCTATTTCACTTAGCGCAATAGAATGTAGACTGACACATTTTTCTCCTTTCTTTGGATGTGGAAAGGCTTCGGTGATTTCTCTTGTTATCTGCTGTTTATGACGTGACAGAACCTTAGCGTCGGCTAAATGGTTTACCCATGCAAAATCACGTCCATGTGCTTTGACTTATATGTTGCCCGTCAAAGAAACCACCAGGTGGTGAAAAATAACCAGGTGCCTCCCACTACACAGCGTGCGATATAATCGTATATGCCACGATTTCGGCAGGTAAAACCGCATAATTCATTTGTGCGAAGGCGTGTAATGCAAGAGGTGATCCCTGTCTGCAAGCATGCGTTGTCGTCAGGAGCACCGACGTTGGGGCACGTACCCAGACAAGACAGGGAAAAAAAAAGGGGGGGGGGGGGGAGACAGGGAGAACGGTTTTTGTGGACGATAAGATATAGGCGCGCCTTCTTAATCAGTCAACACCTCCTGCAGTCTATTCCCTACACCACTTGCTTGCTTGCTTGCTTGCATGCTTGCTTGCACAAGCACAGCGTATATCGCGCTTCATAAGCTCCCGACTTCCGAACGCCACAGCGATAAACGCTGATGCAGTCACGAGAGACGTGAGATCTGTGAGCTATAGAACTGCCCGTGTCTTATACGAGCTAAAAAATTATGGAATGACAAATAAGTTCCTATAGGATGGTTTGTTGATACTTCGTGCTCGAAAATCCAGCTTCAAAACGGGACGTAGAGAGACGGAAAACCCAGGGAAGTAACTTAGTATGTACCGAATTGCCCAACAAGCAACCCTTCTAAACTAGGGAGGTAACCACAGAGCTCGTAAATACTAGGACCCCCCTCTTCCCGGCCTTCTTTTTATTTTGTACCCGAAAGTGAAGAGCCCAGCTCTCCTATTCTTAAGGTGACTGTAAAATTCTTCTTTCTTCTTCTTTTCTTTTTTTATTTACAGTAACTCTACTACTTACTCATATCTGAACATGAAGCCTGACCTATATAACCCGAAGGAAAAAGTCCAACGCATAGGCTCTGAAGCCAAGTTCAAATTAAAGACGTTCCACCACTACCACCACCCACCACTGTAGATTCAATGGCTAAGGCATACAGCTTTTCTGTGAAGGTCACGGGTGCGAACCCCAGCAGCCGCCACCAATGGTGGGCGAAATGTAAATTTCTCTGACAGCTGCAGGCTGTCGTCTTTGCG